TTTCCTATAATCTATTCCTCTGGCTGGTCAAAGAGAGGTCAGCAAATTAGAGCTAAGTAGTTACAAAAATCTGAACTAATTTTGCTGTGTGTTAGAGACACTGGGAAACTGAAGGGAAATTTACCAGATGTCATTTCAGTTGTGAGCCTTTGGCGATTCATAGAGAGAGACACACAAATACTGATACTGGAATCTGTGTCTGCCTGTCTGTCTTAGAAGAGAGATCAGAAATTTTCTTCACCCAGAGGGCGGTGAGAAGATGGAATCCACAGTCCCGACATAGAGGTAGAACTAATCGGAATGTTTAAAAGGAAGATAGATAGATCTTTTTAGGAATGGAGGGGATTAAGCAGAATAGAGCGAAAGCAAGGAAATGGGATTAAGAGATCTGCCACAATTTAATGAACTGGCAGAACTGCCTTCACAGGCAGATTGGCCTCCTCCTGTTCCCATTCTTAAACATTACTGCCTTGAGATTAAGGAATGCTGTCTTATTTTATTCTAAATAGACTATTATCTACCCAGCTATTGTGTATAGATAGCACTGAAACCGCTCCCAGAAAAATAGCCCTTCAGCACTTCAGTTAGGATTGCGCTGTGAGAATGTGGAACTCACTGCCCCAGAACACCATAGAGGCTGCATCCACCGGGACGGCTAAAAATGAGGATTAAAGGGTGTGGGGAAAAGTCAGGGAAATGGAAATGAAAAGATCTGCCGTGATCCAGCAAACTGGAGGAACAGGCACACGATTATTTGCAAATAACAACATCCCTTACATTTGATATCACCCCTATTATATCAGAATGCTTCATAGCATAATGCTGTCAAGTGTAGTGACTGTATTTGTAAGCAGTTTTTCACCCAAAGGGGAGTGGACGTCTGTACCTCTCTTCCCCCAAATTCCAATTTTCAAGACTGAGGTGGATAGATATTTGTTAGGTCAGGGCATCAAACGATACAGGGCAAGGGCAGGTAATTGGAATTGAGGTACAGATCTGCCCTGATCTTATAGAATGGCGGAACAGGAATAGGGGCTGTTCCTATGTTGTTATCCCTGAACCTGCCAGCAATCGAAGGGTTAATGCGCTAGCACTCTCACCCACGCCTGCTCAGCTCGAAGACTTAACACAACTTGAGTTGATTCCTTCTAATCCATTAGACAATAGATAGTGTCGAATCATTCTGCCTCCATCGGTGTCCAAGTTCATTATTTATAGGGCTGATCATATGGGAAACCTTTTCAGCTCAGGAATAAGCATGTGACTTGTCATGAAATTCATAATTATTTCACATAAATCAAGTCAAACTTGTTGCGTTATATTCTGCATTCTTTTCCCATTTCCCGGATGAGTGCTCACACTACCAGCGATGTAATTTGAAAGTCAGTCAACAAATTAATAAAATACTTATGAAACATAGTGCTCAGTTAGCAAAGCACCACTTTAATTATTTCATTTATCTATTGAATTGTGCCTTTCATTAGAGACTCCTCTGGGCTGACGTGCACAAACCTCTGCATTCAGATTTACACAAAGGAGATGATTTAAGCTTGAGCTACAAAGTTGGCTCGGAACCCTCACCTCTCTTGTTTTATCTGTGCACTTTGCACCTCAGTGTGAAGGGTGTCAGCATCACGTACTCACAGGTAACGTTTGCCCCAACAATGCCTTCATCCCCAAACTCAAAAGATCGCCTCCTACTGCATCAGTGTGACATCTTGGTGTGGCATCAGATGCCAGCTTGGCTTAGTCGGTAGCACTCTCCTCTCTGAATCAGAAGGTTGTGGGTCCAAACCGTACATCGAGACTTTGAACACACAGTTTAGTTTTTCTACACCCTTAACTTCTAGATCTCCTCCCTTTACTGCTCTGTCCCACTCCCCTGTTTTTCTGTCTTGCCCTGCTTTAACCTATCTCTTTGATCACACCTACGGGCACCTTCCCCTCCCTCCCCCTCTTCATCCAACCTCACTGGTGTAAAGTGCTTCAAGACATTGCCCTAAGTGAAGGGCACTATATAAACATAAGTAGTTGTTTTAATTCATATAGGAACAATGTTGATGTGACATGATAGCAGCAAAACGTACATGAATCGCAGTGTCTCACTGAACAGTAACGATGAACGTGTGAGTGAAAGCTCGAGACATATCGTGGCTATTCTCTGCAACGTTAGACTAATACCTTAAGATGGCTACGCTCCTGTACATGAATAGTCACTTCATCTCTTTACTTCGATTCGCTGGATAATAGTCATGCGCTCTAAAACTCCCTCTCATCTGGGAACATTTCCAATTAAATTCATTTGCAAGTTTAATTAATTTTGATCCCACAGGTCATGCAATTAAGTTTCAAAATGTACCTTCATTAATCTGGTTCTGCTTAAGTATGCTGAAGGAGCAGGAGGAAAGGCTCAGTGATCTGAAGCCTGGGTTCAGTCATGCAGCAGCAGTCACAATACATACATATGTGTCTCACACACACGAACACTCATGCATTTCACAGTAGGAGTCATTGGATGTCAAACAGGATTGGAAACTGTGTGAATTATTCCCCTTTCTAAACTGCTCCTGATCAGCTAACTCAGCACTGGCGCGGTGATTGAACCTGTAGCCTTGGTATGGCTTAGTGCTGAACCAGTGCCTTTAGCTATCGTGCCATCGAAGGAGGCTTGTCACATCACTTTCAGCTGCATTGTGTTCTCTCTGCCATTGATTTCAAAATCAATAGCGCCTTACAACCGCAAGCAAAACTCAATACCATTTGGAACGCATTTTCCTTTGGAGCTGAAAGGAACGGCCATTAAATGAGCTTCAGGTTTTGGCACAGCCCGGAAGCTCTCTCCCTGCTCACTTAATTGGAGGTTGGGTTTGTGCTGCCTCATGAGCAATTCACTTTGGGCCAAGATCAAGCGTGACACTGGTCAATTCCTCCATCAGGGTTGTGATCCTGACTTGCTTTACTCAGAGCAAGGTGGAAGTGAGGGAGAGGGCTACGCAGCCAGAGAGTTTGCTAAGTTCTCCAACCCTCCGTTAGTTGCTTGTGCAGGCATGGCTGGAATCTGCTGAGCACGTATCAGGTTGAAAGAGAATATAAAAGTATATAAAAGAGAAGACTGCTCTGGTGTAAGAGCTATCGAGTCTCTGCACACCGTGTGATTATGCTGTTTAGTGAACGTTCCTACTTAGCAGACAGCCCTGTCCTACTTCAGAGCAATTAAAATGACAGGCCGTGTGAATGATAATTGTTTCTGGCACTTGCCAAGCCTGGGTTTTCCAGCTCCCTCTCAAAGCTCCCCGAGAGGCTAAGAGTTGAAAGCCTTTTGATCTGCGGAGATTGCTGTTTCTGTTGGATTTGATGAGTTTTGATCATATCGTGCACTGGAGAATACAACTAACAAGTCACAGACTCGCGGTCAGCACCAGTCACACTCAAAGCCGTCTTCAGTGCAGAGATTTGAGTTGGCTGAATCAGAGAGTATAGATGTATTGAAGAGGAAGCTTCACATGAGGAAGAGGGGAATAGAAAGGTATTGGGAAGGAACAGGGAATGGGTGGAGACTCATGTGGAGTATAAACACCAGCACGGACTGGTTGGACCGAGTGGCCTGTGTCCGTACTGTATGTTCTTTGTAATCTTTGTAGCTTCCCGTGCTTGCCATTGGGAAGTAGTAAGCATTTATGCAGAGGTTATCGTTTGCACTGTTGCTGAACCAGAATCCTTTAAAAAGATATTAAACAGATGTTTGGATGTTTAAAAGAGAGATAGGCAGACACTTGGGTAGAAGGTCTTCAGACTCCCCCACACTCCCCCCACACTCCCCCTCCTCCCCCACACTCCCCCACACTCCCTCTCCTCCCCCACACTCCCTCTCCTCCCCCCACACTCCCCCTCCTCCCCACACTCCCCCTCTCCTCCCCCACACTCCCCTCCTCCCCCACACTCCCCCCCCCGCTCCCCTCCCCTCTCACCGGATTTTCAGGTGTTTGAGCGGGTCCCGGCTCCTGTACACGGCGGGGCCGGTGTCAGTGCTCCAGTTTGCCGCCATCTGCCTCCTCTCCGCGGGCCCGGGGCGGGCGCTGGGGGTCACCCCCGGGGCCGAGGGCAGTAACTGAGCCGCGGGGCCTCAGGCGCGGCCTTTAGTAAGTGCTGCTTTGCGACAGTGCCGTAGAGCAGTCCGGCGTCCCGAGCCGTTTCCCTGACAACAGGGCGGCCCTCAGCCCCGCCCCCACCGGTCACCAATAACAATGATAATAATAATGATAATAATAATGATAATAATAATGATAATAACAATGATAATAATGATAATAATGATGATAATGATAATGATAATAACAATGATAATAACGATAATAACGATAATAACGATAATAATAATGATAATAACAATGATAATAATGATAATAATAATAATAATAATGATAATAATAATGATAATAATGATAATAATAATAATAATGATAATAATAATGATAATAATGATAATAATAATAATAATAATAATAATAACGATAATGATGATAATGATAATAATGATAATAATGATAATGATAATAATAATAATAACGATAATAATAATGATAATAATAATAATGATAATAACGATAACGATAATAATAATAATAATAATGATAATAATAATGATAATAATGATAATAATAATGATAATAATGATAATAATAATAATGATAATAATAATAATAATAATGATAATAATGATAATAATGATAATAATGATAATAATGATAATAATAATGATAATAATAATGATAATAATAATAATAATAATAATAATGATAATGCTAATAATGATGATAATGATAATAATAATAATGATAATCCTGGCATTTGATACCGCGCCCCATCGCGTCACCGAGAGCCGTCTCCAAGCGCTTCACAGGATACACCGTAAAGTGAAGCGACTGTGCATTTTGCGGGTGAAACGCAGCAGCCGATCGCGAACCCAGAAACACGATACAAAAATCGCCGACATCGGGGGATTTCTTCGTCGCAACAGTTTATTTCGATTATTTGCACAAGAACAATCCTTCCAAACAAGTCAGTTTTTACAGTAAGAAAGGCATCTGTCCAGCCTCTGAGGTAATAAAAAAATATTTTTCGACATTATGATTTTCAGCTTCAATCAAATCAAGTTACATTTTGAGACACGTACCAGTGACTTGAAACTTCCCATTGCCCACTCCTCGCCTCAGCAGCGGATATAATCAGGAGGCAGCTTTGTTCAGCTAATACCGTAATATTATAGGGACTGGGTCAGAGCTCGCTCTGGTGTGTTTCAGCAATCGTCAGAAAAGAACACTTTACTAAGTACTTTCTCCCCCAAATAAAAAGTGCACTTGTAACTACAATACTTTGGGTACATTAAAAAGCAGGTACATTAAAAAGCAGACATTAAGATCGGAGTCACCTTTTAAAATGCTTACTTAACAAGAAGTAAAAAATAGGAAGAGCAACTTAAATCAAAAAGCAGAATTAAAAATCTAGTAAAATTTGTCTGGAAAGAAACCATTGTTCAGAATGTAGTCGTGAAATGGAACTGATCACGGGAAAGCACACTCTATTTGTACAGTCGCTAAATGGTCCTGTTCCTACACGCAACATTTACAATGTCAAAGAGGCTATGGTAGGAACTTTGTGTTTGCTTTTCACTGACTAGAGATGTTTTACTTAGAACATAAAAGGAAGGAGTCACTATTTACAAATATATGCTTGGTTCTATTAAGCGCGTATATAAATGTTCTTAATAAATGTAAATAAAAAGGTTGGGGCGAGCTCACATTTTAAAAATTTAAATCCTCAAGATATTTCACACGTGTGATTTATTTAATATCGGCTTCTAAGCATACAGACAGAACAACTAGTGTACATGCAGCTCATTGACTGACTGAACTCACTGCTCTAATGGACAGTCACAGCTTCAAATGGCCCCTCACACACACACATACATTATTCACCTGCATACATTTTCAGTTCTGTTTGAAATGAACTAAGATTAATGGTAAAGCTTTCAAATGATCAATCCAAAGAATGCATCAGACTTGCAAGGCCATGAGGTCCACTGCCACACCAATAGCTTGGTGCCAAGGCTTACCATGGACAGACAGGTATGAGCTTGATTTGAAACATGCATTAAAACTACAGCTGGGCTCGATTAGCATTGCACAATCCTGTGTGTACACAACACACTCACTCCCTATGTAATGCTTTAGGCCATAAAGAACATAACTAAACAACCTTCTCCCCAATGGAATTGGTGGTAAAGAAACCACTACACAGGCCAGGTCACAGGTTCAATTCCCAGACTGACCATGGCTGGACATTGGGCAAGGACAAGATTGAACTTGGCTGTAATGCCCTCCACAGAAACAGCCCGTCATCACTCACACACAATGAACGGACACTTGGCTGATATACCCAGTGTCATGTGTCTGTGGAATCGTACCCCGGTAGGAATCAACACCCCTACAGGAGAGGAGGAGGGGAGAAAATTGGCAAACACAACTAGTAATCTTCAAAAGCGCGCAGGAAGTGCAATCAGAAAGAAAAATATTAAACTTCAAACTGAATATTCAACTTCTGTTCAGCTCTTTTGTATTCAAAAATATATCTCTTCTGCATTTTCTTTAGAAAATACAATCGGAAATGTTTTCACATATTCCTGGCTTCACTTCCATTGAAAGTTCTGTAGGGATAAGATTTTTATTCCCCTATTATTATTATTATTAATATTATGACTTCTCAGCTCTCAGAAACCTAACCAAAGGACCCAGTGGTTTAAAATCTAGAGTCTACAGCAAGATGCAGTGAGATACCTCCCCCTGAGGAGGGAAAACGTGTAGGAGGGCAGAAAAAGCCAATTGTAAAATGGATATTGAAAGCTGTAGTTTTTCATAAACTGTAAAGGATTTCTATGTTTCATTACATTATTTTGCATTTCTAACCATTTAAAATTCCCCTCTGTGGAAACTTGGTTAACAAACCACCTAGGAAGAGTTTTATTGGCACCAACTAGCCAGTTTCAATTAACTACTGAACCCAGAGTGAATGGTTGTATGTGGAGCAAGGCAAGACTTAGTTTTCACGTCAGACAGAATAGGTACTGCTTACGAAGAAGAGGCACTAACTGAGAGAAACTTCTGTTAGGGAAGGTATGCCTCAATGTGCATAGCTTCAATCCTGTTGATTTCACACAGAATATTATCTTATTATCGGCCAAAGGAGCCAAATAAGATCTCCTAACATGGGGTGAGGGCACAGAAACTAAATCAGAGAATCAGCACCTGAATTAGCTATCCTCAGCGGAGAGTACTAACTGCTGATAAACCTTCACGTTGGTAAATTGTCCAATCAGTTAACCAATCCCCTTTATAAACCCCAATGTAGATTTACTGACAGCATAATTGTGATGATTAAACACAGCCTTTCTGAACAAATACTGCATTGCTTCTCCACAAAGCAATTGCAGCATCTGTTATGTGCTATGAGGCTTTCAATTCATAACTCACTGACTGGAACCACATGTTTGACTTCATTTTTGTTTCCAAATCCACAGTGCGTGGGTCTGGGAAGAAACCTAAAGGTCTGACAGGATGACTTAATCCTTTCAACGTGCTGCTTTGAGTGTGCTACCACAGTCTTGGAGAGACTGACACACTCTTCATGCGGTCCACAATCCCAGGGTAAAGTCATGGGTGTAAACGTAAAGTTGCCCCTCACCCACAAAGTTTAGTGTTTATTTCAGGAGTATTTATTACAATTGAGAGCTCCTGAAAAGGAAAACACACAAAAAAAAATTCTGATGAGGTACAAGGTGTCCTAAGTGCACCTTACTTTGGGCCACTGATTGTGCCAATCTTGGCTGAAGGCAACAATGCCTAATTTTACATTAAATGTATGGCTAGGAGTTGACGACAAACACTATGCATTCATGGGTGAAGTCCAAAGCCGTTCTTCAGCACAAACACATCTCGGTCAGCTCGCTAGAACTGGAGGCACTTCAGTGTCAAATAAGAGGCCCACTGGGGCCATGTTTTAAACCCAACCCCTTGAGTTACAAAAGGACACAATCCCACATTACAGAAATTCAATGGTTCTACGCCAAAATTCCTAATCTTTTCCATCACAAGCTAATCCAAACTACAAAATAAATATCATTCTTCCATGCGTCAGTCACTTGACGGTAAGTCAGAGGGAACCAAACATGAGCCAGCTTGACAGAGCGGTGAGGATGAATACCGCTGGGCTAACTCTCAGTTACAGGCTGGACCACTGAGTTCTGTCCGGTGCAAATCCTCTTCAGTGGAGGTGCTCCAGAACATTCATCATCTTCTTCCACAACCTGTTACCAAACCATGAATGATTTAAATATAAATTAGGAGTTTGCAAAGATGTGCTCCAGTCTGTGATTACTATCATATTCTTCACACAATTCAATTAACCATAGACTGTGAGCAAGTCCAGAACAAGGGGAATAATCTTAGAATAAAATTAGAGCCAGCCCACTTACGAGTGAAATCAGGAGGCGGTTTTTTACCCAAAGAGTAAACTGCCTGGATCCATTCCAATTTCCAAGACTGAGGTGGATAGATATGTTTTAGGTCAGGGTATCAAGGGATATGAGTCAAGGGTGGGTAATTGGAGTTGAAGTACAGATTAGCCATGATCTTATAGAATGTTGGAACAGGCTCGAGAGGCTGAGTTGCCTACTCCTGTTCTTATGAAAGATAAGACCAGGCAAATACCCCAGAGAGGCCAAATAAGAGGCGGGTGGGGTCACAGTTCAAAATGGGTTTGCTGGTCACCCACCCCCGACCGCACTCACCTCCGCACACATACTGACCTCACGCCGCTCTAAGTGTACACACTCCTGGCCTACCTGAGGCTGCTGGGGCACCGGCTCCTCCTTTGTGAGCATTGGTGGGTCATCTCCTACTTCTGAGGAAGGAAGGGAAGGTTCTGTGAGAGAGAATTGAGAAATTACTACTGCTATAGCCCCTATGACAATGCTTCCACTTGCTGTTTGACTGACTGAGAGAAATATTGGAGGCATCAGCAGGAGCAAAGAAGTGACATTCACCAGTTTAACTGAAAATTAGGACTTGTAGCCCACTCGGCAACTGTCTGCCCCATACACCACTATTCTGATAGGTCAACCCACCATTCCATAGCCCAGAACACAGCATCGAATCCCTACCCTACCCTCCTTGCCCTCTTCCTGATCCCAACCCCCTGCTCGGGTCCAAATCCCTGACTGTCTGGCGCCTTGGGACGTCCCCCAATGTGAAAGGCACTGAGTAAATGTCATTTGTTGTTGTTGTTGTTGTTGTTGTCATGTTGCTGGCTATACCTTCCATACTCTCCTGTCCCAGCATGGGGGGCTGGGAATCATCTGCTTTGAAGTCAGACAGAATCGCCGGGCTGACAGGCTCACTCTGCTCAGGACTGGGGCTGGGGCTGGTGCTGCTGTCCACTTTTACCTGGTAGGCATCTGACAGCGAGCTCTGGTTACTATTCTCATCTGGAGTATAGAAAACACACAAACACATCATCATTGTGGAGTCCTGTAGCTCAGTGGTTAGAGCACTCGCCTTGCAAGCGAGATACCTGGGTTCAATTCCAGACAGGGCGAAGCCTTGGCCAAGTTTCCTTACTCCACACAGAGCCTAATAATAATCCCTCAAAAACAAAAAATAATAAATTGGTCATTTTCAATCCACGACTGTTTGTAGGACACTGCTGTGCGCAATTGGCTGCCGCGTTTTGCCCACAAATATACGGTCAATTCACTTTGCAGCATATTCTGTAAAGCACTTTGGGAAGTCTAGAAGACGTGAAAAGCGCTATATCAAATGCAAGGATTATTATTATTATTATCATCGCTTCAATTTCTTATCCATTTTCTTCTTCCTTCTACTCAACCGTTGAAAAGAATTTGGTTTGATTTGATGAAAGAAAATTTTGGATCCAATGAAGTCAAAGGAGAACAGTTTGACAAATTGAAACAGAAAGTGGTGGTTAGACACACACACACACACACACACGTGGCCACTCACACAAAATTGACTGTATATTTTGTAGGAGAAACACAACAACCAATTGAGCACAGCAGTGTCTCAGAAACGGTCGTAACCAAATTATTATTTTACTTACTTTTTTTGAAGGGATTATTACCCATGGAAAAGCAATTCACCAATTGACTAACTAAAATAATAGGGTTCCTATTTACTGTTAGGTAAACAGAGGCACGTGTGGAGTAAGGAAACTAAGGTTTCACTCTGCCCGGGAATCGAACACAGGTTTGTGAGGCGAGTGCTCTAATCACAAAGCTAAAGGACTCCACTGAACAAAACAATTTTGATGAAACTTGCCAGTCTAGATTGAACAATTGAATGCCGTTCAGTTATGCGCTGCTTACACTTAGAGCAACCTGCAAGAGGTTAAAGGCACACTCACCATTCATTTCCAGCAGGATGGGTGATGAGCTGTTGTCAGACACTGGCAACTGGGGAAATCCTTTGTCTCCCTTTGTACCTTTTGATTCAAGATTATTCTTTGATTTGGATTTGTCCTGGAAAGGGGTAGCAAAATAAAAAGAGAACATTTTAAAAGCTCACTGGTACCAAGAACGAGGGCATCGTCATAGTATTCTGCAGGATTTCTTCAGGAAGATTTACAAAGGCAATAGGCTCTGAAATGTCAAAATAAAGATCAACAATAGTTTATTCTAATATTTTATGTGGTTACAAATTTCACCCACCTCTTTGGGGTCGGTCACTGGGACCCACTTAAATATCCGGAGCGATGTGTCTCCTACTGTCACCCATTTCTTCTCCCTGTGAAAATGCAGCTCTGATGAGTGATTGTACAAGCTCTCAAAATTACTTTTACTCTGGGAATTCAACAACAACCACAACTTGCACTTCAGGCGTCGAAACAGAACTGTAACAGAAAACTTTATGTAAGTGTCATCTTTTCTCAGTTGGCAGCACTGCCACGTCTTGGTCAGAAGGTCGTGAGATCAAACCCTATATCAGGACCTCAGCTCATCATCAAGGCTGACACTACATGGTATAGTTGGGGAATGCTGCACTGCCTGAGGCGCTTTGGATAAGACATTAAACAGAGATTCCCCGCTGTAACAACAATAGGTTGCTGTCCCCACTGTCATTGTTGTATTTTCTAAAGGGATTATTACTCGGAAAGTGATCCGCCATTCGACTAACAGCGTAAAAAAACAAGTTACTACACTGTTACTGGGGGTGTCTTGTGCCCAGGCACCACAGCATAGGTTTCGCTCTGAATCTAACGAACTGTCCAGCCCATCTGCTGTATCATAGTCACAACCGATCTAGAAAATAGGCTGGCACACCGACTGACCCCTCAAGGTCTGAAGGTTGTGGGTTCAAGCCCCACGCTCGCAGAGCGAGGGCAGGTAATTGGGAGTCGAGGTACAGATCAGCCATAATCTAATGGAATGGCGGAACAGGCTGGAGGAGCTGAATGGCCACATCCTGTTCCTATGCCTGGCTCCATCCCTCAGTGCAGTGCGGAGGGAGGGTGGAGTGGCATGGCCCCCAGTGAGGAGGGAGGGAGGAGTGGCCCCCAGTGAGGAGGGAGGGAGGAGCGGCCCCCAGTGAGGAGGGAGGGAGGAGTGGCCCCCAGTGAGGAGGGAGGGAGGAGTGGCCCCCAGTGAGGAGGGAGGGAGGAGCGGCCCCCAGTGAGGAGAGGAGGGAGGGCCCCAGTGAGGAGGAGGGAGGAGTGAGCCCCCAGTGAGGAGGGAGGGTGGAGTGGCCCCCAGTGAGGAGGAGGGGTGAGGAGGAGGGAGGAGGAGTGACCCCCAGTGAGGAGGGAGGGAGGAGTGGCCCCCAGTGAGGAGGGAGGGGAGGGGTGGCCCCCAGTGAGGAGGGAGGGAGGGTGGAGTGGCCCCCAGTGAGGAGGGAGGGAGGGTGGAGTGGCCCCCAGTGAGGAGGGAGGGAGGGTGGAGTGGCCCCCAGTGAGGAGGGAGGGTGGAGTGGCCCCCAGTGAGGAGGGAGGGTGGAGTGGCCCCCAGTGAGGAGGGAGGGAGGGTGGAGTGGCCCCCAGTGAGGAGGGAGGGAGGGTGGAGTGGCCCCCAGTGAGGAGGGAGGGAGGGTGGAGTGGCGTGGCCTTGATTGACAGCTTCGCTCTGGAATCCAACGGTAGTGCGAGACCAGAGGTCCCGCCCCCATCCGCCCCATTCATAACAAGCGGCCGTGACGCGGTTACCGTAGCAACACGGAAGGACGGCCCGCCCCCCACCATGGACACTTCCCATTGGTCGCGCTGCCTGCCCATCACACAGCAGCGTCCAGGTCACTTGCGCTGTAAGGTCGGGTTAGGCTGCGCGCGCAGCCCCCTCCCTCCCTCCGTCCCCCTCCGTCCCTCACGTGAGGGAAAGTCCTCTCTGCTTCCCGCCGCCGCCGCCGCCACCCGCTCTCCTCACCATTTGCGCACTTTCTCGATCGCCGCCATGACCTTTTTGATGTCATCCTTGGCCCTGCTGCGGGTCTCCGCTCTCACCGACCGGCCGGACATTTTCTCAGCCGCCCTCTTCTCAGCCGCCCCCGATCGCAAACTTTTCTAATCCTGGTCGGTGTTTCTTTTCAACCCCGGGACCAGCGTGCGGCTACCTCCCCTCCCTCCGACGCGGCGCGGCCGCCGCGCATGCGCTTCACTAACCCCAACACCCCCCCCCCTCCCCTCCCCCCTCGGGGCCCCTCAATCCCTCTCGCGCCGCCGCCTGACAGACCGACTGACGCGCGAGCAGCCGACCAACCGCCAGCACGCAGCGCGTGACGTCAACGCGTCAGGCCCTTCAAGGTGACTCCAGACAGACGTGCCCCCTCCCCCCCCCCACACCCACAGCTCTGACCGACTGCGGTTACGGACTGTGGATTTTTGGTGAAAAGGTCCCCCGTTCGAGTTCGAAGGGATTCCTCCGTCCCCTTTGCGGTGAAGCGGCAAAGTTTCGGAAGGGTGACCGCGGGCCGGCCAGCGATACCGGGCGGCAATAACTTGTGGGAGTCCCGTAGCGTAGGGCGGGGCCGGACCACACCGTTAGTCCGGTTGCCTTACTCCGTCGCACCTCGGTTTACCGAGCAGCGAGTAGGGTACGAGTTGGGAGGCGATCAGTGGATCAGCGGGGGGGGGGGGGGGGGAGGGGAGGGGTAATAATCTCTTTCCAAAAAAGATTTGGTCACTTAACCCACGACTGCGGGGACGGCCGCCCACAAAATACACAGTACAAAATATGTATACGGTCAATTCACTTTACAGTCTATTCTGTGAAGCGCTTTGAGACGTCGAGAAGACGCGATGAGGCGCAGGAATCAAATGCCAGGATTACTATTATTATTATTATAAAGTGAGTGAGTGACTGAATGGGTGGGGCTCAGCGCATGCGCAAGGGGGCCTGGCCCTTTAACCGACCTCAGACTCAACCAAACTTGATCGTCACCCCGCCCCCCCCCACCTGGACGGCCAGCGAGGTTCTGATTGGCGGCATTGGTGTCACGTGGATGGCTCAGCCACTCACAGGGCTGCTGACTGCCAAGGGGCGGGCAGTGGGCGTCCGCGGCGCGTCTCGCTAAAGGTCAGTCTGGATGTCAATCACCGACCACGGCCCTCTGCCATTGGCTGCGGCAAAAAAAAAGGTCGCCTCGCTCTCCGATTGGCGGAGGAGCCTGGATCAGGTTAGGTTGCGCCGGGCACGGATGGCGCTGGTGGCGGTCGTCGGTCGGGCGGTGAGGTCGCCTCGCGCGAGGGAGGTGTTGGCATCCGCGGCCTCGCGGCCTGGCGACGCCGAGCGCCTGCCACAGAGCGGCTCGTCTGGGCCCAGCCGGCCCGGGGCCGCACCTCCCCCCGGCCTCAGCCCCACCGCGATGGCACCACTGGCCTTGGCGGGGAGCTGTGTGCCCAGGCCCCGCGTGATGGCACTGACTGGGCAGAGCCGGTGCCCGCCGCAGCCCTCGGGTCCCCTCCTCGCCTCAGACAGGGCTGAGGTGAAGTCAGCCCACGTTGGGAGCCCAGAACCTCCGTTGGATGGCGCCATCCCAATGCCCGGGTCTACCGTCTGCGCCCACCACACCGACACCCACGGCCGTCACGGGCTGACCTGCCAACGTCAGCGCGGACGGCGACCGGGTACCAGTGCCCGGGCCTCGGTCGGGAGCGTTCACAGCGGCGTCACGTCCCGCGGTCCCGCGGTGGGGAACTTCCTTCTCAAAGCGCCGCCTCAGCCCAAGGCATTCGGTTGTTTCAAGGGCACAAGGAGGTGCTTTACATCCAATAACTCTGTCCCACTGCATCGAAGCAAAACTGCCTACTACGATCTCCTGCAGATTTCTCCCACCGCCACTCGGAGCCAAATCAAAACCGCTTACTATAAGCAGTCGTTTATCTTCCACCCGGACAAGAATGCTGGCAGCGAGCAAGCGGTGCTGAAGTTTACCCAGATCAGCGAGGCATACTCGGTGCTGAGCAATGGAATCCTGCGTAGGAAATATGACCGCGGTATCTTGACTCTGGTTGACCTGCAGATGGAGAAAAGCCCCTCAGATAAAACCTTGATCCGAAAGCAACATCAAACCAAGATCACACCAAAGCAATTCCAATCTGGGAAACCCATGTTCAATTTTGACGAGTTTTACCGTGCTCACTACAGCGAACAACTGGAGAAGGAACGTATTCTCCGCCTGAGGAAGGCGCAGTATCGCAAAGAGAAGGAAGATCTTGCGGAGCGATTGCGGCTGAACAAGATTGTGGAGGTCTCAATGGCAATGCTGCTTTTTGCAGGGATGGCTTTGCTCTTGAATTTCCGAAGCAATAAATAAACTGATCAAAGGCACCTGCTGAGACTCAACTTAATTTTGCCCCCAAAAGTATTCAATTCACTTTACAGTCTATTCTGTGAAGCGCTTTGAGACGTCTCGAAGACGTGATAAGGTGCTATAGCAAATGCAAGTTTATTATAAATTTTAAGTTTGTGTGCTGAATCCAGGAATAAATAGGCCCAGTTGTTAATGGAAAGAATGTCTTATTCCTATACGTGGCAGGTGCCTCTAAATACCATTCTCCCTCCTGCCCACTGGTGATCTCTTCGCCAGAGGTTACTTTGGTATTACCTGGGTTAGGTCCCAACTCAATTTCGCCCACAACTACATAGTCAATTCACTTTACAGTATATTGTGTGAAGCGCTTTGAGACATCTCAAAGATGTGAAAAGCACCATATCAAATGCAAGGATTATTATTGACCTTGTACTCTCTGTTTAGGAAACATCTGAGATTTTCAACAGCTGTCCTCAAATCACGGATTCCTGAAATACTGCACTATTAACACAAGAATATCTTCATACCACATGTTGCTGACAGTGATCTTTAGCTTTTATCTCTTACATTAGGACTGGTCTTTATTATTAAGTAACCGGAGCTTGAAATAATGTTTACCCACAAAATACACCTCACAGAAATTTGAAAGTGATGAAATTTGAAAATTTTATTCCAAAGTGAAAGGCACTGCATCAAATGAAAGGATTATAGAATTATTAAACTTTTATTTATATAAATTATTTATATTAATCATTAAAACTTTACTGCCCTGTGTTCCAGAACATCTATTCCAATCTTTTTGGTCGTCCAACAAAATACATTTTCCCGATTGAATATTTTTGTATTGATGTCAAAGCTCAAGGAATAGTCAATCAAGAAAAACATGAAAAACACACTACCGATCGAACACGGACTTACCGAGACGAGTGCACACGTCTGAGGGGCTAGACAGAGGCTCCTTTATTGATGTGAGCTTCAATCGGTTCCTCCTCTGCCTTCATTTTGAAAATGAAATCTCCTGTAATAATAATAATAATTTGGTCGCTCAGTCCACGCCTGTTGTGGGACATTCCTGCGGACAATTGGCTGCCGAGTTTCACATCGAGTGCGAGGACTTATTATTAAGGTCCTGAACATGCAGATGGGGACCTTATTGAGTTTGTCGTTTGCTTAATGGCCACCGGGTGGCACCACAACACCGTCTTGTCAGACAATGGCTGAATTCTGGGGCTTTTGTTCAATGTTTGCCTCTCAGGAGAGAGAGCATTGCTCCTGGAGACTTGCAAAGCCTGAATAAATCCCAAACAAAAACAGAAGTCGCAGGTCAGGCCCCATCTGGCCTTTGCCGCAGTTGAGCAGAACTTCAGCTCGTCTCTCAGTAGATAGTCCCTGATCCTAGTGAGTACGAGCCTGAGGCAGGCTCTCACCATTCCCTCGTTCTGCCAGAAGAACACCTGGTTTTGTGAGCCAAAGGGCCTCCTTTACCAAATTTATGATCCCCCAGGTACACTCACTGTGGGTTTCGCTGCGAATTCCCATGAAGAGATCCATACAGCACACAGTAACCTACCGGAGTCTAGCAAATTACTGTGTGGGGAAAAGGACTAAGAGTAGCCGTAGACATGGGTTTGATGGCTGCTGGGGCTCCTCTTATTGTAGAGTTCTGCTCTTCATGTGGAGCAATAACAGGAAATCAAGTTGTGTTCGTTTCCTTTGCTTTACGAGGTCAGACCTCAAATTAGCGGTCACCTGCATTGACTGAACAGAATGCAATACAATGTGTGCAAGGAGAGCCCTCTCAGTCTGTGCCCCTATAATCTGCAAGTTAATGATCCCAATCAAGAAAGAGCCCAGTCATAGAAAGCACCAGGAAGTGCTTGGGTCTGTGTTTTCTCTCTCCCAAGTCAATTGCCAGTCAGTCTGCTTCCTAACTCAGTTGGGTTCCCAGAACAACTTCTATTAATCATGTAACCTCGAGGGAGGCTCCTCTCGCTGTCTATCAGTGGGGCCATCAAAAGCTGCTCAACTTTAGTATAATAATCCTTCATCTGATATAGCACTTTATCAAGTTTTTGAGATGTCTCAAAGCGCTTCACAGAATATATTGTAAAGTGTAGTGACTGTATATTTTGTAGGCGAAATGTGGCAGCCAATTGCCCACAGTAGTGTCCCACAATCACTTGTGGATTGAGTGTAAGGCGTATCCAATCAGAGATTGTAAAACTCTTTAACGTATATGCATTGCTCCAGGATCACTATGCAGTGTTTCACAGTTACTAACCTCCTGCAGCTTAACTGTGACCAGCTGCTCTCAGGTCCCACACTGTGTGACTTCACTGACTGACTGACTGAGGCCCTTTGACACTCCAGGCTGCTGTCTGTCTGTCTGTCTGTCCATCCTGTGTCTCCAGTGATGAAATCAGACAATCTGCAGGCAGTTCTTCAGACAGAGAGCCCGATAGTGCTGTATTCACAGCCCTGAGAGAGAGAGAGCGAGGCATGAGCATGGGTGGGTATGTGTAGTGACAGTGCCAGCTGCTGTAGGGCTCAGTTTGTGCAGGCCTGCCAGCTGGTCGCACAAATATAACAATATTGGGCCCAGACCCAGTCCCCAGCAGGTGCCAGGCCTGGGAACTACAGGCCTCTGACAATAACACTAATGGCTTTAAGCAGTGAGATGCTCGTCTGTGAAACATCCTGAAACGGGGACTGACTTAGTGCAGTGTGAGCTCTGAGAATGTGGAGTGACAGTGACACGGGAGGGGGGGGCTGTCACTGCTCACGGTTCTGCCTCTGTCAGAAGCCAATCCAGAGCGTTGAGTTACCACACTGACTGGCCTTCCTTATCAATGCTGGCCCTGTGTGGAGTCCCACACTGTAGCGGTTAGAGTGCTCGCTTCATAAGTGAGAGGACCTGGGTTTGATTCCTGGCCAAGATGAAATATTAGGCAAGTTTCCTTACTCCACACGCCTCTGTTTACCTCCGAGTAAGTAGGAACCAGTTGGCGGAATGCACTGTAACGTGAATTGACTGTATATTTTGTGGGCGAAACGTGGCAACCAATTGTGCACAGCAGTGTCCCACAAACAGTCGTGGACTCCCTCCTGGACAGCGGCCGTTAACTGATGGATTGTGAAGTGTTTGTTGCTCCCCGTGGACTCGCTGCCGCTGTTCTCAGGTGTACGGTTGCACGCTTCACTCAGCACCTAAAGTCCTGACTTTGGCAGGGCTTTTCGTGTTGAAGGACGGAATATTGTTCAGAATTTCATGGTGATATATTGTTGAATGAATATTGATGAGCCAGTCGGATGCACAGGGGGCTGGGACAGCAAGGCAATTTGTAACGAGACTCCCGACAGTTTCCAACAAAGCATTTCTGATTCCATTTCAGTCTTAAGGGGTTGTCTCCATCAGTGGCCACTCTTAAAGGGGAACAAGATCTCTCAAGAACATTATCCAACATGAAATGAAATAGTCCATTCCCCATCAGTCACACTAGGGAATTATGTAACAGCAACAACTTGCATTTATATAGCGCCCTACACACAGGGTAGCATCTTGGAGCACTTAACAGTGGTGGAGCCTGATGCTGAGCCGGGGGGGTGGGAGGAGGTGGTGACCGTAAGTTGGGTCAAAGAGGAAGGTCTTCAATCTTGATCTAAAAGAGGGTAAGGAGGGGGCAAGACCGGAAGGATTGATGGAGAGAATTCCAAAGCTTCGGGACGAGAGGGAGTCAGTCGAGTGGAGGCAATGGGTGGTGGAGTGGGGAGTAATCAGGTGGGAAAAGTAGGGAGGTGCCAGGGAGTGAGTGAAGGGACTTGTAGAGAAGTGAGAATCTTGAAGTCAATCAGTTCTGTGATAGGGAGCCAGTGGAGCCGGGCAACTTTGTTCAGTAATAGCAGGGGTGGGAGGGAGAGATACAGCCTCCCAGATCCAAACACACACAGCCACAACCTGCATTTTAAGAAGTTATTTATTGGAATCACGTTGGTACAAAACTATTTTGGTGTTCACTTTACTAAAGTGAGAAGTTCTGAAACAATTCTTTGGACGCCATTAGCTTAGTGGGAGCTCTGCAACAGGCCAATGCAAGGCCTAACATAATGGCTCCCAGTTGACAGGAGCCTGTCCTTCACTTACCCCTGCTTCCAGCCTTGACTTCCTTTGAAGTCCTGCACGTATTCCCCCATCCACCCCACTCTCAGCCGCAGAGAGCACCGGGCCTCAAGACAGCCCACAATATCCTGCACAGTCCTGGCTTAGAAAGGACATGGGTTAAAATCCAAGTCAGGAGAAATTTGGGATGGATTTGCTTCTGGAAGAATCAAAAGCATTGTAACATTGACCGGAACAATCACCAAACTTGTCACACATCAATCACTGTGTGCGTCCCACTTCAGCTGCTGGGAAACCAATGTGAATGAGGCATTGCCTGGTAGTGAGGATCTAAACCATGTCCACCCAGTGCTCCACATGGGAACCTTCCTGTACTCCACTCCCATCACCTGCCTCAGGCTCACAAAACTGCTATTGCACCTTATACCCACCCACCCATCCCGAGGCCTCTCCTAGTGAGAATGCCAACTTCTGGGCAGTTTTGTACTTGGAACCCAGGACTCTAGTAGCCGGGTTGAGTCAGTGCCAGTCTCTTTGCTCAGCTGGGTATCTGACGCAGACAGAAAACTATCACCGTGTCTAAACTATGAGGTTCAGGTATGCATGGAAATTTCCATTTGTCTGCTACGGAGTGCATAATATCTCCCCACAGAGGAGCAGCCTGCTCAACCTAATCCTGGAGAGTTTAAGCACAGGTTGGCAAGAGTTAAAGCTTGGGTTCCTGAGTGTGTATTGGGGTAAGTATTGGAGTTTTAACTAGTTAAAGCTTCTCTCATGCTGCCTAAACCCTGAGGAGATTGTTTTCCATGTTAACGAGAGTGGAATGAGAAGAATCCCAGTGACTGTTCTGCTTCTCTAAGCCCCACAAACCAGCCAGGCTAATCTGTCATTAACAATGCCCTGGAGGACTCTGGACAACAACAACAACAAATTACATTTGTAGAGCGCCTTCCATCATCAGCCTTTCGGCCTTCACTCTTTCTGTCTCACCCTTTGGAACCCCATCACACAGTCCCATCGCCTCGCTCCCTCTCTTGCCTCCTTTCAGGGCACGTCTCAAGACTCCTATTTCATTGCGTCTTCGGTCACCCTCCTATCCCCACCCTCCCTGCCCTCCACCCCCCTCCTGATCAAAATCCACAGCTCGGGTCCAAATCCCTGACTGTCCAGCACATGGGACACAGTGAGAGGCCTGGGTAAATGTAAGTTGATGTTGTTGTCTGCTGCCGCAAGAGCTCAACCTTCAAATGGACAAACTGCTGTTCCTGCTCAGGCTGAGCTCCACATTTATGGGGTTAATTTCAGTGCTGGATGGCGGGTCATGAATAAAACACGGCTATTGTAAAAGGTAATCTTATTAGAGACTGAGAGTTAGTTAGTAATAAATAACCTACTGGTGACTGGGCGTCCTGTGGGGCCTGAGGGATGTGCTCCATTGGGCAGTGGGGGGGCCATGCATCTCTGTGTTGGTGGTGGGGGGTGGGGGGCAATCACTCTTGGTTTCCATTGGTGAATAACAAATGGAAAATAATCCCAGACGTTTCGAGCAGCGTGCTAAACTCTCTTTCTCAGCATTAACCATTTACGTTCCGAATACTGCTTAGCAACTGGCCTTCCTGCAGTAAAAGCCTTAAGCAATGCGACCTAAAATCATAGAATCCTACAGCACAGAAGGAGGCCTTTTGGCCCATCGAGCCTGTGCCGGCACTTTGAAAGAGCTCTCCAGTTTATCCCTCCCCCATCGTATCGCAATTTTTTTTGCTTTTTAAGTACATACCCAATTCCCTTTTGAAAGTTATTGTTGAATCCGCCTCTGCCACTCTGACGGGCCGTGCGATCCACTGCGTATGAGGCACTGGGGAAAAAATCTGGTTTTGTTTTTCTTTGAAATTGTCCATCGTCTCATTTTGGCTTTTCTTGTTCAACGAGGAGATCCCAATGTTGTTTTGATTTTTGGCCCTCCCTCCCCTCCTCCTCCCTCCCCTCTATTCCCCTCCTCTCCGCTCCCCTCTCCTCCTCTCTACACTCCTTTCTGGATTCCCGAAGGCCTTTCCCCTGAAGCGCTGCTCAGGTTCTGCTATCGGTAGGGAGGCTGTTTCTGCACAGGATGGGGCCGCTGCAGTTTGAAGGCCTTTGCTGTCCACAGTGACTCATGATTCAAGTCCAAGCCTGGGCCCCGCGGTGCGAATGGGGTGTTGGGTCGATAAAGTCCCATCCGCCCGGCCCGGGAGCTGAGGGGGGGCAGGTTCCTGGTGCGAGGGGGCGGAGAGGGGGCGAGGACTGGAGCAGAGGCCTCCGCAGGGAATCCATTCCACGGGTTCCGAATGTGGACTGGGGGCCCGGCGTGAGGGCCCCGGCTGGGGACCTGTGGTGGTTGCTCCAGCCTCTGGTCCCTCCTGATCAGCTCCTGTAACTTGTCCCCCTGGGTTCTTCTGATGTGACAAAGTGTCCGCAAGCCTTGGAACTTCTCCAGGAAGATCTCCAAAGACACACTGCCCCTCAGGAACCTCTCTGTCAGCTCCTGTAAAAAAACAAACCAGCCTATTATATACCTCAAAACCTGCAGCCCTGAAGCTCAGTGGTTAGAGCACTCGCCTCGCAAGCGAGAGGACCTGGGTTTGAATCCCGGGCGGGGTGAAACATTGGGCAAGTTTCCTTATGCCACACACACGCCTCTGTTTACCAGAAGTAAGTAGGAACCTGGTTGTTAGTCGATTGGCGGATCGCTTTTGCGGGGGGATAATACAACAAAATTGGTCACTTCAAAATTGGTCACTGTTTGTGGGACGCTGTTGGGCAGAATTGGGAATTGCACGTTTCGCCCACAAAATATACAATCAATTCACTTTACTGTGTATCCTGTGAAGCCCTTTGCGACGTCTCGAAGACGTGATAAGGCTGCATCAAATGCTAAGATTATTATTATTATAAACTGTACCTTCCACCATTTCCTTACGGTTTGAAAACGCCTGACGATCAGTGAGTAGAGTTTCAGATTAATCGCACTACACTGAGAGCAAACCTCCCTGGAGCCACGGCAAGAATGAGCCATAACAAGACTGGGTTGTGGTTACTATTTATTCATACCTGAACTCCAGCTTGTGAAAGTGTATATCTATATATAGCAGTGAAAGGCCTCAGCTCTCTGTCTTTCCTTCCTCCCGCTAACTCAAAAGGTTTTCACAATCTAACCTTCTCGCTGTATAACTATATCTTCTCAGCATATCTCATTCTTATTTACTGTTCTTAAAGTATGTGTGTGTGTGTGTATCTGTCTGTGTGTGTCTGTCTGTCCCACTCCCATTACCTCCCCACTCCCCCAACCAAAAAATAACTATAAGAATGTAGTCATTCAATCCACAACTGTTTGTGGGGACATTGCTGTGCATATTGGCTGCCACGTTTCGCCCAGAAAATTCCCGCAATCAATTCACTTTACAGTATATTGTGTGAAGGGCTTTCAGACGTCTCGAAGATAAGGCGCTGTATCAAATTCAAAGATTATTATTATTATTCCACGGAGAGATTGTTGGCCACAGTGGCACCATATTGTGTGAGCGTGGGCCGGTTCTCTGCTTACACACACAGACAGTGTTGCACACCAGCAGCAGACAGTGGGGGTGGGGGCCAGTTACCACATGTGAAAAAGCCTCACAGTTGGAGATCAGAGATACCAAATGCAAGGATTATTATCTGGTGCAAGAAACCACAAGCCAGGGAGGTGGGGAGGTGGGTGTGGGGTGCTGGGGGAGCACGATTCTGTCCAGGTTAAGTGAGCCCCGTGTTGGGTTTAATCTCAGGCATTAAGTGCGACTTGGTGCACTTTGTACCTGAGGGGATTCTCCCCAGAGATATGGAAAGTTTCACTGTTTCAGTGAATGACTGAGAACGCTCTCTCTCTCTCTCGCTTAGGAAAATCATTGTAGTAATTCTGAAAACTCATTCCTCCACTGAAGGCTGCCTGAAGTTTCTGGGTATTCCCCAGGCTGCCGTTTGTGCAATATCCCCCCTTCCCCCAACACTGAGCCCCCATCCCCGTGTCTGTGCCCCCTCACCCCTCACACACACAGTGGGCTCCGCGTGCTTTCCCTTCATATGTGACAATGAGAGACAGGAAACTGTTGAACCACAGGATGGTTGGAGGATAAGCTCACGTTCCCTGGTCTGCACAGTGTGCACAATGTGGGCCCTTTGGCATTGTCTGCCATCTCTGCTCAAGTTATAGCGACCGCACTCATCTCTCGCGCTCCCCCTGCCCCCAAAGCTCCCGGTCGGCTGAGTCCGTGTAGCACTTTGAGACGTCCTCTCGCTGTGAGAGGCGCTGTATATAAATGTAAATTGTACGATATCAATAACAATATAGAATAATAATCCTTGCATTTGATACAGCCACTTATTATGGCTTCCAGGGGTCTCAAAGCGCTTCACAGAATATACTGTAAAGTGGATTGACTGTATTTTGTGGGTGAAACACTGCAGCCAATTGCGCACAGCAGCGTCCCCACAAATAGTTGTGGATTGAACATCTTCAAGGCTGAGACTGATAGATTTTTTAAAAATAGAGGGATTAGGGGATATGGAGATAGAAATGGTGGTGCACAGGCTCGAGGGGCCGAATGGCCTACTCCTACCCCTAATTCGTATGTTCTTATTGGGTGACCAAATTATTATTATTTTTTACTCCATAGCGCACAGTGGCTCAGCCCGGCTCACTGCGGACAGTAATGAAGGACGGCAGAGCACACACACAGTTCCTGTGGACTCACCTCCGATTCCTGCTCTGCCTGGTCTGTCGCTCTCTGCAGATGCTCTAGAGCAGTGCTGGGGCTCAGTCTTTCCAGCTGCACAGCTGTGGAGAGAAGGAGGTCACATTAACAGCTGCCGCAGAGCCAGGCCTGCAGGAACCCCTGCCCCTCCCTGCTCCCCAACCCCCTCCTTGCCCCCCGCCCTTCCCTGGGGGAGCACTGCATTGTCGAGGTGCTGTCCTTCCGATGAGATGCTAAACAGAGGTCCCATCTGTGCCTGTTCAGGTGGACATTAAATATCCCACAATTCATGCCACTATTAGAAAAAGGAAAGGAGTTTCTCCTGGTGACTTGGTCAACAATCACTCAAATAAAATTAGTTCAATCTTTTCATGGTTGGTTTGGGGACATTCCAGTGTGTAAATTGACTGCCATATTCACCTACAAATTAGACAGACACTGCGCTTTACAGTAAATTGGTTGAGCACTTTGAAACGTCTTGGCGATGTGATAAGGCGCCATCTCAAATGCAACAATTATCATAACATCTTAAAGCATGTCACAAAGGTTCTGAATACCTTTCTCCAGGATATATTGTAAAGGGTATTGATAGTATACTTTTGGGGCAAAAAAATATGGCAGCCAATTGCACACAGCAGTGTCCCACAAACAGTCGTGAATTAAGTGACAGAATTATTAATATTTGTTTGGGAGGGATTACTATCCCCGGAAAAGCAATCCGCCAACTCCTACTTACTGCTCGGTAAACAGGTGTGTGGAGTAAGGAAACTTGTCTAAGGTTTGGCCCAGGAATTGAACCCGGATCCTCTTGCTTGCGAGGCGAGCCCTCTAACCACTGAGCTACAAGATTCCACGCAAAAGACTGCTCAGCGTTACCCTGGTGCAGTTCTGCCTCAGTGAGATGTCCTTCTCGCCGCGCACACCAGCGTCTGACCTCCAGACAGTCACCCGTGTGTGAATGTGAGCCAGGGTGTTGATGCCTATCAGCCTCCCACACTGCAGCCTGCAGCCTCCCATCTCCCCATACAGCAATAAATATTCATCCAGTGCGGGTCTGCTCTGCTGACCAGCCCCAGCACAGAGCTATAGAGCTCGGCAGTCTCCAAATCAGCTTCCTATTTAGTGGAGTCCAATAGCTGAGTGAACAGATATCGCACCCACAAAAGTCAATCCACTTTCCAATATATTCCATGAAGCGCATTGAGACTTCTCAACTACTCGATAAGGCGCTGTATCAGATGCAAGGATTATTATCATTAACTCTCTTGAGTGAAGAACTTCTTCCTAATCTCTCCCGGAATCTTTCGCTGAGAATCCTAAGTGGGATTCGAAGCAGGAAGTGACACCCTGGGTGTGGGGGGGGGGGGTATGGAGTGAAAGCCTCTGGAATGCTACCCTTCCTGAGGAGCGCTGTATAAGTGCAAGTTGTTGAGTATGGAAAATGCTGGGATCGGGTGCTGGATGGGCAGGAGCTGCTCACCCAGTTTCTGCTGTTTGTAGTCACAGGCCACGGTGGCCTCCAGCAGCTGCTGGTATTTCCTGGTGAGCTGGAGCTTGCCGGCCTCCAGCCGCGGTTTCAGACTGAGGTTGGCCTCTGCCAGGTCCTTGTTCCCTGTCACCGTTGCCTCCTGCTTCAGCTGCAGTCTCTGAGCCTAAGGAGCCAAAGAGAAAGCGTTAGCTTCACCACCAACAAGTCACAAGATCGGTTTGGATGAAGAAGGTCCTTTTGGCCCATTTGATCCCATCCAACACCCACGCGAACTGTGGTCTGTAGTTTAGTGATCAAATAGAAACAGACAAACAAAGACATTAATTACACTCTGTGCTGCACTGGTGAGTGGATCTCAGAGAGAGCATTGAGGGCAGAGATGGGTCGGGTGAAGCCGAACTTTGGGATTTGAAGTGAAACTACTGCACGTTGGGTGACTGAGCAGCACACTGCACGCGGAGACTAGTTTATGCAAAAATGCTGGCAGAACGCAGCAGGAAGGACTGACACTGGCCGAGAGAGGGAGGGAGTTTCGGTCTCGGTTGCTGGAAAATAATTAAAATGTAGGAGCCATGGACAAGGTTTTCATTACAATTGCTGTATAGGATTGTTTTATTTGCAAAGAATGATGAATTCATTCATTCCGCCCCCACATTCCCCTAATGTTATGGCTGCTCAGGTGTTTATCTGATTTCCACTTTAAACGATTGTAATGATCGAGACTCAACGTGGAAACGGATTCCAAAGCCTAACAAGCCTCTGAATGAAGAAATCCCTTGTAATCTCTCCAGCTAATCATCGATTCCCCACATAAAGGAAAGAATAAAAAAATAACTTTGGCCACTCAATCCACGGCTGTTTGTGGGGACGCTGCTGTGTACAATTGGCTGCCGCGTTTCGCCCACAAAATATAAAGTCAATTCACTTTACAGTATATTGTGTGAAGTGCATATCAGATGCAAGGATTATCACTATTCTCTAACCGAACACACGCTTCCATCCTACAGCACTCCAGACACACTGCATTGTACAGTGACCCGGTGTCATTGGTAAACCATAACAACAGTGTCTAGAAACAGGAGGAGGATGTGTGTGCCCTCTCTGTGCAGTTGAATTAGCAGAATAATTGTGATTAATTGGCTCGTTAATTATTAATCACCTGGTTCCCATCAGCCACAGGAAACGTGAATCGGGTTCTTGCTGATCTCACCGCTCAATGACTTTAGATAGTAATAATTTGGTCGCTCAATCCACGATTGTGTGTGGGACACTGCTGTGCGCAATTCGCTGCCGCATTTCACCCACAAAACACACAGTCACTACGCTTTTTCAGTATGTTCTGTGAAGCGCTTTGAGACGTCTAGAAGACGTGATAAGGCACTATATCAAATGCAAAGATTATTGTTGTTGTTGTTCTTACTCGCCAGCCCAACATGAGTGACGCGATAGCAAATGCAAGGATTAGTATTCAAGTCTTGCAGTACGATGGCCGAGGGCCGATGTGCCACACCACAGAGTCAGCCCAACAAACACAGTGTTCCTGGTCTGTACGTGCACACCCCCCCTCCCACCCCCTCCCCCACCCCCCCCCCCCCCCCCCCCCCCCCCTCCCCCACCCCCCCCACCCCCCTCCCTGCTCAGTCTGAGATCAGATCCCAGTATCAGGGCTACCAGACACAGTGTGGCCCGGCCCCCCACCCACACTGCTCACCATCAGCACACGTCCCGGTCCCTCAGTAACCTCTCCGTCTCCCACCTGATATAACATCCACTCACACTCACTCCCGCACGTTCCCAATCCGGTTCCTATTCCCTCTCATCTCAAGCTCAACTTTCCCACTTCCCGCACACTGGCGCCACCCCCAGTGCCCGCACACTCTGGGGTCCCGGAGCCCAATGGTTAGAGCGCTGGCCTCGCAAGCGAGAGGATCTGGGTCTGATTCCCGGGCAGAGCGAAGCCCTGGGCACGTTCCCTGACTTACTCCACACACCTCTGTTTACAGCAGTGAGTAGGAACCCGGTTGTTAAGTCAATTGGCGGATCCCTTTTCCAGGAATAATAATAAACCCCTTCGAAAATAATAATCGCTCAGTCACTCACTGTTTGTGGGACACTGCTGTACGCAATTGGCTGCCGCATTTCGCCCACAAAATACACAGTCACTTTACAGTATATCCTGTGAAGCGCTTTGAGACGTCTCAACAACAACAGTAACTTGCATTTATACATCGCCCCTCACACAGGGTAGTGTTCCAGAGTGCGATATCGAGCCGGGGGGGGGGGGGGGGGGGCAGGAGGTGCCGTACACACGGTTAAAGAGGAAGGTCTTCAGGCGCGACGTGAAGATGGGGGTAAGCGGAGAGATACCGAGGGGGGGAGTGCCAGAGGCTCAGCAAAGTGATAAGGCGTCACATCAAATAGAAAGGTTATTAATTACACGGTCTCTGTCCCCCCCCCCACACCCCACACACTGTGTCTCTGTCCCCCCCCCACACCCCACACACTGTGTCTCTGTCCCCCCCCCACACCCCACACACTGTGTCTCTGTCCCCCCCCCAACACCCCACACACTGTGTCTCTGTCCCCCCCCACACCCCACACACTGTGTCTCTGTCCCCCCCACACCCCACACACTGTGTCTCTGTCCCCCCCCACACCCCACACACTGTGTCTCTGTCCCCCCCCACACACTGTGTCTCTGTCCCCCCCCACACACTGTCTGTGTGTGTGGGGGGGCTGTGAGGGGCTGTGTGAGGGGGTGTGTGAGGGTGTGTGAGGGGGTGTGTGAGTGAGTGTGTGAGGGTGTGTGTGTGTGGGTGTGTGAGGGGGTGTGTGAGGGTCTGAGTGAGTGTGTGAGGGTGTGTGTGGGTGTGTGTGAGGGGGGGTGTGTGTGAGTGAGTGTGTGAGGGTGTGTGTGGGGGGGGAGTGAGTGTGTGTGGGTGTGTGTGTGGGTGTGTGTGGGTGTGTGTGAGGGTGTGTGTGAGGGGGAGGGTGTGTGTGGGGGGGGGAGTGAGTGTGTGAGGGTGTGTGGGTGTGTGTGAGGGTGTGTGAGGGTGTGTGTGAGGGTGTGAGGGTGTGTGAGTGAGTGTGTGAGGGTGTGTGTGGGGTTGTGTGAGGGTGTGTGAGGGTGTGTGTGAGGGTGTGGGTGTGTGTGGGTGTGTGAGAGGGGGGGATGTGTGAGGGTGTGTGTGTGGGTGTGTGAGGGGGGGTGTGTGAGGGTGTGTGTGAGGGGGGTGTGTGTGAGGGTGTGTGTGAGGGGGGGTGTGTGAGGGGTGTGTGAGGGGGGTGTGTGTGAGGGGGTGTGTGTGGGGCTGTGAGGGGGTGTGTGTGGTGTGTGTGAAGGTGTGTGTGAGTGTGTGTGAGGGTGTGTGTGAGGTGTGAGGGGGTGTGTGAGGGTGTGTGTGACGGGGTGTGGGGGTGTGTGTGGGTGTGTGAGGGGGTGTGTGTGGGTGTGTGAGGGTGTGTGTGAGGGTGTGTGAGGGGGTGTGTGTGGGGTGTGTGAGGGTGTGTGTGGGTGTGTGTGAGGGTGTGTGTGTGGGTGTGTGAGGGTGTGTGTGGGGGGGGTGTGTGAGGGTGTGAGGGTGTGTGAGGGTGTGTGTGGGGGTGTGTGAGGGTGTGAGGGTGTGTGTGAGGGTGTGAGGGTGTGTGTGGGGGTGTGTGGGGGTGTGTGAGGGTGTGTGAGGGGGTGTGTGAGGGTGTGTGTGAGGGTGTGTGTGAGGGGGGGTGTGTGTGGGTGTGTGAGGGTGTGTGAGGGTGTGTGAGGGTGTGTGTGAGGGTGTGTGTGAGGGGGGGTCTCACCTGGTCGCTGAGCTGCGCCATGAGTCGCAGTCGGTGATCGTTCCCGAGCAGTTGCCGCAGTTCCCCAGTGCTCAGGAACCCGAAGCGGTCCCGAGACATAACTCCCGCACCGCCTCCCGCACTGCCACTGCCCCGCACTGCCCGCACCGCCTCCCACTGCCCCGCACTGCCTCCCACTGCCCCGCACCGCCTCCCGCACTGCCACTGCCCCGCACTGCCCCGCACCGCCTCCCACTGCCCCGCACTGCCTCCCACTGCCCCGCACCGCCTCCCACTGCCCCGCACTGCCCCGCACCGCCTCCCACTGCCCCGCACTGCCACTGCCCCGCACTGCCCCGCACCGCCTCCCGCCTCCCGCACTGCCCCGCACTGCCACTGCCTCCCACTGCCCCGCACCGCCTCCCACTGCCCCGCACTGCCCCGCACTGCCTCCCGCCTCCCGCACTGCCCCGCACTGCCACTGCCTCCCACTGCCCCGCACCGCCTCCCACTGCCCCGCACTGCCTCCCGCCTCCCGCACTGCCCCGCACTGCCACTGCCTCCCACTGCCCCGCACTGCCTCCCACTGCCCCGCACCGCCTCCCGCCTCCCGCACCCTCCCGCACTGCTCCGCACTCACTGACAGCCACAGATACCCGCCCACAGCAGCCCCGCACCGCCCAGAGACTCACACACACACACACACAGAGACTCACACACACAGAGAGAGAGAGAGACTCTCACACACACACACACACAGACTCAAACAGAGACACCGACACGTGTGAGACTCACACACAGACTCAGAGACTCACTCACTGTGAGACTCACACACAGACTCAGAGACTCACTGTGAGACTCACACACAGACTCGGAGACTCACTGTGAGACTCACACACAGACTCGGAGACTCACTCACTCCACATATACAAAACACACGGATTTTACATACGCTTTACATATGTATATACGGTACAGTTGCAGCTGTGAAGCTCTTTAATAATCTTTGCATTTGATAAAGCGCTTTTCACATCTTTGAGACGTCTCAAAGTGACTATTGTTATAATGAAATATTATTATAATGGAATTGTGATTATTATTATAAATTGTACCAAATGCAAAGATTATTAGCAATGTCCCCCATTGATCTGAACCACATAAAGCTCTCCGGGTCCGCGCCAGGGTTTGGGACCAGGCTCTACATTCCTGGCTCATTCCGACTTGAGTAACCAAATAACATTTGACACAGTCACTACACTTTTCAGCATATTCTGTGAAGCGCTTTGAGACGTCTCGAAGACGTGAAAAGGCACCGTATCAAATGCCAGGATTGTTAGTGTTATTATTATCAATACCTGCATTAGAGTTGCGAATACAGGACAGAACCAGGTCAGCCCAGACCAGGTCAGCCCAGACCAGGTCAGCCCAGCCCAGGTCAGCCCAGACCAGACCAGGTCAGCCCAGCCCAGACCAGGTCAGCCCAGCCCAGCCCAGGTCAGCCCAGCCCAGCCCAGCCCAGGTCAGCCCAGCCCAGGTCAGCCCAGCCCAGGTCAGCCCAGCCCAGCCCAGGTCAGCCCAGCCCAGGTCAGCCCAGCCCAGGTCAGCCCAGCCCAGGTCAGCCCAGCCCAGGTCAGCCCAGCCCAGGTCAGCCCAGCCCAGGTCAGCCCAGCCCAGCCCAGGTCAGCCCAGCCCAGGTCAGCCCAGCCCAGGTCAGCCCAGCCCAGGTCAGCCCAGCCCAGGTCAGCCCAGCCCAGGTCAGCCCAGCCCAGGTCAGCCCAGCCCAGCCCAGGTCAGCCCAGCCCAGGTCAGCCCAGCCCAGGTCAGCCCAGCCCAGGTCAGCCCAGCCCAGGTCAGCCCAGGTCAGCCCAGACCAGGTCAGCCCAGACCAGGTCAGCCCAGACCAGGTCAGCCCAGACCAGGTCAGCCCAGACCAGGTCAGCCCAGACCAGGTCAGCCCAGACCAGACCAGGTCAGCCCAGCCCAGGTCAGCCCAGCCCAGGTCAGCCCAGCCCAGCCCAGGTCAGCCCAGCCCAGGTCAGCCCAGCCCAGCCCAGCCCAGGTCAGCCCAGCCCAGCCCAGACCAGACCAGGTCAGCCCAGCCCAGCCCAGGTCAGCCCAGCCCAGGTCAGCCCAGCCCAGGTCAGCCCAGCCCAGGTCAGCCCAGCCCAGCCCAGGTCAGCCCAGCCCAGGTCAGCCCAGCCCAGGTCAGCCCAGACCAGGTCAGCCCAGACCAGGTCAGCCCAGACCAGGTCAGCCTCGCACCCGCGACTCTTCCCAATTAATGTCAACTGCAACAGTGCTGAACACTGAGGGAAGGGGAACACGTGCGCAGAGCAGTGCAGTGCCCGGATCCACCAGCAGTGGGCGATGGTGCACTCAGAATCTATTTGGTGTAAACTTACTTGAATTTACCCGGGAGTGAATGACCGGATCTGACCTGGTCTGGACTGACCTGGGCTGGGCTGACCTGGGCTGGGCTGACCTGGTCTGGGCTGGTGTGGTCTGGGCTGACCTGGTCTGGGCTGATGTGGTCTGGGCTGACCTGGTCTGGGCTGGTGTGGGCTGACCTGGTCTGGGCTGACCTGGTCTGGTCTCAGCAATAGTTGGGGCCAGTATTGGCTCCTGTATCAGTGAGGAGAGCGCTTCTTCGCAGGCGTTTCTGGTGTAGAACCCGACAGGAGGTTCTCGCCCACAAAATACGCAGTCACTACACTTTACAGTATATCCTGCAAAGCCCTTTGAGACGTCTTGAAGACGTGATAAGGCGCTGTATCAAATGCAAGGGTTATTTTTATGATTTTCACAACAAAGTCCATCTCATGGCCAAGTCTAACGTCTGAAATATTCACTCCACAGTGCAATTTTTCGCTTAGCAGTTTAATGGGTTTTTTTTCAATAAGAATTAATAAATAACTATTTCCATCTATAATTTTTTAACACAAAATATTACTTTCTGGAGCAGTAGGTGAGGGAGGGGCGCAGGGGAGGGGGTTACAGCCTGAACTCATTCTGCGTAGGTGTAGTAACATTGCATTTGCACGGAGTGTTAATCACAGCAGTAGCAAAACCCCGGTGGGACTATACACAGTGAAACGAACCCGCGCTCAGCAACTAGATCCTTTAACCAGCTCAGTACAAGACATCAGTTCATATATATGCTAAACTTCCTTTCCAATTAACAGAACTAAAAAATAAAGGACCCTCTTGTTAGTCACTTTGTGATGAAGGTTAAGTGTGGAGGCCAGGGTTTGGGGGTCGAGGGGGAGGAGATGGCTCGAGACTCTCGTGTGAAGGATGTAAACAAAGTCATTCCCTGAACTAAAGTGCAGTCGCCCCCCCTTCACAGCCCCTCCGCATTCCTCCCGTGCATCTGCTTCTGAATCTGCTGTAGCATTTCCTGCATTCGACGCAACTGTAAAAAATAAGACACAGCGAGTCTGTCAGCAAACACAATAACATAAGAATTTGACCAGTGAAAGACCAAGATATTATTATTATGATGACATGGGATTGAGAAAGAACACACAGCGATATTTTCAGGAAGGCCAAGGGCAATTTCAGGACAGACACCAGGAATTGTTTCTTTCCCCAAAGAGTAATGAATGACTGGAACAGGGTCACCAGGAATAGTGTTGAAGCCAGGACACTGGGACTCAATTAACCATCAGCTTCATGCTTTGAAGGAAGGACAATAAGTGTGTGTTGATAGAGATGATCAGCCGGTCCTTTGTGAACTCTCCTCACACGGTCCTGACACAACAACAACAGCAAGTAACATTTACACGGCATCTTTCACATTGGAAGGGCGTCTCAAGGCCCTGGACAGTCAAGGATTTGCACCCGAGCTGGGGGTTGGGATCAGGAGGGGTGGGGGGCAGGGAGGGAGGGGGTAGGAGAGTGGCCGAAGGCCAAACAGCACAAATACCACTGGACTCCTCACCTCCTCGTCCTTCTCCCGGATTATTTTCTCTGTCTCATTATCTGTCAGGCCAGGAACGAGGGGAATCGGGAAATCCGTCCCACTCTCTCTCGTCAGCTTACTGAAAGGAAGGAATCAAAGGTGAGGAATAGTCAGTGTTGGGTGGGGAGTGAGGGGAGGTATATTAGAGTCTCTGTGTAGGGGGGGAAGGTATTAAAGACAGAGAGTGTGAGTGTGTAGGTATGAGAGAGCGTATGTGTGTGTGAGAGGGAGAAAGACTGAGCGACAAAGGGAGACTGAGTGACAATTACAATGCAACCTGGACACCCTTCACACAAGTTGGACGTCTCAAACTGCTGCATAGTGATGTCCAGGGGTGTGAGCCGGGGGTGGGGTGGGGGGGAGATGATCAAAAGAGATCGAAGAAGTTGGGTGGGTGGAGGGAGATTATGGTGGGATTTGAACATGAGAATGGGGATGTTGAACTCTCCATTCTCGATGATCGCTCTGTGCAAACTTTTAAGGTTGTGGGGTTATAAGGTTAGAAGTTGCTGCCGTCATTGTGCCCTGAGGTATTCCAGTTTACCTTTCCTCCATTGGGCTTTATCTCACACAGTGTTTCTCTGCTGAGCCTCACCAGTGATTGGATCTCTGTTGCCCTATTGAGCGGGTCTCTCTATTCCAGGTGCCTTTGGGAGCTGTGATCAACTCCTGGTGTATTGGTGTGAACAAGTGGTTTGATCACCTCTCCACTTTGGAGATGAACGAGAGGATCATGTGATTCATGATGGGGTGGGGGAGAGATAATAATAATCCTTGCATTTGATATAGCACCTTATCACGTATTCGAGACATCTCAAAATGTTTCACAGGATACACTTTAAAGTGTAGTGACTGTTAACTAGCACAAAGAACGGGAGGAGAAACTAACCCAAATTTTACTCTTTATTTGCCCCATAATGTACCCTCTTTCTCTGACTATTCGCCCTTTCCCAGATCATCAAACCCAGAAATAATTGAGGGACGACAAAGCTCATTTCAACCTTTTATTGCACTTTGATTCAAATATGACTATGTCTGAGTTGAATATAGAAGCTTGACTGAAACCTCTCTGAATAACACTACCTCTGCACTGAGTCTCAAATTAGTTCAATCTGCAATAGAACCAAAAAACATTCGATTTAAAATTTTTACATAGACTCAGTTCACTGTGTGTAAAGCCTGGCTCAACGTCTCAGATCAGCCCCCAAGGCTGACAACTATAATAATAATAATAATCCTTGCATTTGATATGGGCCCTTATCATGTGGGTATTTGGACTTGAGGTACAGATCAGCCATGACCTTATAGAATAGCGGAACAGGCTTGAGGGGCTGAATGGCCTCCTCCTGTTCCAATGGAATCCTCAGGTAGCATCTGTGGATGCATCTGTGCTGAGCTTCTGCTCGCAAACCGATCCAACACGGCCAAAGCCGTGGAAGACTGGGACCGATTGGGGTGGGATCAGAGTTGCGGAGGCTGTGTGTGAAGTTCACAGCTTTTCGGCCCAGTGTAATGTGTCGAGTGAAAGTTTGCGATTCTATACTTGGTAACTCAGCGAATTAATAACCGACCTTCTGCCAACATAAACGGAATGTTCTTACTTCCGGTTACGCTCTTTGACCACCATGCGGGTCATGCTCTGGATACACTGCGCTCGGTAGTTCTCGTAGTGAGTGTCTCGCGTCACGTCCTTCAGGTCCTGCATGTGTGTTCGGATCAGCATGTTCCTCAGCTTCACAAAGTCACAGTGAGCGGGATTCTCCACTGCAGCAAGAGACAGAGAGAGAGATGGGGGGGGGGGGGGGGGCGGAGAGAGAGAGACAGGGGGAGATAGAGAGAGGGGGATGAAAGTGAGAGGGAACGAACACTCAGCGTCCAAGCCACAAACACACACCGTCACTACGCCTTACAACAACAACCTGTATTTATATAGCGGCCTTCACACGGGGCAGCGTCTCAGAGCGCTTAACAGTGTCAGTGCTACTTCAGTGCAATGTGCTTCACACACCATCACACACGCTGTGAACACACGCTGAGCGAACACACAAGTTATTTTGATCGATACTGAAACCACTTTATTCTCTCATTTTAACCATCTGCCAGGATATACCACCACCTCCCCACACTCAGGTTCTAATCCCTGACTGTTCAGCGCCTTGGGACGTCCTTCCGACATGAAAGGCACTTTACAAATGTAAATTTGTTATTGTATCTGAAGCCAATCGAGGCTCAGATGTATTCATTTAAGTGTAGAGCGCAGAGAAAGCTTCACGCCAATACCTGGAATCCCCCCCCATGTGTGTCTGAGACTAATTCTAATAAGAATCGTACCTTCTACAATGCCCCACGGATACAGACGCCCTCGAATTCGCCTTCCTTTGGCTTCAACCACAGTGTTGCTGCCAATCACAGCAAACGGAATGCTTTCCTACAGCAGGTAAGAGATTAATGGACAAAAAAGAGGTTAAAAACGTTGTTCAGAAAAATACACAGTCACGACACTTTACAGTATATTCTGTGAAGCGCTTTGAGACCTCTCGATGACGTGATAAGACGCGATATCAAATGCAAGGAACAGTACATTAGTCTGGTTTTATATGATTGGAACTAAACAACAATAGCAGCAAAGTGCTTTGAAATAATGCCTTTCCTTCGCGTTAGAAAAGAACTCAGAACACTTCAAAAATTGCAAAAGTGAAGTTGAAGTGGAATCAATCAATAAATGTCTTAACCTATGGTTTCTCTATACTTTGAGACACTTCAATGACGTGATAATAATAATAATCCTTGCATTTGATATAGCGCTTATCACATGGTCAAGACATCTCAAAGCGCTTCACAGGATATACTGTAAAGTGTAGTGACTGTGTATTTTGTGGGCCAAGCATGGCAGCCAATTGTACGCAGCAGCTTCCCCCAAACAGTCATATATTATATGACATACAAGTCTGCCTGTAACTCACACTTGTCGGATGTCATAGTAAATGTATATAAGGAGCTATATAAAGGATTATCAACGTGATACAGTTTGCAGCTTTCAGTCCCACTCACAGTAATGTACAGGTTTATTAACAGTGTCCCAATATTCCTGGGTCAATCTATTCTGTGTCTCTAGATAGGAAATCAACTCACATGGGCTCCTCACCTTCAGTTCCTTATCTTGCTGCTTAAACTCCTCGTCCTCATCCGAATCACAGTCTGGGAATTGGTAGATCTTTATCCCAAAGCTTTCAATTTCCTGACGGATCTGTCGGAGTTGTCAAAGTGTAACTAATGGAAGCAAATCGAATGATCGTTCCAAACGCAATACGTTCACAGTTTTGTACATTTTCGACCGCTTTTCGGCCTTGGGACAAACTGGTCACAAGCAAACACCTCCAGTAATAATCCTTGTGTTTACTCCCCAACCCACTCCCCGCTGCCTCCACTTGTCTGGCTCCACCTCTTGCATGTACCTTGTGCTCTCCATTCCACCATCAGTGGCCGGGATTTCAGCCACTACTCCCTGAAACTCTGGAACATTCTTCCTCCATCCCTCCGCCTTGCCCCTTCCTTCCCCATCTTCAGATCGTGCCTGAAGACCTTCCTCTTCGAACGCCTGTGAGGCGAGTGTCCTAACACTAAGCTACAGGACTTCACTGATTGATTGATTATTTATTTATTGATGTGATGTGTTACCTTTGGCTTCATTTTCCGAACCTCGGCAGGAGTCAGTGTGTCGGCTTTGGCGAGAATAGGTACGATGTTCACCTTGTCGTGGACGGCTCTCATGAATTCCACATCCATCGGACGCAAACTGAGAGACAAACAGTGCCCGGCGGTTAGTGATTGTTTGGCACAAAGTTCCTTTTTTTTACACAAAGCAAGTCAAATAATTATTTCTTACATCTAAGCTCCACTGCACCAACTCCCTGCTTGTCGGCCTTCCCAACTCTTCCCTCCACCAGCTGCAGATCATCCAGAACTCTGCAGCTCGTGTCCTTTTTCCGCGCCGGGCTCCGTGACCCCATCATTCCAACCCCATCATTCCCATCCTCGCCCGGTTCCACTGGCTCCCCATTCCCCAGAGGGTAGAGTTTAAAATCCTTGTCCTTGCCTTCAAGGCCCTCCACAGCCTTATTCCTTCCTACCTCTGAGACCTGCTGAACCCATATCAACCTGTTCGCTCCCCATCCGCTCAGGTGATGGTGGGGGGGTGGGGGGGGGTGGTTTGTGGGGTAACTCTGGGTCAAACTCTCCTTAATAAACACAATATATATTTGAAAGACTAAGTTCTACCCAAAGCCCAGGTGTGAGATGCACTTTGTGACGAGCGTCTGTTTGAAGTTCCCGCTTACCCACCCGTGTCCGAAGGGGGAGATGAAGTAGAGGCAGCAGTGAACCCTGTTGTCCAGGATGTTTCTCCTGTTCAGGCCACTCTCGTCACGAAAATACTGCTCAAACTGCTGGTCCACATAGTCTGCAACCGGTCTCCAACTAGCAACGTGAAGGCGAGATTCAACAACAACAACTTGCATTTACACAGCGTCCCAGAGCGCTTGACAGTGGCGGAGCACGACACCGAGCCGGGGGGAGGTGAACGTAGGCATGGTCAAGAGAAAGATCTTAGGGTTAGGGTTAGAGTGCTCCAGAGTTTTGGTGTAGTGGCTGAAAGTGATGGTTTAGTGACCACACACACACACCACTGCCGTGATATGCAGCAAAGATCTCTCCACCACTGCACCTCACGCCCACACCAATGTCTCTCCCCCCCACACCACCATGTTAGCCAGCTTGGCTGAGACGAGCGTCAGTCACATGTACCATTCCTTGTTGTTGACAGCGTCGCCAAAGCCTGGTGTGTCCACAATGGTGAGCCTCAGTCGCACTCCCTTCTCCTCAATTTCCACCGTGTGTTTGGTGATCTCGACTGTCTGCGTGATCCTCTCTGGGGAGGGAGGGGAGACAGTCAGTCAGTCAGTCAGACACAGAAAGAACAGTCGGTCGTGGGACGCACAGACACAGAAATCCCTAACATTGGTGACTGCTGAGGCTTGCAGTGCCCACACTGCCCGACACCTCAGCCAACATGAATGAAGTGGGACAGACGGATCACTGTATCATTGTGGGCGATTCTGACCTTCTGAGTTGAGGAATTTCTTGTCATTGTACAGGTCTGTGAGGAAAAGGCTGTTCACCAGTGTGGATTTACCCAGACCTGATTCTCCTGAGAAACAAAAGCACAGACATGAGAGCAGAGACAGCACTGATCATAACCCAAGCTCCTTGTTGATTCAAGTGTGTGTGTGTGTGTGTATATAGTGTGTGTATATATAGTGTATGTAATATACAGTGTGTGTATATATATATATACTGTGTGTGTATACGGTGTGTGTGTGTACGGTGTGTATAGTGATAGCAATCACATGATGTTTACTGTGTGCTGTGTTGAGCTCCGTGCCCTGCGCTGGGCCTGACTGAGATGCACTGTTATTGGGAAGGACCCGTAGAACAGCAGAACATTACCTGCCACCAAGAGAGTGAAGTCAAATCCTTTCTTGACGGACTTGCGGTGAACCTGGCTGGGTAAGGTGGCGAAACCCACGTACTCCTTTTCCTGATCCTGTGGCAATGAAGATGAGATCATCATCACCATCAAGCGCTGGTCACAGAGGCCGAGACCCACACAACGGGCAGCCATTAAACTGTCCCACATTCTTCACCTTATTGCCATGACCACTAATAATAATACCTTGTGAGAAAGGGAATGAAAGGCTGTGGAATGGGACAATTGCAGAAATTAGAACTGAAGCAAAGGACTTCCCACAATTGTGGACCCGCTGAGATCTCGAGCCGAAACGGTCTGCAGGCTAAGACCAGGTGGAATTTCAGACCAATATATTCCGATGTAACTTCTTAGCTGGACAGAGAAACTGCATTTTAAAAAAAACTGTTTGTCATTATGCCTTGGCTTAATGGAGGGAGAGCTCAGCCCAGTCACCCCGCGCAGGGCAATCCTGCTCCGACAATCAGCGAGGGGAGTGTTAGTCAAGACACTGGTCAGGACAAACTCCCTTTTCTTTGTGAATAAGCCAACCAACCAAGATTTTATCCTTGAAGTCAGCACAATTAGCTGTTCCTGGCAGCAAACACACACACACACACACATACTCTCTCTCTCACTCACACACACACACACAATAATACGCACTCTCTCACACACACACTCACACACCCTCTCACCCACACAATCTCACACACACTCTCTCTCACCCACACACACAGGCGCACACACGGCCGACCCTGATGGCTGGGAACGCCTTGTAAAATTGATCTCTGGGGATTCTCTGTCTGTGTTCCTCAGCCTATTATTTGTGTCACAATAACTCGCAGGACAGCTGCTCATCGAGTGGGCTCTGTGATCCTCCCCGCGGTGATGAACTGGCTGCTGCTGGGGTGATTGCAGTTGTTTGATCATTTGTTAATAGGATCCTCGCTCTGTGCAGCAGGAAGACCAGAGTCTGGAGCCACAATCCTCAAACTGCTCATTTGTCCAACTTGTAATTTCCATCAGTGTAGTGTTGTTAAGGCTCTTCTTCAGTCTCGAGAGAAAACGACTCAGAGGGAACATAGGAACAAGAAGAGGCCATTCAGCCCCTCGAGCCTGTTCCGCTATCCTATAAGATCAATGCTGATCTGTACCTCAACAGCAATTACCCGCCCTCACCCCCTCTCCTTTAATAACTTTACAAACATCAATCCAGAAGTCGCTATTTCAAGTGTAAGGATTATTCCAAAGACACTACATGATAACGCGGTGCAGTGATGATGTGCTGCCTGTAGGTGGCGCCTCTGGGCTGTTCCAAAGAATGTGCATTGCACTGACTGAGCACTAGCGCCCTCCTGTGGCGAGGATCGGGACTGCAGCCACACTGATGTTTCTGAGAGAGATGGAGAATTAATTGTAAAGGATTTTAAATAACTTTGTCGATCCAGACAACGGGAAACTAACGGTACAGCTTAGTTGGGAGGTTACCCCTGGAAGCCAGATCAATGCGGACCTGAGACTGTCGAGTGCTGGTTAAAGGGAGCAATGTTCATCTCTTTGGTTTTTAAAAACTATTTTAAAAAAGTCATTTAAAAAAACTATTCTCGTGGGTTGGGTGTTTTACTAACATGCACACATGTGGCTGGACTGTGTCAGACAATCTGATTAATAACAAGATTAGACAAAGATAGCTCCAACCCATTCACATTTTCAAGACTGAAGCGGATAGATATCTGTAAGGTAAATTTGACATAGTACCTTATCATGTCTTCGAGACATGTCAAAGTGCTTCACAGAATATCCTGTAAAGAATATTTTGTATCTGCACGATAAGGATATGAAGGGATACGGGCGAAGGTGGGTAATTGGAATCGAAGTACAGATCAGCCATGATTTTATAGAATGGCAGAACAGGCTCAGGGGCTGAATGTCTACTCCTGTTCCTATGTTCCCTTCAGTACCCGCATCTAACCCACTGAGGTACAGCTATATACAGGTACAAAGGTAGAGCGATAAGGGAAGGATCAGCCAGGAGCAAGCCTCTGATAACCATCCACAAAACCAAGTCCAAACCACAGGAACGTGATCAGCAACAACACTTTTCACGAAACCAGGCAGGCGGCAGAACAAGAGGACACGGGTTCAGTGTCCTCTACCCTCACACAGAGTAGAATCTCCTCCCTTTGGGAAATCCACCCGATGTGAAAGGGCTCTGAGACGCTGCCCTGTGTGATGAGCGCTATACAAATTCAATGTTGGTGTTGTAGCCAACAAGCACTCTCTGTCGAGGCTCACACATGAAGAGAAGCCCCGTTAGGATCACTTCAGCACTGGACAGCGCACATGAGAATTACCGCTGACTGCGGTCAATCATCCCGGCATTTGATACAACGCCTTATCAGGTCTTCGAGATGTCTCCAAGCGCTTCACAGAATATACTGTAAAGTGGATTGACTGTGTCTTGAGGAGAATCGATGAGGAGAGGGGGGGGAGAGGGGAGGGGGGAGGAAACGCTGTATTGTACACAAGTGAAACAGAGAAACCTGCAGCTAAATCGAAGTCTCCCATTACCTCAAATGAATCATACGGGTCAAGTTTCCCCCAAGGGCTTTTGGAGCGAGCTGGGCTAAGCGGTGGCACTGACGAGGTCTCTGATGCCACCCGCAAGCTATCACCCTGCTGCCCTCCGACTGACTGCTTCCACCTCTGGATCTCCGCTTCCTCTGAACCAGAGCCGTAATGATCGGAGCTTTCCTGCACACTCAGGGTGTCTGAGCTGGCTGGGGTCCCGCGCTCCTCTGCCAAGCTCTCCGGGCCCGAGCCGGGCAGGCTGTCCTTGGCTCTCTCTTTCATTATCCACTCTATTTCCGTGTCTTCTGAATCTTCCTTTAGGAAGTGAGCGAGCTGGCAGGAAGTGCGGGAGGAAATCCAGGAGGGAGAGACAGGGCAGGTGGGGGCAGGTCGGGACAGGGGTGTTGCAGAATATACGCGGATGGTGGGTGGTGATAGGGGAGAAAAGGGAAAGAGAGAGTGAAAAAGAATGAGAAAAAACAATGTTAAAGGTAAATCAAACTCATGAAAATACATGGAATAATTTCACTTTGTTGCTCGGCAACTGAGTGGTGGAATCACTGTGACAGAGTGAGAATGATGGAGTGATGGAGTGAGAATGACAGAGTGAAAGTGACCGAATGATGGAGTGAGAGTGACAGAGAGATAGAGTGAGAGTGATAGAGTGAATGTGATGGAGTGAGATTGAGAGTGCTGAAGTGATAGAGTGAGAGTAACAGAGTGACTTGATCGTTTCGTACACGACAACCATCATTCCCAATAACATCCAATGAGTCCGGGAACAACGACAACAACGTTCCCGCGGGGTAGAGTCTGAAGAGCCTGAACAGTCTCCCTCCACACAACACCAACCAGGCAAAGCAGGAAGCGATGAGAAAATGTGAACGTATTATTATTAATACTAATCCTTCTATTTGATATTCCACCTTATCAGGCTATCGCCATATCTACAAGTGCTTTGCAGGAGTTAGTGCAAAGTGAAGTGACTGTGTATTTTGGAGGTAAGCCAAAGTCACTCCATTTAACAGTAGTAAGTGCTGTGAAGCACTCTGGCATGTTCTCCCAATATATACTGCATCCCCAAAACATTATTTTCTAAAATAAATCTATCTCATTTGTATTTGACCACACAAGCTCCTCTCAGCTAAAGCCACAAACAATGACACACTCCAACACTAGCTGTACACACAGGAGAGGTTACTAGAGGCTGTGACTTGCTGGTTAGGCTAGTAATGGGGGGGTACCTGCGTCTTGTGTTGTGGGAGGGCTGGTGGTGCCAGGTGTTGGTGCAGGAAGGCTGAGCGGCTGGTACTGTGGTCACATTGCCCACACTCAGGCCCCTCAGGGTGGCCTCGTGCTGGGCACGGCCCAACCTCTGCCGAGTCCCCCCGAGGCCCGTTGCTCTCTGCCATCTCAGTCCAGGAAGCCGGCAGCAGAGGGTGGGGGGAGCAGCGGGAGGAGAAGAGAGGAAGATGGAGTGAGAGGGACGGGAGGAAAAGGCGTGTGAAGAAGAGGAAGAGAAGTGAAAACATGGCCACATTAGAAGTCAGTGAGGAGGGCGACTAATGCTCCAGGTGACTGGAAATCCATGAGCGAGTGGCAGGGAGCGCTGATGGGGCTCGGTCCGCGATCCTTCATTTGTGGAGTCCTGTAGTTTAGTGGTTAGAGCACTGGCCTCGCCAGCCAGAGGACCTGGGTTCAATTCCAGGCAAGTTGGGCAAGTTTCCTTACTCCATGACCCTGGTTACCAGCAGTAAGTAGGAACCTGGTTGTTAGTCGATTGGCGGATCGCTTTTATCTGGTCACTTACTGAGTGTTTGTGAGACGCTGCTGTGCGCAATTAGCTGTCAAGTTTCACCCACAAAATACACAGTGAATCCTCTTCACAGTATATACTGTAAGCAGATCGGAGACTGGCGCCTGACTGTGATACAGCTCCCGTGCAGCTCAACCCCGAGAGGGCTCCCGTGCAGCTCAACCCTGAGAGCTCCCGTGCAGCTCAGCTCTGAGAGCTCCCGTGCAGCCTGAATGTGAAGTGTCTCCTACTCACCTGCGTGCTTTGGCATTCTCAGCAAGCTCAGAACAGCTGCCTTTTTCCGCACTCGTGACCAGGAGTTCATTTGCAGTGCTGAGCAAGTGAGGTGCAGAGTGGAGAGGACGGCTTTATATTCCTGCGCCAGGAGGATTCTCTGTCCTTCACTCACATCGATCAGCAAAGCCCCCGCTGGCTGCAATTACTCCCATCACTGCACTGACGCTGGGCTCACTAACACTACCACACAGGCACGCATATACACACGCGTAAACACACACACACACACACACGACCTGGATTCACAGGCTCCGTATTTACACTTACAGATCAGACCAAGCCAAGGAACAACAAAAACAACTTGGATTTATACAGCGCCCTCCACGCCTGACAGCGTCTCAGAGCGCTTTACACTAATGGATCCCGGGACCGAGGCAGGGGGAAGGGGAGGAAGGGGACCAAAGGAAGCGGATTGGGGGGAACTATGGAATCAGAGGGAGCAGCCAAGATCTTACAAAGCGAGCTCGACGGGGTATGCAACTGGGCTGATGAGTGGCAAATGAAGTTCAATGCAGACAAATGCAAAGGAACCGACTGGTGACTATCCTCCTTGTTTGTGTGCATGGGGGGTGGTGGGGGGGGCTGTTAGGTAAGTGGGGTCTCCATGGAATTGAACTGGCCCCAAGGTGACATGGTTGGCAACGGAAGTCAGAACCGAGCCAGTCCTCTGTGGCGGTCTCTAGTCCAGTTCCTGAGTCAGGCAGGTCTGCAGTATTCTAGGGCACTACTGATGACAGCAACAACAAAATTACATTTGTATAGCTCCTTACATGTCGGGAAGACGTCCCAATGCGCTGGACATCCAGACAGCACAGCCAGCCTGGCTCATCAGTAAGAACTGGAAGGGCAGACCAGTCACTGGGAGCAGGGAATCCTCCCACTTAGCTCCTGTTAACCCTGCAAACCAAAGCCCTAATGGGTAGGGTGGTCCCAGCTGGACAAGCAGCAGGAAAGCTTGCCAGACAGCGATATCAATAAATGCAAAACAAAGCAAAGCTTATGCATTCCATGGATAGAAAAGAATAACAACAATAATACTTCTTAAATAATAATCTCTACATTTGTACAAAGCCTTTCACGATGAAAGTATGTTTCATAACGCGTCACATTATATACTGTTAAGTGTATTTTGGAGGTGATTATCCCACGAAATGAACTCGTCAAAGAAGAAGCTGAACGAGATCCAGGGAGTGTTAGTTGACTCATCGCTCACTGTGTCCACAGTGTGAGTCCACAGTAAACAAGGCAAACAGGATGCTGGCCTACATTGCCAAATCAGTGGGGTTCAACTTCTTAGAAGTTATATTCATGCAGTACAACAAATAACAACAACAACAAATTACATTTACACAGCTCCTTACACATCGGGAGGACGCCCCAAGTAGGGATCAGTTGGACCCGAGATGGGATCAGGAGGGATGGAGGGCAGGAAGGGTGGGGGTAAGAGGGTGGCCAACAGCCCATGCCCTTTGCCCACAAAATATACAGTTAATTAATTATATGTTGTTCGAGTTGTTGGGATCTGGAATGCATTGCCTGAAAGGCTGGTGGAAGCCGATTCGATAACAACTTTTAAGAGAGAAGATAATTATTTGTGGAGGACAAGTTTGCAGGGCTATGAAGAGAGAGCGGGGGAGTGGGGTTGAATTGTAAGCTCTTTTAAAAGAGCCGGCACAGACACGATGGGCCGAATGGCCTCCTTCTGTGCTGTATAATTCTATGATTCAATTCACTTAACAGTATATTCTATGAAGCGCTTTGAGACATCTCGAAGGTGTGATAAAGCGCTATATCAAATGCAAGGATTATTTATATCTCCCTCCCACCCCCCCCCCCCAACACACACACACACACTCCACAATATCAGTCCACTTACTGACAAGTACAGAACAAGCCCAGGGTGGCCAGCACACAGCAGGGAGCTGGGGATACTCACAGACAGACACTACATGATCAATGGCATTGATCCCAGCGTCAATATCCAACACGCCATCGGCACTGTCGCTCTGATCACAAGCCGAACCAAACACACAAGTGTCTTCTGGTCACCTTCAGCACTGCACCGCAGGCAAACATGTCAATCCCAACCCATCACCACCTAATCACAGCTCACACACAACAATAACAGTGTCTGTCATTGTGACTGAGAACTCCACATAATAGGTCCTGAAACAGCCAATAACAACAACAACAGAGCGCCTTTCACGTCGGGAGGACGTCCCAAGGCGCTGTACAGTTGGGTCAGGACCCGAGCAGGGGGGAAATGGTCAGGGTGAGGGGAGGGAAGGGAGGGAGCGAGGCTGGGGGCAAATGGTCAGGGTGAGGGGAGGGAAGGGAGGGAGCGAGGAGGGGGTAGGGAGTCGAGAGGGGAGCTGAAGGCTCGGTCAAAGAGAAAGGTCTTGAGACCGGCCTTGAAGGAGGAAAGGGAGGAGGGGGCGAAGGCACTGGGGATAGAGTTCCAGAGCCTCGGGGCTGAGAGGCTGAAGGCCCGACCACCGATGGTCGGGCGGTTGGAGCGGGGGATGTGGAGCAGACCGGAGCCAGAGGAACGGAGGGTACGGGCAGGTAAGTAGGGGGACGGTAGGTTGGAGAGTTAGGAGGGAGCAAGGCCATGAATGGCCTTGTAGGTGAGGGTGAGGATCTTGAATTCGATCCTCTGGGGGATGGGGAGCCAGTGGAGGGGAGCGAGGGTGAGGGTGAGGGTGAGGGTGGGAGTGATGTGGTCGCGAAGCCTGGTGCGGGACAGTACATGAGCTGCAGAGTTCTGAATGACCTTTCAACGCCTTTCCCCAACACCCCGCGCTCTCACCCCATAATAACAATCCCAGCCAAACTCACCCCCGAACCCCCCCACCCTGTGCGTAACCCACTCCCAACTAAACAGTAATATAGCTCTCCCAATATACAGCACAATACAGCAACAACAACAACAGATGGCATTTATACATTATCTTTCTCGTCGGGAGGACGTCTCAAGGCACTGGACAGTCGAGGGTTTGCACATGAGAAGCTGGGGGTTGGATTCGGGGCCCAAGAGGGGTGGGAAGATGACCGAAGGTGCAGTCAAACAGGAAGGTCTCAAGACAGACCTTGAAAGGGCGAGGAATAGAATTTCCACCAACATGTTAGTCCCAGAGGGTGAGGGCAGAACAGCTGAAGGTCCGACCACCAATGATGGAGCAGGCAGGGAGGGGGCATGGAGCAGGCCACTGTCTGCTGAGCGGAGGGAGCGGCCAGGTTGCTAGGGTTTTAGAAGGTCACAGAGGTGAGGTGGATAGGACCTTCTTCAACCGAAACAATCTCCCAAAGTTGATCTGAGTAATAGCCTGAGTGAGTCACAGTGACAGGGCACAGAGCCAAATCCATCACTGTTGTGTTATCCATGGGAAGTGACTGTGTGAGCACGTGTGTGTGTGTGTGTGTGTGTGTGTTTGTGTGAGTTACTCAGTGCTTCAGTACTGTCAGCTCTTGTGTTCAGTGTAACATAGGAAATCAGCCAAGCCAAGGGCAACGCAGCTGGGCGTCCGATAACAAAGGTTCCCAGAGAGAACCAAGAGACAGTGTTGACAGGGCAGCATACTGAAGACATTGACTATGTGGTTCAATCTCTGTAGCTGCACCAGCGAATCTCCCTGTAGAGAGAGAGAGAGAGAGCAAGAGAGAGCAAGATATTTGCAACAAGCTGGCGCTCTCGAGAGTAGATGACTCAGGGAGAACCTTTTTCATATCTCTTCATCGAGGTACAAAGTTTTGAATGGGATTGAAAAAGTAAACCCAGATCAATACTTTAATTTGCAACAACAGTACAACAAGAGGACATAGGTTTAAAGTTGTAAAGGGGCAATTTCAGGACAGACACCAGGAAGTTTTTCTTTAATCAACCAGGAAAGGTGGGTGAGACCCAGACACTGAGACTCACTGAAAAAGCAGCTAATGCTGAGATGGGGGGATGGTGGGCAGCTGTTCTGGAGGGAGGTGACCGGATGAGCCGAAGGGCCTTCTTCATCCAAACCAATATTGTGAGAGAGTGAGAGAGGGAGCGAGAGAGTACGAGCGAGGGGGAGAAGGAGTGAGAGAGCAAGAGAGGGAGAGAGGAAGAAAGAGAATGAGAGAGGGCGAGAGAGAGAGACAAAGAACGAGAGAGTGAGAGACAGAGTATCCAGTGACTGCTCTACGATACTCAAAAGTCAGACTCAGTTATACACGTTCTGTGGCCTCATCAATGACTTTACAGACAAACACTGTCAAGAGGCCTCATATCCCATTAGCTTCTCACAGAAGCTTCACGTGGACTCGGATCTTCCAATGAATGATCAATAAACCACACCCAGATCCATTCCCTCCTCCACCTCTGCGATTGGACAGCCCTACACTGTGCACAAGTGGTTACTGTGATAAACATTAACCTCTTCATTCACATTCACCTCAATCGGTTATTTCCTGGTCCCTTTTCCCGGAGGAGGGAAGGTAAGAAGTGCCTCCTCCTACCTGAACATTTCTGGTGGATCCGAGTGGATGTGAGCTCACGGCACAGACAACCTGCTCTGAAATTGACCTCAGACATGGCAAGCACAAGCAGGTGTGCCAAAGCTGAGCAGTAGGAGGCACTCTTCAGAGATTAGGACCTGGAGCAGAGTTAGAAACAGGATCTAATGGCAGCAATTCATAACAACAACAATCCCTATCACGTCAGGAGGATATCCCAACAAGAACACACAAAAAGGCTGGATGGTAGAATTATGCTCAGCAAATAAAGTGCATCGTTGGTTAGTAGAAACTTCACAAAATTACTGTACATCCAAATAAGATTCAGAACTAACCGGTTAACTGTTTCTGCGGGAGGAATGCAGTGGTGAGTACAACATCCAAAGGCTCTCAGTGAAGCCTGTCACTGAGAGACTGTCAATGATCAGCACATCTGTGCAGTACACCGTCCATCCACACACACATACACTCTCTCTCTCTCTCTCTCTCAGTCAGATCACAGAGCGGATTAGTGCAGAGCTGCATATATTCCTGATCTATTTACTGCGTTTAATAGAGATTTGAGAATGGTACGAATCCAGTTCAATCCTATTAAAGTGGGGAAGTGGAGCTATTGCCCAGGTTACAAGGAAAGGCCTGCCTTACCATGTCCCAGCCTCGGCCGCAGCTGCTGATGTAGAGCTCCCCCCGAGCTGGTGCTGGGTACCAGAGCCTCTCAGCCACTCACAGAGCCATCCAGTGATAGTGATGATGGGACAGCCACACTCTCCTGTCTGTGTTGAGCTCAGCACAGACAGCAGCCCTGACCCTCCCACACAGGAAACAGCCAGAGATGGCAACCCAGGCATTTCTCATTGGAAAACATGAGGATCATGTGATAAAGGCTGCCAGAGGGAAGGGATATAAATAGGCAACAGAAGCGAGCAGTGCGGCTCCTCACCCTACTTACAGCATCAGCTATAGGCAGGTGTGTTGCTCTGACCGGCAAGAGTGTCCCAACAGGGTGTGTGCAATGCACACGTACACGTCATAACAACAAAAATCCTGCATTTGATACAGCGCATTATCACATCTTCGAGACACCTCAAAGCGCTTCACAGAATACGCTGTAAAGTGAACAAAACACAAAATACTGCAGATGCTGGAAATCTGAAACAAAAACAGAAGTCGTTGGGTACACTCAGCAGGTCAGGGGTTTACTCACTTTCCTTTCTCCATAGATGCTGCCTGACCTGCTGAGTGTACCCAGCGACTACTGTAAAGTGAATTGACTGAATATTTTGTGTACGAGACGTGGCAGCCAATTGCACACAGCAGTGCCCCACAAACAGTTGTGAATTGAATGACCAATTTTTTTTAAAGGGGTTATTATCCCTGGAAAAGTGATCCACCAATCAATAACAACCAGGGTCCTACTTATTGCTAGGTAAACAGAGGTGTGTGGAGTAAAGAAACTTACCCAGTGTGTTGCCATGCCCAGGATTCAAACCCAGGTCCTCTCGTTCGTGAGGAGAGTGCTCTAACCACTGAGCTACAGGACTCTACGGCAGAGCAAAGCTCCATCTGTCTTGTTTATAGCTTGTGTGTAACCAGGAAGGCAGGACCCACAAGGAAGAGCCAGAGTCCAGTGACCTTGAGACGTTCACTAGTTCAATAATGACATTAAATCTAGAAGAGCAGATGGTGGCACTAACCTGCACTGGTGTCTCTCTCCACAAGAACATCCTTCAGCCTTGACCAGAGCTACCACATAGTCAGGGAATCAGGCTCCCAGCACAAACCAATGCAATCCACAGCTCGGACATAACCAGCCAGTCAGTGTCACTGTGAACCACTTTCTGATTGTGTTATTTCGAGCAGAGGATTTTAGCTTTTCAATAGCAGATGGGACTGGAGTGGGGGAGGGGGATTACACTGAGCATTAGTACACGCTGGAGCTGAACGGTTTATTGCTTATCAGGATCATGAATCACGCAGTGCAGCGTATCCTGCCCCCCCCCCCACCCCACCCCAGGAGGCAGCCCACCTGCTCCGGATTAATCCACTCAGTGGAAGAAGCGTCAAGGTGTATCGGGGGTGGGGAACATGCGAGCAGCGATTGGCAACCTGTTTGAGACAGCTCGTGTCACAGTGGGCGGCCTGTGAGTTTCTAAAAAGGAAACCACATGTCAAAGGCTTGAAAAGAAGCCGTTTTCCTACTCACGTGTGACATATTGTGTTGGTTATTGATTGGTTTCCCCATCTTCTGGTCGCGCCTGAAGATCTTCGACTGTACCTATGGTCAGCTCCCCCTCCCCCCGGCTCGGAGTCGTGCTCTGCCACTGTCAAGCGCTCTGGGATGGTCTCTGCATGGCGGGCACTTCAGAGAATATACTTTAAAGTGAATTAAACTGTATATTTTGTGGACGAAATGCGCCAGCCAATTACGCAACGTAACGTCCCCACAAACAATCGTGGGTTGAGTGACCAATTCATTATTTATCTAGTACTTACTACTAGGTGAACAGAGGCGTGTGGAGTAATGAAACTTGCCCAACGTTTCACCCTGCCGGGAATTGAACCCAGGTCCTCTCGCTTGCGAGGCGAGTGAGTCAGAGTTGCCCGGTTTAAGGGTCAGTGAGATTAGGAGAGAGACCAGGGCCTTACTTACCTCTGGGTCTGTTTGTAGCAGTTGCAGGAATCAGAGAGTTGGAGGCGGGTCCCAGCCATGGTGTTGGTTGATGATGAAGGTGGCGAGTAAAGCCAGGGAGAGAGAGAGAGAGGAGAGAAGTTGAGTGGAGTTGAGCAGCGGGCATTCTCCAGGCATGAAAAACGTGTGTCCTACTCACCCATACTGAGCAGGAGTGTCTTAAGTTTGGCATCTGTCATCTTCAAACGGCTGGGACTCGTTGGAGCGACCAGATGGCCGCTTGGATGGGGGGCAGTTGATTTCCTAATGGTGAGGCTGGATCTGGGCTCCTGTTTGCTGGTGTCTGGGTGTCACTCAATGTCTCCACTGATCTCAATGATAGGATCAGGCAATGGGTCTGCTCCTCTCCCTGTCTCAGACACCAGTCTCTCCTGACACCCCCACCCACCCACACTCACACCAGCCCCCCCCCCATCACAATGGATACTTGGATCCAAATGTAAACGTCACAATGGTCACAGAGATCACTGGCCCAACAGTGGCTCATCTAACAATTCCTCCCTGAGAGACAGGACATCACACTCACAACTGCAACAGCAGAATGCTCAAATGTCCATGGGTAAAATAATAACTTCTCAACCCTAAAGCACGGTCCATCCCATTTCCCAAGTCTTATTGGGTGAAGGAACAAGGCTCAGAACATAGGACATCACAAAGATTCAAGAGTAGCGGAGAAAACAAGTTAAATCAACCAATCAAGCAAAAACGTAAGCACCTGTAGACTGTAGGAGGGGTGAGGAGAGAGGGAAGGAGCTCATAAGAACATAAGAATTAGGAGCAGGAGACGGCCATTCGGCCCCTCGAGCCTGTGCCCCGCCATTCGATAAGATCATGGCTGATCTTCTGACCTAACTCTAATTACCTGCCCTATCCCCATATCCCCTAATCCCTCTATTGTTTAAAAAAATCTATCAGTCTCAGCCTTGAAAATGTTCAAGGACTGACTGAGCATCTACAGCCTTCTGGGGGAGTGAATTCCATAAATTCACTACCTTCTGAGTGAAGAAATGTTTCCTCAACTCTGTTCTAAAAGGCTGACCCTTAATTTTAAGACTGTGACCCCTGGTTATAGATTCTCCTCCCGGGGAAACATTCCCTCTGTGTCTACTTTATCAGCCCTTTAAGAATCTTATACGTTTCAATAAGATCTTCCCTAATTCTTCTGTACTCTATAGAGAATACAGCCCTTGTTTATTCAGCCTATTCTCATAGGTCAGTCCCCTCATCCCAGGAACTGACCAAGTGAATCTACGCTGCACCCCCTCGAGGGCAAGTATGTCCTTTTTTAAATAAGGAGACCAAAACTGCACACAATACTCTCGGTGCGGTCTCACCAGGGCCCTATACAGTTGCAGCAAGACTTCCCTACTCTTGTACTCTAAACCTTTTGCAATGAACGCTAACGTGCCGTTCGCCTTCTTAGTTGCTGCTGCACCTGCAAACTAACTTTTTGAGACTGGTGTACAAGGACACCCAAATCCCTCTGAACACTAACACTATCTAATCTCTCCCCCTCTAGAAAATAATCTGTTTTTCTATTTTTTCGACCTTGGTGAATAACTTCACACTTCCCCACATTAAATTCCATCTGCCACCTACTCGCCCACTCCCCTCTCCTATCTATATCCGTTGCAATCTTTTTGCATCATCCTCAGAGCTCACTCTCCCACCGAGTTTAGTGTCATCCGCAAATTTAGATACGTTACATTCAATGTCCTTGTCCAGTTCATTGATGTAAATTGTAAATAGCTGAGGGCCAGCACTGATCCTTGTGACACTCCACTAGTCACATTCTGCCAATTCAAGAATGACCGGTTTAACCCTACTCTGTTTTCTACCCGTTGGCCACTCTTCAATCCATGCTAATATGTTCCCATTAATCCCGTGGGCCTTAACCTTGTGCAATAGCTTTTTGTGTGGCACTTTGTCAAATGCCGTCTTAAAATCTAAATATACTACAGCTACTGGTTCCCCCCTACCTAACCTGCAGATACATCTTCAAAAAAACTAAAAGATTAGTTAAGCATAACTTCCCTTGTGTAAAGCCATGATGACTCTGCCTAATCTGGTTGGCCCCTCGGCACACTGATCCAGATAATTATCCCTAATACATTCTATAAAATCTTCCTCTATCATACTTTTCCCAATTTGGTTGTCCCAATCTATGTGCAGATTAATCACCCACAATTAATGATTTTCCTTTACTCTATGCTCTGCTAATTTCCTGATTTATACCTTGAGAGATACTGTGACTGCTGTTCAGGGGTCTATAAACTACTCCCACTAGAGTTTTCTGCCCCTTGTTGTTACTTAACTCTACCCATACTGACTCCACTTCCTGCTTTTCTGATTTAAAATCTTTCCTCTCTACTGTTTTTATCCCATCCTTTATTAGCAGGGCCATCCCCCTCCCCTCCTCGTTACCACGTTAGGTTAGACTTAGTCCCAAGTCAGACATGTCCGAGTACCTGTGAGTAGGAATTGGAGCCACAAGTATTTGATGTCAACTCACGAGCAGAAAGAACATATAATGAAAACTTGTGTTTCCTTATATTTGCTTCGAAGGTTTGAGCTGGTTAAAGAGCAGGGGAGAGAAGGTACAAGAGAAGGTTTCAGATAGCATACAGGACAGGAATAATAATAATCCTTGCATTTGATATAGCCCTTTTCATGACGTCTCAAAGCGCTCCACAGAATAGATTGTAAAGTGAATTGACTGTATATTTGTGGGCGAAATGTGGCAGCCAATTGCGCACAGCAGCGTCCCACAAACAGTTGTGGATTGAAGTGACCAATTTATTATTGTTTTTTGGGGATTATTATCAGGCGTTGGAGTAAGGAAACTTGCCCAAGGTTTCACTCTGCCGGGGATCAAACCCAGGTCTCTCACTTGCAAAGCGAGCGCTCTAACCACTGAGCTATAATGGGCCAAATAGACCAATGTTTCTGTGCTGTAAACATATAATAAATAATCATATAGCATCTCAATCACGTTGGCAAGACATCTCAAAGCTCTTCATAGGATTTACTTTGAGGTATATTTTGTGGGTAAAACGTGGCAGCCAGTTTGCGCACACTCCAAACAACCACAGAGTGAGTGACCAATTTTATAGGTGTGGGGTTATTGGCCAGAACAGCAAGAGAAACTCCCTTCTCTTTTCAAATAATGTCATGGGATCTTTAACGTCTCCCTGAATAGGCAGATGGGACCTCGGTTTAACTTACCTGCCGAAGGACGCCACCTCTGACCATTGGATTGTCATCTTAGATCATGTAATTCCAAGTCCCAACGTGGGGTTCGAACCCACAACCTTCTGACTAGATAAGTTAATAAATGAGTTTAGTGGAAAGAAACATTTGGAGCTTAACATAGATAACCTGGAGGAGCTCAGCTCAGTGTAAGTGATGATCATAGGCTTTGAATTCCTGTGCTGTGGAGTGGTCTGCCATCTAGCGGTGGAACTAGACGAGCAAATCTGCTGAAACATTTATTGGTTCCCGATAGTCAGCCCCAGGTCCACCTCGGGCTTGTCCTGTGATAACGTTTGGATGTTGAACGCTGGCAGGAGCAGAGCTCCTTGTGTTCCCTGACTGGAGACAGCTCACAGCTTGTTACTACAGCTTGTGTTCCCCACAGTGGGGCTGTGCCTGATCTGATCAATGCCTCTAATCCTCTCCAGGTATTGATTGCCTCTCTGGTCACAGTTCCGCATATTGCCTTCTTCTATTTTTATTAATTATCCCCATGATTTTATTTTTTCCTTTCAGTTTCTTTCTCAATTTGAATTTTCCTAACACAGAGATTAGTTGCTGTGTTTCCCTCCTATACCTACCGTTATTATTAAATCCACCAGTATTTATTTATAGACTGTTGGCCTATTCTTTCATTGTCATTAATTTAGGTTCTATCCGCCTTGTGATCCAGGTTGCTATGAAGGGCCCATCATTGGGCTTCATCAATACAAACTTGGAAGTCTTCAAAATTGGCAGCTGTACTTTCGATCACTGTGGCACAAATCCCTGGAACTCCTTGCCTCAATTCTTCCATCTTGCTCCCTCTCTTCCTGTCTTCAAATCACACCTGAAGACTTTCCTCTTCGACTGTGCCTTCGGTCACCTCCCTCTCCCTTCCAACTGAACGTCAGCAAGACCGAGGCTCTCCTGATTGGCTCGCACTAGCGCCTCCGCACCTCGGGTACTGGCACCATCAGCCTCCACACTCAACCTCATTAAGCCAGTCAGGAACCTGGGTATCTTGTTTGACCCTGAACTGTCCTTTCTCCCCCACATCCGCGCCATGACCGGCACTACAAAGAATCTACAACAAAGGCAACTTGCACCTTTCACTTGGGGCAGTGTCTTGGGAGTGCCCTACAGTCTCTCTCACTCTTTGAAGCACCTCCAGTTGAGTGTGCCTCTTCTGCTTTCTGGAGCAAACTTTGAATTGTACCTAGAGGTGAAGGAGCAACAAGCTTAGCCTCCCCCCCCACCCCGAGAGGCCTGTGTCTGTACGAGCGCGCGCTCAGGCAGTTTGAATAAGAAGCACCGGCTGAGATACAGCTGCTTTATTCCATTTGTTAGTTACATATTTCACAGTCTCGCCGCACCGGTCACGCTCCTGTGTGTAAAGTGCACTCTCTTCCCAGTTCCAGATTCACACTGAAATGTGGAGATCTGAAAAGAGTCGATGGGAGGGACCGAATGCTTACAGAATAAACTAACAAATGCTATAAAAATGATCGCAAATAACCCATGGCCGCGAGGCCCAGCAAAACAAGGCACAGATTAACTTAAGTGTCAGATGTCCCCCAGATCTATGCTCTGGAAGGTTCTCCAGTGACGAGCAGTGGCCACTTGTTTGTTGTGGTCACTGCTTGGCTCAAAATAGCAACTTGGTACCTTGAGGCTGAGATGGACCTCGGGGTAAACACAGGGATTCCCAGCGGCTGCGACTGTTTGATTTCCTGCCCTGAATCTGTCACTCAGTGAGCAGCCGGCCTCAGAACCTCTCCCACCAGACCATTGCTCATCATGTTGGAGTTTTACACGCCCAAGGCCCTGAATTCCCCCTAGCCTTAGCCTTACCAGAGCAGTTCGGGCTTAAAACCTAACGTTGTGCACAACTGGAGAATTGTTCCATTTTGTGTGAATTTGTAAGCCGGTTTCTTTCTGCAAAGCCTTGGGACATCCTCCCTACATGAAAGGTGCTATATACAAATGTCATCTGTTGTTGTTGCAGAGAACAAGCTTCTGCATTAAGAACAAACTGAAGAATTACTGAATTTGGCTCACCTTCAATTTGAAAGCAGAAAGTAGTCTCACAGGCTAAGACTAGGTAGAATTTCAGGCCTCAAAATATGACTGTGGGTGGGGATACATGCTCTCTCTCTACCTCTCCCCCACCCCCCCGACACACACATTTTCTCTAGAAGGGTTTCACTAGACAGCGATTGAGGAGCAGGTAACCTCAGCTGATTCCACCCTCCCTGACCCATTGGAACTGAGGCCAACTGTTGACCCGGCTGAGATTGGGTGAACTCAGCACAGGCCGGGATTCATATTCGTGACCTTCCTGGTCTGTGCTCAGTGCCACACGACTGTCCGCGAGCTAACAAAGCTAATCGGGGAGTTACTCACTGAATGCGTGTTTCCTTTTTGAAACAAATGACCTCAAGTGAACGTTTATACTTAACCCTCGCCATGTCAGTCAAACATACGTTGTCACATCGGACAGTTATGCTAAAGAAGCGCGTGGTGTCAAATCCTAGGAGCTCCTCCAAAACATTCGGAATACTGTTTGGAAAATACTAAGTTTTGCTGCTCACAGTGTCAGTTCGTGGCTGTCAGGCTCACCACTCTCTCCTCTCAAACCTGCAATGCCTGAGGTGAACCAACATTGAAGAGAAGCAGTGATAAGGCTAACACTTTTGGAGCAGGAGACTATTTTCTGTAAATCTCCTCCTTACACACATTGTAAGGTGTAAATCTCAGCGGGGGGGGTTGAAGAGGGCTCCCTGGGGAGCTTTGTGCAATGACTTTGGCTGGAACACTCCCCCTCCCAGAGCTCTGTGATGAGGTAAGAGCTCTGCAACACTGCACAGAACTCCCCCCCACTCTCCCCCACAAAAATCAGTTTGTATGTTATGTCCCCAGTTTTCACGAAGACAGCTCCCACTTTGCTACACGTGCCCCCCCCCACACACACACACACACAAAGCAACCTTTCTCCCCCTCCCACAACGATGCCATTGGGTTGTGGTCTGGTCCCACCTCACAGTGCTCACTCTCTGCTGGCAATGAGCCAGGGCTGAGCCTCAGTCGGGGCATTACTGTGGGTCCAATCCTGTGCTCAACACATTCGCAAATGGAGGGAGGGCCAGGGTTACTGTACAGTGACTGGAGCAGACATCCTGGCTGATTGCTGCTCTTCCTAACTCAGGGAGGCGCTGAGACCACCAGCTGAGCTTACATAGCTCAGCAAAGACCAGGGATGGAGTGAAGGCCGGATCTTTCTCACTGTATGTCATGGCACACAACGTGTTACATTCAATCACTGAGACACCGGGGGCAGCTCTGGATCTGGGGAAACTTGGAACAAAAGAGCTTTGTAGTGGCGAGTCACAGCGCATGTCAGACGGCCTTGGTGGCAGTCAATCTATAAGGATTGTTTCTTTATAACTTAAGGGAAACAGAGAACTCAAGCGTTTGACAGCAGAGTGCAGTACGCCCACTGTGCTCACACCAGGTGCCAGTCCAGCAAAGCTCTTAATAGGTCAATGCTCGGCAGCGACAGCAATTGCCCCCGTCTCAGACAACAGTGTCAGTGTTCCCACAAGCTGGCTTACACTCTTCTTTCTACTGAGCGATATTCACTATGAGGTCACTCAAAGGTCCCTCGGATCAACAATAAGACTTAAAATGGTTAACTGAATAAATTAATTAGAAAAACAAATGAGAATGAACGTACACCTGATCTCCTGAAGAATCGTCAGGACTGGAGTGAGATCATATTATAGGGAAAGAGGAGCAGGATCTGTGGAATCTGGGTGTTGGTGAATCTTTTGCTTTTGTTACTGTCTCTTGTGATCATGTAGAACACGATCTCACGTCGCTGACTGTGATCTTCAGGTCGTGCCTGAAGAGCTTCCACCTATGGTCACTTCCCCCCGGCTCGGCGACGTGCTCCGTCGCTGTCAAACGCTCTGGGACGCTACCCTGCATGAGGGGTGCTATATGGATACAAGTTGTTGTTGACTCTTGGGTTTGCTTCTCCACATCAAACGTTAACCTATAAATCCACCACCGCCTGGCATCAACGTCTGTCTGGGAAATGGTCCCTGTCAGGTCTGGGGTAGATGGGAAGTGGACAAGTGGAGGTGGACAGGACACATTGGGAAAGGGGCAGTGACTCAGCTCAGACTAAGCTACGTAGAAGTAATACACAGAGCTGGTGGAGGGGGGTGAAACAAGGCTGAAGGTCAGCAATTGTCCTCACAAATACACTTGGACAATGTTAACACTGACTGTGAAATACTGTGGCAATGTCTTTGGCTTCTTCTGAAGAGATTAAGAGTTTGTACTGTTCACAGCTAAGATAGGACCCCCCCCACCCCACCCCTGGCTACTCTTGCCTTTACTATTTCACGCTTGTTTCCTAGAATAGGGATTGGGCAAGTGCTTTTGTATCTGCCTACCCTGTGTGGGACACTCCACAGAGAGTTTTCATTGGCGCACAAACCTGGCTTGGCTCTGATTCTTGATCTAGGGTATCTAAAGTGATGGTAGGTCAGTACACTTTATATGGATGAAAAGTCATCATTGGTGGTGGTGGGGTGGGTGGGGGTTAGGCCTGCAGATTTTGGAGACAACTCTCATGTCCCACCTTGAATCAATTGGCCCAAAAGAAACCTTCTGCCCTCACACAGGGCTCAGTGAACAGTTAGGGCGATTTAGCTACTTGCAGGCTACGAGTGGACTGGGCACTTTCCGGGGAGCAAGTTGTGTAAAACACGTTGTGTAGAACCTCCAGATATGAGTGTTCGCATCCGGGGTTGGGGGTAATTCAGTAAACAGTGCGAGAGCAATAGAGACAAATGAGTCAGAAATTCCAGCTGGCTTTAGCTTGTGACTTTGCGTAGAGTTGTGGGAAATTCAGTACGAATTTGGAAACCGAATTGGAAGGATTTTAAACAATTCCAGATGTTTTTGACAAAATGAGACTAAGTGGATTTTTGGGCCTTGAAAAGGGGTTGCAGCTGGGAAGAGAGGACCACAAGGATTTGAAGCAGATTTGCAGCTCTCGGTGGTGGGGGGGGGGGGAAAGAGGAGGAAACTGTTCTCCTAGAGAGACGATACCAGGCGGCTTCACAAATCGACAGGAAAAAAAAACCTTTTCTGAGTCCTTCATTTTCAGCACAGGGACGGGTGTGACAGCCGTGGTCTGGCTCAGGAAAGTAGCTCCTGCCATTAGTTTCTACACTGCCTCCTCCTGGCACCTCTTGTCTCAATCACTGCTGCTGTCCTGAGTCAAGTGGTTTCCAACAGGGAGCGACAGGAAAGCATTTAATGCAGGTAATGTGACCGACCGTTGCGAGACATCCAGTGGACACTAGATGCCGACGTCCTCAGCACTGTGTGTTGGCGGGTGTGGGAATGGTTATTTACAGCAGTGTGCTATTGTACATGTTCCCTCTATGATGTGCCAGGCTGGGGCCCGGTTAGTTACAATCCATCAGTAGAGGGAGATCTGCTGCCAGGTGAAATGTTGAAGCTGGAAGCTTGTCCCGGTGGCAGGTACAGGTGGAATGGAGTGTGTGTAACGCTGACACACCAGCATGCTCGTGGGTCACACCATCACCGGGTGGCTGGCTGGCTGCTCTGCTCTCGGCCAGCGGCTCACACGGTTTCCAGAACCTTCTCTTTGTTCCCAGAGTGGCTCTGGAAGAAGGCGCGGTCGATCTGCTCCAGGTCGGCGGTGAGGGCAAGGCGCATCTCCAAGTGCAGCTTCAGGGCTGAGAGCCATTGCTCCAACGTCACAAAGGGCTGCCTGAAGGGACAGCGGAGTCAAAGAGCACGTCAAGGGCGGAGTCAAAGAGCACGTCAAGGGTGGAGTCAAAGAGCACGTCAAGGGCGGAGTCAAGGGGAAGGTCAGGGAAAGTAAAGCTCAAACTCAACAATGTAAAGTTTCAAATTGGAGTAGGGGAGGAATGAGGTTTGCCGAACCTCTCTTCTGCCCCCACTCCCCGGCCTCCAGTACATCTCTCCTCAGCACCCCGCAGCCCCTACCGGTGGACATGAATCTCTGGACCACTCACCTGTTCTCTGGTTCGAGGTCGCAACACATGACAGCGATGGGGAAGAAGGCCGGGGGGCAGTCCTGGGGACAGCATCGCTCCAGGAACACGCTGATATTCAGCCCAAAATCCATGGCCCTTGGCAGGAAATCAGGGTCTGCATTCACTCTGCCGATCATCTGATAGCAAGGAGATCAGCATTCAATACAGTGCCTCTGCATAAACTGTATTCATATATAATAGCGCCCTTCACATGGGGAGAAGGATTGGAGCACTCATGATACTGCCCCCTGCCTCCCAAACCCAGTAATTCCTGAACCCCCCCAGCCCCCGAGAGAGTCTGGAATTCAGCCCCCCCTTTCTCCCGCTGAGAGCGTGTAGTGTGGGCTCAGGAATGTGCAGCTCTTACCTCACACAGCACGATCCCAAAGGAAAAGATATCCACCTTCTCATCATAGCGTCTCCCTGAGAAATAAACCAGCACGGCATTCAACACCACCGGCAGGAACAACCAAACACACTCACACACCTACATTCACACACTTAATCACTCACTTGCACACAGTCACAACCATACACACGTGCACACACTGATACACCTAAGTACCAGCCATTTCACTTTTCAAACAACCTCTACTTTGCACTATTGGTACTCAATTGGTGACACGTGCCCCTATGTAAGCAATGTAAGCAGCAGATGGCCTCAGAAATGTGTGTGTGGTGGTGGGGGAATGGCCGCTACCTCTGCTGTGAGGTACAGGTCCTGTGTGAGACTGGCTCTGTGTGTCTGGCTGTTGAACTCACCGTTAATCATCTCTGGAGCCATCCAGTAGGGGTTGCCGACCACGGTGTAGCGTTTCCGGCGGTCAGGCTTGTGCAGGGACGGCATGCTCCCTGGGGAGAGGTTCCCCGTTTGCTTCTTCTCATCGACCATCAGCCGAGCTAGCCCGAAGTCAGCCACCACCACAGTCTTGTTCTGTGAACACAACCCAGGAACTGACAGGATGCTCAGGGCCGGAGACAGGAGGGGAATAAGACAAAGTACAGGCAGCGCCAGGAACCAGTCAGACACAGGGCTCGAGTACAGGCAGCGATGATGGTGGGTGGTCAGGGGGGGGAGGTACAGAGTGCAGCAAATCTTAGCTAATTCGTGATTGTTCCTGCAATATTCCCAACCCCCCCACAGTGCAGGGTGAGGGTCTGTGTCGGGGGGAGGGTCTGTGTCAAATACGGGAACTTGCTGCACTCTGACCATCGCAGACACTCACCTCTCGCACCAGGCAGTTGTGGGAGTTCAGGTCTCGGTGGATAATGTTCATGGAGTGCAGGTAGGTCTGAAACCAGAGAGAGGACGGTCTAACTCTGTACAGCTGTTCCTTCACTCCCAGCCCACCCCCCAGTCCCCCGACACCCCGAGACCCACCATCCCAGCTGCAATGTCCCTGCCGAAGCTCACTCGCTGGTTCCATGGAAATGGACTGTCCTGGTGGAGAGAGGAAAACCACAGGCCCATTATTATCAGCTGGAATTTCCTGCTGAGACAACCAGCGTCAAGACACTATTCCCTACGGAAAACAGCAGACACAAGCCTGTCCCTCTTCAGCACGTTAGCAAGCACAGTGCGCTCAAATCTGTCGCACGGCCAATAGGGGACAGGGCAGAGGGTGGAGCCGAGGCCTTTGACCAGTACAAAGTGTTGTCACTCACCAAGTCTTTGATGATGTCTCTCAGCGTGCCGCCCCTGATGTACTCCGTGATAAAGTTCAGCCTCTTATCTTTGTAAAGGACACCAATGAACTTGAGGACGTTGGGGTGGTCGAGGCAGCGCATCACCTTAACCTACAGACGAGAGATTACAGGGTTATCCTGGCACCTAGAAACGAGACACAGCGAGGCTCACTCTCCCTCCCCTGAGCACAGCACAGTAGTCTGCGTTCAGTACTGTCTGCAGTACTCGCTGGATGGTTACTCAATGTAAACTATCCTCTTGCTGGTTCCCAGACACTGAGCGAAATACATCTCCAACCAGCTCGAACCAGGGTTCAGAGAAAGCTTCATTGGCTTTAGCATTGCCTCAGTCAGTAGGACCCTCACCTTATGATCAGAAGGTTGTGGGTTGAAGTCTCCACATCAAGACTTTGAGCTCAGACAGACTGCTGGTTTTCAGACAAGACATTAAATCTGTGCGCAGAAGGACATTAAAAGATCACGTAACAACAATGTAAAAGACAAGGAGTTTTCTCCCTGTATCCTGTCCAATTAACCTCCAGATTGATTGTCATTCACCTCAGCCTACTTTAGGATAAATACCTCCTCTTATTCGTCTGCAGAAAAACAGTCACTGAAGTTAACACTGATTCCCAATGTGATGCAATTGAATTTCCAGAAAAGAAAAGATGCAGACACTGGCACAAACCTCCTTCAGAAAGGTTCTCTGCGTTTCATCGTCAAAGCGGATGAGTTCCTTCATCACCATGACCTCTCCTGTCTCCTTATGTGTCACCTGTTCAACAGGAAGAAGCTCATGGCAGGAGCAGAAAAACACGCAAGCACACACACTAGAACAGCCCATGCATTCAGCAATCCCACACGTGTACACGTGCACAATGTAACACAAAAAAGTCAGGAGTTCAAGTACAGGGTCAGCTTTGAGTGCTCCAGACCTTAAAAGAAGGTCTCATGAGGAACATGAGTCGAAAGAGTTGGTGGATATTCCAAACTAGATCTTAGGATGGAGCTTTAGGGATTCAGTGCCTGATGGAAAAGGCCTCCAGCCTCTCACATACCCACAGATCAGAGCCGGCGGAGGCGAGGTGAGAAGGGGAGAAAGGGAGGGCTTGTTCCCAGCCTGACCAGCGTTTGCTCAGCACAGACACCGCTGCCTCCCACAATCCCGAGGAGCAGGAATATTAAGAAAAATATTAAATATTAAAAATTTGGTCACTCAATCCACGACTGTTTGTGGGACGCTGCTGTGCACAATTGGCTGCCGCGTTTTGTCCACAAAACAGTATACCTGTGAAGTGCTTTGAGATGTCTCAGCAACTTGATAAGGCACTATATTGAATGCAAGGATCATTATTATGAAGTGCTCCTAGTCTAGACCAGGGGGAGGGATGAGAAGCAAGTACCTTGATGGCTTGTCCGAAGCAGCCCTTGCCCAGCACCTCCCCATGAATCAGGTCAGACGGTCGAAAGATACGATGCATCCTGGAGGCGATGCGCAGAGACTCCGACCGGCCCAGGTTTCTCTTTTGAGAAGCAGGTGAAGAAGCGGCACTGGAGCTCGGAGACTTGTCTACACTGCTGCTCCTCCTGCGAGCAAAACCAGAGCACATCACAGGAGCCTGGACCACATCATAGCCCTACACTCACCCCCACCCCCGATTCGCCACATCCACACTCCCCTGCAGTGGCTAAGACCCACCCCCCCACCCCGCGTATGCCACCCCTACACTCCCCTCTGCCCTGGGTACACCCTGGGACGAAGTGCTAATCCAAAGTTCCGTCTGTCTGTTCAAGGGACCCTTAAAGATCTCGTTGCGCTATTCACAAAGAGAAGGGAATTTCTCCCAATGTTCATTGCTTCTTACCACATGGTTGCAAGTAGCTGTGAAGATCTTTCAGCGTTACTTACAATTGTTGTATGAAACAGTAAGGTTGTGGACAGAACAGAGAGAGAGAGAGTGCTTACATGACGGGCCTATGTTTGCCGTTGTCTCCGCTGGGGGTGCTGGGTTTCTGGGGGCTGGAGCTGTCCTCCAGGAGAGCCTCATGAGGGTCGTGCTCGATGGTGAGCTGCAGTAAGCGGCTGGTCTCCTGTATCAGGAGGTCAATCTGCAGGAGGAGGTCACTATCAGTACACTGCCCCCCTGCCCGCACCAGTAAGCATCACTCAGCAACCGTCACCTGGCCCCACCACAGCAACCATTACCCCCCACGGCAACCATCAACAGGCCCACGGCAATCATCACCCCCCCCCCCCAACACAGCAACCATCACTCCCCCCCCCACGGCAAGCATCACCCCCCCCTCCCAACACAGCAACCATCACTCCCCCCCCACGGCAAGCATCACCCCCCCCTCCCAACACAGCAACCATCACTCCCCCCCATGTTAGCCATCACTCCACGCCCCCCCCCCCCACCACCCCAGCGCAACCGTCACCCCACCTGGTCCCTCCCACTCCTGAACTACTGGAAGGTGATGTATTCCTGACACAAGAGCAATTTGCTGCATACCGCCCCATCTCCCCAATCTGCGTCACTTAGTATTTCCCACCCTGATGCATTTAGTCAGCAGCATCTTATGCCTTGTTGCCGGGGGGGGGAGGGTTGGACAGTATTCCCAGTGTCTGTCCTGCTCAACTAACCTCATCCAATGGCACATTCCTGATGGGCGTCCCGTTAATCTCCAGAATCCTGTCACCAACGTGGATGGAATTCTTCACCTCAGGACTGACGCAGCCCGCCTCAACCCTGGAACGAGCACAGCACAAATAGGTCACATCCTTGCTCACCTGGGGCTCCCTGCCAAACCCCCAGCCCCCCACAGACACCTGCCCCCCCTCACACCCACCCCCTCTCCAACCCCCCTCACACCTGCCCCCTCTCCACCACACACACTGTCCACCCTCCCCCCACACACCTGCCCTTCCCCAAGCACCTGACCCCCCTACTCACTCCTTGACCCGCACGGTGTGTGTGCGCTCGGTGGAGCAGCTCCGAGGACTGCACAGCTGATCGATGGACACAGAAAATCCTCGCTTTCCATCACTGGAGGCGGGAATGGAGACGAGTGTAACTGTGTGTGGGATCCGGGGGCAGGGCGTCTCTGGCACCGGCGTGACCACCGTCTGGTAATAACATCGGCTACTGTGTGGGGGTGGAGGTGGGGAGAGATGGGGGGGGAAGGGGGGAGAGAGTGGGGATAGAGAGGTTAATGCACCACCAGGGTATGAGTCACACAGACTGTATGAGTGAAGAGCACAGGCAGTATTACAGTGACAATATCACTGCTGATAAGACAGGCTTTAGCTGATTCTGTAGCTGTTGGTATTTTGCACAAATTAATTGCACAGTTTGCTTATACACGACGGACGGGGCAAGTCCTGGATTTTGCAGATAATCACAGTGTGAAGCACTGAAGCATGCGGATGTCTTTACCAGAAGAGCTTGGAGCGCTCCACCAGGGCGTAGCCATCTCCATCGCCAATAAAGGCCCCACAGGACAGACACACAAAGCACTCGGGGTGGTACTTGTGCTCCCCAGCAACCTGCAAAACACCAGACTATCAATCCCTAGCCCAGCCTCCAACCTGCCCCCACCCAGCTCCCAACCCACCCCGAGCCAATCAACTCCTAGCGCTCACCATGATGAGGCCAGTGGTGATCTGCTCACAGCAGCCATGGCACAGCTCCCCGAAGCGGGCCCAGTAATCCTTCTTACAGTACAACCGCCCCTCCTTTTCGTAGTACCAGTGTGATAGCGACACGTTACACTCGCAGCACCTGCGGGACACAGACAATCTCGTCAGCACAGCCCCCGGCCCAGCCCAGCCCCCAGCACAGCACAGCCCCCAGCCCAGCAGAGCCCAGCCCAGCCCCCGGCCCAGCACAGCCCCCAGCGCAGCACAGCCCCCAGCCCAGCACAGCCCAGCCCAGCCCCCGGCCCAGCACAGCCCCCAGCGCAGCACAGCCCCCAGCCCAGCACAGCCCAGCCCAGCCCCCGGCCCAGCACAGCCCCCAGCGCAGCACAGCCCCCAGCGCAGCACAGCCCCCAGCCCAGCACAGCCCAGCCCAGCCCCGGCCCAGCACAGCCCCCAGCCCAGCACAGCCCCCAGCCCAGCGCAGCCCCCAGCGCAGCACAGCCCCCAGCACAGCCCAGCCCAGTCCCCGGCCCAGCACAGCCCCCAGCGCAGCACAGCCCCCAGCCCAGCGCAGCCACCAGCCCAGCGCAGCCACCAGCCCAGCCCCGGCCCAGCAAGCCCCCAGCCCAGCCCAGCACAGCCCCAGCCCAGCACAGCCCCCAGCCCAGCACAGCCCCCAACCCAGCGCAGCCACAAGCCCAGCCCAGCCCCCGGCCCAGCACAGCCCCTGGCCCAGCCCAGCCCCCAGCGCAGCACAGCCCCCAGCCCAGCCCCCAGCGCAGCACAGCCCACAGCCCAGCGCAGCCACAAGCCCAACCCCCAGCCCAGCCCCCAGCCCAGCACAGCCCCCAGCCCAGGCCTCAGCCCAGCACAGCCCAGCACAGCCCCCAGCCCAGGCCTCAGCCCAGCACAGCCCCCAGCCCAGCACAGCCCCCAGCCCAGCACAGCTCAGCCCCCAGCGCAGCACAGCGGCGGAGTAAGGCGATGTTGCGGAGGTAGGGGAAAGCAGAGTGGGTCATGACACTGATGTGGGGTAGAAAGGGTAGTTGAGGGTCAAACAAGACCTCAAGGTTCCAGACTGGCTTAGTAAGGTGGATTGCAGCCTTGACTCTGCTAGGACATCCATTGGATACTGTAGTGACTGTCTGGGAAACCTTTCAGGAAGTAGTAAACAAGTGACTGCAGGACACTAATATCACTATGTAGCGAATAAGAGTCAGTGTGGAATAGAAACTGGTTAATTTGTAGAAGTGGTGCGCTTTACAAGAGGATCTGGGACTACAACAACAACAAGATTCCATTTATAGAGCGTCTTTCACGTCGGGAGGACGTCCCAAAGCGCTGTACAGTTGGCTCAGGACCCGAGGAGGAGGGAAATGGTCAGTGGGAGGGGAGGGAGGGAGCGAGGAGGGGGTAGAGAGTCGAGAGGGGAGCTGAAGGTACGGTCAAAGAGAAGGGTCTTGAGACCGGCCTTGAAGGAGGAAAGGGAGGAGGCGGCGAAGGCACTGTGGATAGAGTTCCAGAGCCTCGGGGCTGAGAGGCTGAAGGCCACCGATGGTTGGGCGGTTGGACATGGGAGAGGGGGAGGTGGAATGGAGGTTGGTTCTCTGTACTGGAATCTTTCTCTTACTAATCTTGGGTTTTCCCCTTAGTAAAAGTCACAGACATGATGACTGTCACTGTGTCTGATACAAAGCGAATGTCCGGAATGCAGGAACTCACCGGGAGCCACACAGCACAGTCTGGATTCTGACTCCAGGCTCACTCGCCAGCTTCATCTCCCAGGAATGGGTCGTTGCCTACTCTCTGTCCCCACACACACACACTGCCCACTCCGCTCTCACACACAGTCCCTGACTACACACACTGCCTACTCAGTCCCCGCACATACACACAGTCCCCGCACGCGGGCCACACAGTCCCCGCACGCGGGGCACACAGTTCCCACACGCGCGCATACAGTTCCCGCACGCGGGCCACACAGTCCCCGCACGCGGGCCACACAGTCCCCGCACGCGGGCCACACAGTTCCCGCACGCGGGCCACACAGTCCCCGCACGAGGGCCACACAGGCCACACAGTTCCCGCACGCTCTCACACAGTCCCCGCACGCACTCACAGTCTCCGCACGTGCACACTCAGTCCCCGCACGTGCACACACAGTCCCCCCCCCACACCCCGACTAGACACTCCCTACTCAGTCCCACACATACACAGTCCCCGCACGTGCACACCCAGTTCCCGCACGCGGGCAACACAGTCCCCGCTCGCGCACACACAGTTCCCGCACACACACACACACAGAGTCCCCGAATACTCACAGTCCCTGATCACACACTGTCGGCTCAGTCCCTGCACACACACACACTGCCTGTTCTCAGCTGTCTCACACACGTATACTGAGTCCCAGACACAGCTCCTACTGGGGTAAGCAGCTGACTGCAGATAGCAAAGTCACCAACATCACGTCCCAAACCAGTCACCGAGAGCGAGCGAGCGAGAGAGACACACTCCCCATTCCTGCTCAGACATATTGCCAACAGTCAGAGAGCGGCACTGACCAGGGACCCAGCACAGATATAGAAGCTGATCTCACGCCGCCTCAGCCATTCGTAGTTTTATTTTTAAGCTTCACTTCCTCTAACTGGTGAAACACAAGCCACGACCGGGAGTGAGACAGCAATAGCCGACACAGAACTGAATTAAACCAGACAGCCTTCCCTCCCATCTCAACACTGCGCTCGGTCCCCTCCCCCTGGGCTCAGGCGCAGCTCATGATTATGACTGTGTTTCTCGTGTGCTGTGGTTCAGTCGCCATCTGGTGGCCGAGCACCGTATATACTGGTGCCCACCTCTACCTCAGCAGCCGAAGCTCTGTGGCTCGTGTCGCAAGTGTACGAGTCCAACCGGTGACTCAGGCGTCAAACCCGCCTGCTCTGTACCTACGTGTGCTTAACCCTGTGACACGCAGACAGGGGGGATGGTGAAATAAAGACTGTCCTAAGGTCTGGTCAAGGCAATTAGTCTCGTTGTGCCAGAGAATGTCACAGTAAACCCTCCTCGGCCCCAACAATCAGACTGGTCACAGGAGGGCAGCAGATCGAGACGCTAGGGTGACTGTGAGCGGGTACACTGGTCACAGGAGGAGGCGTGAGGGCAGCAGATCGAGACGCTAGGGTGACTGTGAGCGGGTACACTGGTCACAGGAGGAGGCGTGAGGGCAGCAGATCGAGACGCTAGGGTGACTGTGAGCGGGTACACTGGTCTACTGAGGCTCAATATTTCCCATTTGAGAATCGCAGTGTTGAACGGTCGACAGAGAGATCGGGGGGGTGTGGGTCGGGAGACCGCAGCTCACTTTATTAGGCACAAGGTCACAGCAGTAGCTACTGTCAAACAAAGTGGCTGTATTTTGCAGACAAACACAGCAGTCAATTGGCAGCCAGCGATGTCCCACGCACAGCCTTCTCTTGCACCCCGAGATTTCCCCCTACCCTCCACCATCCCCCACCCTGACACCCAGCTCAGGTCCTTAACTCTGCCTGTCCAGCGCCTTGGGACGTCCTCCCAATGTGAAAGGCGCTTTACAAATGTAATTTTGTTGTTGTTGGCTGGCAGCTCAATCTGGCATTGGTTGAGGTCAGCAACACAAGAAGGATCAGTGAACACACGAATGGCAGGTACTGCTCTGCTACCGGCTAACACACACCGTCATCATTACTGTATAGTTTACCAAGACCAGTTGATCACTGAATGACCTCCCCTCAATCTGCCAAAAAACTATTGATGGCATCAGATCTGCATCACACAGTTGTATTATACGTTGACGTAGTAATACGACAGACTGCTTATATAAACAATCAGCACATAATATTGTGGGGCGCATTCACTCTGCAGCCTTTTACCATTCACTGGGTAATTCCCAGCACAGATCAGCATTTCTGATCACGACCTGCTGCCTCCACTCGACTGGCTCCGGCCTCCGCCCTCCATTCCACTATATGTGGGCGGGCTTTCAGCCTCTGCTCTCTTCCTGTATCCCTCATCCTTGCCCTTTCCTTCCTCATCTTCAGGTCGCGCCTAAAGACCTTCCTCTTCGATCGTGCCTACGGTCCCCTCCACCCCCTCCAGCTCGGCATCATGCACCGCCAGTGACAAATGCTCTGAGACGCTATCCTGTGTGAGGGGCGCTCTGTAAATGCAAGTTGCTGTTACTGACTGTGACACTGCCCTTCAGGCCACCACCACCACACCAGTGTCATCACCGAGAATGTCAGTGACAGACTGATGGGGGGGTGGGGAGGAGCAACGAAAGAAGAAACACAGTACACCCTCTCCCTCAAAGCGCTTCATAGAATTTACTGTAAAGTGGAGTGACTGTAAATTTGTGGGCAAACAGTATGAGAGGCTGTGAAGTGGATCGAGCGCAGGATTAGCACAGACCCCAGCAGGTGCAGGCCAGATGTGCGGGCGCAACGGGGGAGGGGAACGACAACGGACAGCGGCAGCAGCTGGAGGTCCTACCTGAAGCAGGTACTGTGCCAGTCCGTATTCAGAGCCTGCAGATACTGACCATCATAAATGGAGCGGCCGCAGCCCGCACAGCAGGGTACGCATCCTCCTGTAACCAGACAGGCAGAACAGACGGACAATATCACACACTGTACTGCAACTCAAAGCACGTGAACGTGGGAGTCCAGCAGGGCACACACTGTGCTGCAGGCACTCTGCACACACACTGACTGACTGACTGACTGCACTGCAGCAACAATTATGACAAATGCTGAGACACCAGTGGAGCACGAAGCTCAGCGAGACATGCAACCTGCTGCAACCAGACACACGCACACGCACACACACACACACCCACCCACACAGAGCACAAAAACCCAACGCAACAAATAATAATCCTTGCATTTGATTCAGTGCCTTATCACGTTGAGATGTCTCAAAGTGCTTCACAGAATACATACTTTAAAGTGTAGTGATCGTATATTTTGTGGGAGAAACTTGGGACATCTTTCTGACCTGTAGGGTGCTGTACAAGTGTAATATGTTGTTGTTGAATCGTGGCAGACAAATGCGCACAGCAGTGTTCCATAAACAGTCGTTTATTTAATTTAAATTTATTTAAAAGCGTGTGTAGCCAACAGGGCAAGCATCACATTGAATTATACATACAACGCAGCAAGATGCAGGTGGGAATGGTTACAACTGGCCGGACAGGGACATTAGCCCCTACAAATACACACACTCACTACACTTAACATTAATTGCTGTCAAGGGCTTTCGAGTACTTTAACATTAGAGGCACTGTAACAAATCCAAGGATTCTTAGGACACGTAAAGTCACATTAAACTGATCAATGCAACTAATGTGAACCAAGCAGGCTGTGCAACCTGCTGAAGACAGCCGGGGGTGGGGGGGAGCCGGAGCCCGGAATCTGAACACGATGAGCAAAGGCTGTGGGTGGGATATTATAATAATAGTAATAATCCTTGCACTTGATACAGCCAAGTTGGTTTGGCATTCATCACGTCGGAAGGACGTCTCAAGGTGCTTCACTATGAATGATTGAATAGGAGGAACTGTGTATCTGCAGGAGAATACGGCATCACAACAGGCATCGCCCGGCAACGTCCCCCCAGACAGTGGTGAGGGGTGATCTGTCTGGACAGAGTCAGTCAAGTACGCTGTTGTCTGCTGTGCGCAATTGGCTGCTGCGTTTTACTCACAAATTATAGTCACTTTACAGTGTAACCTGCAAAGCGCTTTGAGACGTCTCGAAGACGTGATAAGGCATTGTATCAAATGCAGAGATTATTATTATTAAGTCAGTCTCAAACCACGTCCAGACCCAATGTGGCCAGTTTGGGTGGGCTTTTTGTGTTGGCATCGCACTGGGCATGTGAGAGGGGGGAAACACTGGGGTTGTCTGTGTCTGTGTGTGTGTGTGTATTTCCCCCGTGGAAGACCTTCTCTTCTTTCAATAGCACTGACACAGAGCAGCCAGTCTGCGGGGCCTTATCAGCCAATACTTGCCACAAAAACAGCCCAATTATTAGACATATAGCATAATAGACAGAGCATAATAATTTGGCTACTTTTTTTTGGGGGGAGGGCGGGGGGCTAGTGCAGGGTTGACTTTGGGCTACTAAACACAGTCACTACACTTTACAGTGTGTCCTGTGAAGCGCTTTGAGACGTCTCGAATACAGGGTGAGGGGCCGGGGCTCAAATTGCCGGGATTGTGATTATTGTGATTATTATTATAACAAACTGTGATTTAATTGCTGCCCCCACCCCCCCACACCCTCACCCCCCCCCCCCACACCCTCAACCCCCCCCCCACACCCTCACCCCCCCCTCCCACCCCCCACACCCTCAACCCCCCCCCTCCCACCCCCCACACCCTCAACCCCCCCCCTCCCAACCCCCACACCCCATCCCCCTCCCACTCCCTCAACCCACCCATTCCCCACTCCCACCCTCTCCCCTCAATCCCACCCCCCACTCCCACCCCCCCACACCCCACTCCCATGCCCCCCCACTCCAGTCCCCCCCCCAAAAAAAAACAGAAGGCAAACAAGAAGTAGCCTCTGAGGGGGAGCAGGAGGGAGAGGGGGTGGGGGGTGGGGGTGGGGGGTGAAGGCTGCAGCCCCCTCCCCACACACACACACGGGAGAGACCCCACCACCGCGGCCACTTTTACTTACAAAAGGTAAAGGCTCCGGCAGTGCGGGGGCTGCGGGGGGGGGGCGCGCGCTGTCGCCGTTGACCGTTGGCCGCTGTCCCGCTCGCGCTCCGGGGGGGGGGGAGGGGAGAGTGACGGGGCCCCCGGGCTCAGGCCATCACCGCACCGCACCGCACCCCCTCTCTCTCTCTCTCTCTCTCACAGTGAAATGCCCCGAAAAGAAAAAAGGGGGGAAAGAAGAAAGCGGTGACGGCTCCCCCTCACCCCCCGCCCCCCCCCCCCTCTCCCCCCCCTCACCCCCGCACTCACCCTCCTCATCTCCCATCCGATCGTCCCTCCAGGTGCAGCAAAGCAGCATCAACCACATCACATCACTGTCCACCTCCAGCCCCGAGCCCGAGCCCGAGCCGAGTGCAGCCCGAGCCCGAGCGGAGCCGGAGCCGAGCCCGAGCCCGAGCCGAGTGCAGCCCCGAGCGGAGCCGAGCCCGAGCCGAGTGCAGCCCGAGCCCGAGCGGAGCCGGAGCCGAGCCCGAGCCGAGTGCAGCCCCGAGCCCGAGCCGAGTGCAGCCCGAGCCCGAGCGGAGCCGAAGCCGAGCCCGAGCCGAGTGCAGCCCCGAGCCCGAGCCCGAGCCGAGCCCGAGCCGGAGCGGAGCCGAAGCCGAGCCCGAAGCCGAGTGCAGCCCCGAGCCCGAGCGGAGCCGAGCCCGAAGCCGAGTGCAGCCCCGAGCCCGAGCGGAGCCCCGAGCGGAGCCGAGCCCGAAGCCGAGTGCCAGGCCCGAGGACAGGAGCCGTCGACCCGAGGAGCGTCGCCCCTCCTCTCGTCTCCGCAGCCCCCGCGGGGGGGGGGGGGGGGGTGTGTGCCGCGGGCTGTCCGCCGCCCCCCGCACAGCTGGTCCTCACGCTCCGCGCGGCGGCGCTCTCTCTGCAGCGATGCAGCGCCCCGCGCGCAGTCTGCAGTACCCGGAGCCGCCACAGCACTGCGTCCTGTGCAGCATCTGCAGCGCCCGGAGCCGCGGCTGCAGCCGCGCGTGTTCTGCAGCAACGCCTTCGGAGGACGACCCGCGGCGGCGGCGGCGGCGGCAACACGACGTGCACTCGGAACGCTCTCCGCTCCCGCAGCGCTCAGCTGCCGCACCCGTGCAGTCTGCGCCAGACCCGCAGCCCTCGGAGCTGCCGCCGCACTGCGTCCTGTGCAGCATCTGCAGCGCTCAGCCGCAGCCGCAGTGCGTCCTGTGCAGCATCTGCAGCGCTCAGCCGCCGCAGCAATGCATTCTGTGCGCAATCTGCAGCGCTCAGAGCCGCCGCGGCGACGCCTCTTGCGCACAGCCCGCGGCGCTCAACCACCGCAGTAATGCATTGGCTGCACGGTCGGCATCACTGAGAACCTGTGCGCAGAACCCCCAGCGCTCCGAGTCGCCCCAAACAACGCGTCTCCGTGCGCCACCGGCAGCGCTTTGCAAACGCCTACACAACGCGCAGCACTGACAGCCATCGCGGCAATGCCTTCTGTGCACATTTTCTATGCAACCGGGCTCAGCCGGGCTCAGCCGGGCTCAGCCGGGCTCAGCCGGGCTCGACCGGGCTCGACCGGGCTCGACCGGGCTCGACCGGGCTCAACCGGGCTCAGCCGGGCTCAGCCGGGCTCAGCCGGGCTCAGCCGGGCTCAGTCGGTTCCGAGTCGGAAGGTTGTGGGTTCAAGTCCCAACGCCAGAGCCTGGAGCTCACAGTCTAAGTTGGCGCTGAAGAGCATTACTGGGGTTTTGACGGGAACACTGCATTGTTGGAGTGACCAAATTATTAGGGTCTCATCCCTGGAAAAGTGATCCGCCAATCGACTAACAACTGGGTTCCTACTGACTGCGAGATAAACAGAAGCAAGTGGAGTAAGGAAACTTGCCGAATGCTTGTCCCTGCCCGGGAATCGAACCCAGGCCCTCGAGTTTGCGAGCCGAGTGCTCTAACCACTGAGCTAAGGACTCAAATGTAATCTCTCCCCGGCTCACAGACAGATGCAGAGAAATAATTAACCATTTGTCAGGACATTTGAAGACTGCAAACAATATGATTGGAAATCTTAAATAAAGAAATCAACAAAATCGTGCCCTCCTCTCCCCAATAATATTTATATATTGCACATCTAATTGCAACATCTGAAAACTCTTTACGGAGAGTTCCTGTCAAGTATAGTGACTATATTTGTAGACAAATGTGATAGCCAATTATTGCAGAGCAATGTCCCACAACGTTACAAAAGTTACAAAGGGAATTACCAATTTATCTGGAGGATGATTGTTTAGGTCATCAGGAAAATCTCCCTTCTCTTTTCCAATAGCATAGAATCATATAATCGTACAGCACAAAAAGAGGCCATTTGGCCCATCGAGTCTGTGCCAACTCTTTAAATAGAGCAATGTAATGTCAATCCCACTCCCCGGCCCTTTCCCCATAACCCTGCAAACCCGTCCTCCTCAAATACCCATCCACTGCGTTTTTAAAAGTTGTTATCGAATCGAACTCCACCACCCTTTCAGGCATCACAAAACCTTAATGAATAAATTATGAGATGACATTAGTTTGCAGGTGTTTAAGTTCTAAGAGCATCATCTGTGGAAGAGGGAGGGGAATGAGGAGGTGGATCACTACAATGAGTAAACCTGTACCTCAGGGACAGGCGTTATGGGGTTGATCAGGCTTCTCCACATGACCATCTCTGGATTATGCTTTACAACCTGAATTCTAGTACCTGGGACCTACATAGAGTTAAGTGGACACTTTCATCAGCCAACCATACACCCAGTGAAGGAAGAGGGCTGGTGTCTAGGTCCACTGGAAGCTTTGGGAAGCTGAGTAGCAGCTTGAATTCACCAATGTGACACTGGTAGATTATGTTGTAGGAATTGGTTATGTACAATTGCTGGAGCAGCCCAGCACTGTGTCTAATCTGCTCCACAGACAAATCAGAAAAAAGTGAAGCCTCCCCTCAGCGCTCTGGGATGTTGGAATTCAGAGCTCACTCCAGCCCTCTTAAAGCCAGGAGGTGTGTGGCTAATGAGTTAGTTTATGTTGACTGTGAGCCTGCGGAGGATCCGATGGCTTCCCAAAGCGTGACTTTTTGTGAGAATTCTGTAAGTAGGTAATAGTCTCCAAGAAAATGTTTTAACATTTTATGTAAACTGATTTAATTGTACCTACCATAGTACTGTAATAAATGAGACACCAAAATAAAGGTTTTGAACCAGACTTTGTAAATGTCTCACTCTTCGACCGCGCCTTCGGTCACCCTCCTATCCTCACCCTCCTGATCCCAACCCCCAGCTCGGGGCCAAATCCCTGACTGTCCAGTGCCTTGGGACATCCTCCCAACGTGAAAGGTGCTGTGTAAATACAATTTGTTGTTGTGTGTTCTGCTATGTTAGTGTTATCACTAATTATAAGGAATTAATAATGTAATCCACTCCCTGCCCCTGTGTAGTGTGAGAATGGTGCCTACAACTGTCTTTATGATCATGTTTCCCACAATTGAACTTCAAGTAATATTTAATGCTGAATGACATATGTATTGATAATATTTATTTAAACAATTCTCTTTATTAAAGCAGTTACTGAATTGGTGTCCATCCAGTATTTTCTCAATCACACAGCTTATGAAGGTGTAGAGAATGGGCATTTACACCAAATCTGAAGCAGTACATTAATACTGAGGTTCATGGTATGCTACAGTACTTAGTATACAATGACTGATGTAAAATACAGTACAACATACTACAGCACAACTTAGAACAATCTCACTTATCAAAAGGATTTGGATGGCAAAATGGGTAGGATTAATGAAGGAAGGGTGCGAGTCAGAAGAAAGGAATGAGAAAGCGAGAGGAGGGTGAAGACAAGGGTGGAAAAGAGAGGGGGGGGAGAAAGAGCAAAAACAGGATGAAGAGACATTGAAGGGTCAGTAAGTAGGGAAAGCAGAGTGTAGCAATGGTGGGCTTTTATCTTTTCACAAACTAGCTCATCAAAAATATGTTCCTACAATATCTCATTCAGTGTTTTCCATTTCAGAGGATGCTGTCTGAGATTATCTGTTATGCTGTAACTGGATACAGTTCTGCCTCCTGATCATAAAACAATCAAATGGTTCGACTTTTTATTTTGGACTTCTGAATTGGAGGAAACATCAATTGAAAAGGGATGGAGATTATTTTAAATTGAGAATTGGATCGAATTGATGAACTAAGAGATGATTCCAATAGAAAAAGTAGAAAAAACCTCTGCCAATTGTAGTTATTGGGTATTTAAAGTGAAAAGTTTACTGGAAATGGTCATGGTCAGGGCTTCATTGAAGCAGTGGAGGTAGTTTATTTCTGGCAACACCACTGCCAATAATGAAGGAATTACTCAATACAATCAGACATAATGTTTTTCAGGTCCTGTACATTTCCAAACCAAGCAACTGAATATTGTCAGTTCCCCCCTCCCAAATCCTATGTCCTGGCCCCGTTCCCCGTGATTACAAAGAGACAGAAGAATAACATTTAGATTTGCATTAGTCACTTCAGGCCTCACTTAGGTGGAGCCATCATTTGGACGAACACATCTGCTACCCTCAAAGTGGATTTCGATTAGCACCAAAATACTGATGAGGTGAGTATGATTCAGTTGTCACCCAGCACAGTTTGTAAAGCAAAGTAAAAGCATCTAAAAATCAAACAAGACTGTTTTTATAACTTAGAAATACTGGAGTTCAAAGTGTCACAAACAAATTAAGTCAAGGATGGTGCTAAATATCAGTGAGATTAACAGCAACAAACTGAAATGTAAGATGGTCCCTGAGTGTTTGAAGCACACAGCACTATCCTACAACAGAGGTTCCTGTGATAAGGTCCATTACATATCGATAATGAATACAGACAAATGTTTTCTTAGCTGAGAGGGAGAGAGTTCCGTTGCACACCATCCTTTACATTCCCAATCAGGTAGTAGCACCAAAGTTCTTGAGGTCACTTGAAATTATTTGTTCATTTTCTCCTTCGTCCACAGTATTTTCCGTTTGCACAACCAAAACCTGCAAAAGTACATTAAAACATCCCAATTACAGACTCCAAATTACATTTGAGAGTGTTATATTAGCATAATGAGTTTCTGAATGTAATTGCCTGTACATAGGATGTATTTGAAGCAATTGATCATCAGTGACAACATACCTCTCTGATAACGTTGTCCATACTGCCCCACTGCACCGTATGGCTTGGGAGGTTTACCTGCAATGAAACAAATTCTGCCGTGTAATACACTGCTGCCTACACCTGTTCCATTACTACATACTCAGCTGTGAGGAGGAGAATTGTACCAATTTGCTGTTCACTGCATCCTCTGATGTGATGGACGATGCAGTTGACCTCAGAATTTAATTTTTTTTTGAAAGGGGGGGGCAGAAAGAATGATGCATACAGAACAAGATGGGAAGAAGGAGATGGAAAACCTCAGGAGCAGCAGCAGAGAGCATGGAGGGTAATACAATTGTACTAGAGTGTGAGAAGCAATGGATTTAGGTGCTTTATTCTCCACAGCATGGGAATATTATTGCTCTATTCTTGCCTTCCATCCAATACAAAGAGAAGATATCGTGCTTCTGTTAATATTGAAGATCTACTTCTGTTAATCCAAAGATAGATGTTACAACAAGTACACAATTATCCACTCACATTGGCAACAAAACCTAGTGACATTTCCAATAAAACCAGATACTTCAACAAATTAAACTCTTTATTCCAATTAAAATGTGTTTTTTCCCTCATTCAATGGGAAGGATGTTTCACATACCTAAATTGGGTGGTTTAGCCTCATAGCTTTGCTGTGGAAGGGAATATGGTCTACCTGTTCCACCAGATCAGACAAACAGTATATGTAAAGAAAACAGTTTCATGATTAGATACTGCTGTTTTCACTATTCTTTCTTCAATTGAAAAATTATCTCTCAAGACACTCATTGCAGTAGTTTACATAAATTGTCTCCCAATATTAACAAGGAAGACCATATTCACTCACAGTTTGTACCTAAAACCATCCAACTCAACATAATTTCCATCAAGTACTTTGAAACGTTCAACGGTGGTGAGTAGTTATTTCTTTTATTCCAAGTAATGATTTGGTGTTGGTGAATACAGTGTTAATGTAAGCAGTAAGAAAATACATCAAGGGTATTGATTGGTAGCTACAAGGGGCATCTGTCCCAATTATTGATTCTATTCAGAGGTGGGGGTTTTGGTGGATACCAACATTTGCTTGGACACAGTCCTGAAGGACTGCACGCAGAAGGGCACTCTGGTCATGCTCATCTCTCTTAAAGGAGAGCAAGGTCCCAATGAAGGTCAAGTTTGTAGCATATAAGACCTGTGGGTAAACAGTTCTGGTTTATGGATTCAAGTTCATGGGGATGCAGCAGCAAGGCTTACTCCAGCCCATTTGCAAGTCCAGGAGCAAGAAGTGAGGTGGATTTGTGGCAAACACGGGAAGCGGCTGCAATGAGGGAGGGCTCTGGCTATTGCTAAATACCCTGTGGAGTTGGCTTTATAGGGGCACATCTATTTGCCAAAGCCCCTCACACGAGGATGTGGATTAAGCAGCTGGTGCTGAGTAAACCTGCTATGTGGCATTGGACTTGGAAAACATCATGGTGGCTGGCATGTCATGCGCTGCCCTACAGAGATCCTCCCACCATGTTGAAGGAAGATATCTGTCAGATAGCTGATGAGGAAGCGCCGAGGCTTGGAGCGACAGCTGCTGGAAACTGTTACCTGGAGTCTGAGTTTGTGATCACACCACAAACATCCAATGCTTGGAATTCACTGTGATTGACTGCAGAGAGGTAAGCTGCCGTTGCTCAAGCTCTGCACCTCCAATGATGGAACTATTGCTCAGTGGGAAGGGTGTTACTCCAAGCAATGGGCAGGAAGATGGTAGCAATGCTCTCACATATTTCATACTGAGATTTGTTGCCTACCAGGAAGCCCACAGGTACCTGCCATTCGCCTCGTGAGGGCTCAAACCTGCATTTGTCAGATGTCATTCCACTAAATCTCTCTAGAATTTCCATGTATAGGTGGGATGCATGGACCTCTGTTTTGGATACTGTTAAGCATGATGATGGGTTTCCACGTCAGACAACCAGCTGACCAAAAAAAGCTCTTCTGTCATATCTGTACCAATTGATAAATGTAGGTTCATAGTTCAGTATATAGCATTCGTGAGACTTCCATGAACAGAAATCTATGTTCTTTTGATGATCTGATGATTTTTGATCAAGTCCAAAGGTCCCATTTGAATGAGATTTGCAATTTTCTCTTCTCCAAATCGCCCTGCTGCCCAGTACACACGCAGAACAACAATCACAGTAAGAATGTACCTGGTTGGGGTGTCAGAGGAGCAGGGCTGGGTCGAACTTCAGTAATACCTGTAATGACCATTAAACACTGTTAACTCTTCAAATTTACTTCCAGTCCCCAGAACACCCAGTGTTAGGAACAAGATAGGAATTTATCAAAATTAGGTAGTAACCAAAGTATCCCACTTTGCTTGAACCAGTCTACCTAACATAAATTACCCCAGTTTGAATCTAGCCATTGACCTAAATCCTATCTACATTACCCAAGCCTAGCCATATCCTATCACTATCAACCAACCATAACCCCACACTAACCATACCTAATCAAACACACTACTTAATCTTATCCATTTCTAACCAAATCAGGTCTGCCCTCCACTCTTCCCAGTCCTGAACCCCATGTAATTTTTTTGTTGTTGTATTCAATCTGAACATTACAACAACAATTTGCACTTGCAGAGTAACTTCTCCCTGAGAATAACATCTCAAAGTACTTCATAGGATGGAAAGGGAGGGAGTGAGGTGGATAGACTTTTAGAAGTAATTCTAGAGATAGGGCATGATTGCTGAAAGCTTGTCCACAGATGTTGGGCAGAGGAGGTGAGGGAAGTCCAGCAGGCCAGCCTTGGTGGAATGGAGGGACTGAGCAATAGAGTGGGGCTGTGGCAGATGTAGAGATGGGCGAGGGCATGGAGTAATTTGAAGCTCAAACTGAAAATGTGAATTGGAGAATTAGAGGATCAGTGCAGGGTCAGATTTCAGTTAATCCGCAGGAAGCCAGTGAAGACTTGTGAAGATGTGGGTGATGAGCATGTGAAGCTGACTGCAGGAGATGATACAAACTGCTGAGCTCTGAATGAGCTGGAGCTTATGGAAGGATGAATGAGGGAGACCTTGAGAAATCAAGTCTGGAGATAATGAGATATAGATTGGGGTTTTAGTTGCATTGGGAGTGAAGTAGGGATGGAAGTGGGTGATATTCCGAATGTGGAGAAATGTGATCTTAGTAAGTCCTGAATACAATACTAACCAAGTCAAAAATCTACTGACAACAACAACAACTTGCATTTGTATAGCACCTTTCACATTGGGAGGATGTCCCAAGGCGTTGGACAGTTAAGGATTTGTACCTGAGCTGGGGATTAAAATTAAATAATATTTGACATTTTAATTAATCAAATCTCACTTAACACATTTTAATCTACTTCCATCTGATGTAAACATATATAATGTAATCCTGTGAAACTAATTTAATCATGTTGAAAAATTATATTTGAGATTTATCTGAATTTCAACACTTTGACTGGGGTCTGCTTCCATACTGATGTACAACAGGAATCTCCAAGTCTGTGATCATTAGGTTAACTTCTAGGCTGTCCACCTGTATTTTCTAAAAAAATATATAATCAAACATGTAAATACAATGTTATTCATCGTTTGGGTGGTTATGTGGCAACATGTGGAATCACGTACAATAGAGTTGGCTATCTGGATATAACTAAAGAAGTCTTCTCTACACATTAGTTTTGATATAATCACAATGCGTATATGGGGCAGGGAGATCCTTTCTTGATTTGGGATGTAAATTGTATTGTTTGACTATTTGAAATTATATCTTACCTTTTCACACACTGATGCCCACGTGAAGCCTGTATTTATCCTTAGATGAATGTGAGAAACTGGGATGTGTTGGGAATTAGTATTATTAATAGATAAGCAAGATAGAATGAAACAAATTAAATGTGGAGGTTTAAGTGCGGTATTATGGTTTAGCACGGTTCTTGAGATTATCAATCGCCCACAAATATACGGCCAATTCACTTTACAGTCTATCCTGTGAAGCGCTTTGAGACTTCGAGAAGATGTGAAAAGCGCTGTATCAAATGTAAGGATTATTATTATTATCATCATCAATCAGAGGATACAGGGATATCCACTCCAATTGTTTGATTTGTAGCAGTATCTAGAGGTAAATACCAACATTTGGACTCTGGCTTTCAGGACAACAATGATAATGGCTGAAGTGCATCCTGGGCAAAGTCCCATTGCAGGTTAAGCTTGTGGTATATAGGATATGTGTCCAAAAAGCGCTCCTTCATTGCTCGAAGCTCCTGAGCATCAATAGGGTTTCTTTTGATCTAGGCCCTGAACCAAACTGTGATTTAAATTTGTGGTAAAACCGGGAAGCGTCCTAAATAAAGGGAGAACTGTGGAATATACTCATTGGTCACTTAGAGTTGGTTTCACAGCAGGCAAGGCCCTTCACATAAGAACCTGGATTAAGCACTGCAAATGGACCTTTACCACATTAAGATAGCTGGAACACTGCAAATTATCCTGTATGAATCATTCCACCATGTTGAGTGTTGCATCAAAGATAATCCCTAGTGTTAGAGTAATGAGCATATTGACCTGTAATAAAAGAGGGCCAATATGGTTATGAAACAAAGAGCACGGGAGTAATTTGAGATGTTTTGATGTCATAGGCACTGTAACAAATATTAAGATTATTATGCAATTTTGGAAAATCCAAATTACATTTTAAGGGACTAATATGAACTGCAAATGTGTCCACACTGAGAGATGTGGCCTGGGGAACTCGCTTCTTACCTCTTCTGAGAGTCACTGAGGACACAATAGGCCCTTTGCAGGCAAATTAACTGTCCACATATTGTTGATAGGTTGGATAAGTTAGGGCTCCTCAGTCTTCAGAGAAGCCATCATAGGAGGTGTATAATATTTTAAATGGGATTGAAAAAGCAAACCCTTATCAATACTTTAGCATAAACTAAGTTACTAGAACAAGAAGAATAGGAGGACATAGGTTTAGAGTTGCAAAAGGCAATTTCAGGATGGATACCAGGACATTTTTCTTTATCCAGAGGGTAATTAACTGGAACAGATTACCAGGAAGGGTGGTTGAGGCCAGGACACTTTACTCATGTAAAAAGCAGCTTGATAGCTGTAATGGCAGGATGGACATTATAGAAGGATGAAATCTGATGGGCTGAACAACCCTTTTTATCCAAATACATTTTGTGATCTTGAGAAGGTGTCTTAGGATGACAGTTGCAGGAAGGTGATACTTGGGAGTTCTGGTTTGTGAACACACGCTCATATATCTAGGGCTTGTTACCCAAGCTTGATTGTGATCCAGAGAAGTAAATGGTTCCTGCTGAAGCTTTGCACTTTCAAATAGTGGACCCACCGCTCAATAGGTGGGGATGTGTATCTAGGAGGATAGTGTCAATGGAGAGTTGTGCTGTTTACCACACAAGTAAAGAGTTCTTGGTACCTGTTAATCGACCTAGTGGAGGTTCAAAACTGTGCTTATCAGATGTCTATGTCAAACTAGTGATTGGGGTGGGGTGGGGTGGAGGAAGGGGGAGAAGAGACATTGTGCCTTCAATTTCCCAACCCAACTCAGCTTTGCAATCTACATTACACTCTCCTCACTATAGGATGTAGAGACAGACAGTTTGTAAGATACAATTTCAAATTCACTGCAAATCTCGAAACAGCTGGACATATTTTCCCGAAGTTTTGTGATGTCACCTTGTGTAGAGTTATCCAGGGACTATGGATGCCACAGTGCAGTGTTCAGTAGGAGATAGAAACTGAGGACGCCTACCTGGGCAACTGTTACACATGCAGCGATAACCACAAGCAGCCACCACCTGATACAATACTCTCTAATGTCACCAGTTACATGACATGCAGATTATAAAGAAAGCATTTCAATAAAGAAAAAATTACCAGGCTGGACACCCACTCCCAGGCCAGGCTGGACACCCACTCCGACGCCAGGCTGGATACCCACTCCCACTCCAGGCTGGACACCCACTCCCAGGCCAGGCTGGATACCCACTCCGACTCCAGGTTTGACTCCCACTCCCAGGCCAGGCTGGACACCCACTCCCAGGCCAGGCTGGACACCCACTCCCAGGCCAGGCTGGACACCCACTCCGATTCCAGGCTGCACACCCACTCCCAGGCCAGGCTGCACACCCACTCCGACTCCAGGTTTGACTCCTACTCCCAGGCCAGGCTGCACACCCACTCCGATTCCAGGCTGGACACCCACTCCGATTCCAGGCTGGCACACCCACTCCCAAGCCAGGCTGGACACCCACTCCCAGGCCAGGCTGGACACCCACTCCCAGGCCAGGCTGGACACCCACTCCCAGGCCAGGCTGGACACCCACTCCGATTCCAGGCTGGACACCCACTCCAATTCCAGGCTGGACACCCACTCCGATTCCAGGCTGGACACCCACCCCAGCTCCTATTTTGATGACACGAGGATTTGGGAATTAGAAATGTTAGATAACCGCGACTATTTTCCTAACATGCTGCAGGACTGCTTTAGTGATAGTCCTTAGGCCAGGCCACACATCTGCTGCTTCATGAACATTTCTAACCTCATGCCAGAGCGCAGTGAGTGAGTGCAACGGACAAGGCTGAAGGACAACATCTCATCCGAAGGACCACACCTGTGAAAATACAGCACTCCCCCACGCCTGCAGTGGAGTAATAGCCTAGCCTATTAGCTCAAAATTTTGCTGTGGGACATATTAAGAAAGTAAGAAGTGCAAGTAGGAAAGTCAAATTACATTCGCTGCCTGACCTGCAGCAAATCATGAGACAGACTTGATGCGTCATATAGTCTGTTTCTCTGACGTAAACTTCTATGATTTTGTCATTACATACAGCAGAGCATAATCATTTGTTAACTTTGCAAATGAGTACATTAATTTTATGCCATAAGTGAAACTATTTACCTCTATATTTTGCAGCTTTTTGTGCAGCAGCTAGACCTATAATAAGAGATTAATACAGCTATAAACATCTACAAATTGACTGAACTTGGAAAAGCAGCAAATTTGTAAAGATAATAATCATCTTTGCATTTGATATAGCACCTTATCACGTCTTCAAATAATTACTCTTCGGATAATGGTTAGCTCTTTGACAACATTTTAATATTGACTGATAACCATATTATCTTGGTTCCCTCTTCTATTTGCACACATATCAAAAATTCCCACCTCGCTAACAGTTGCTTGTTGTTTCAATGTGGATTGTATTCTCTATCTGCCACAGATTATGGTCTATTGGAAATTATGACAGGTCCTTACCCAATTCATAATAATCAAGAATCCCAATCAAATCCAATATAAAGGATCATTATTCTGTCCTCACTGATATAATATTTTGATGATTTTGCTCCTACTCCTGTGCCAGATTATCCTACCTGTTGGGGCTTTGGCTTGAAGGGTTAATAGTAGCTGAGTGGCAACAAACCCTGCGAGCAGGGATTCTCTGTTATCAGCAGTGCCTTGGAGTACTGAGAACCCACTTGGCTCAGGAACCAGTCCGGAGACCGCCACAGAGGCTTGATTCCAACATTCTGTTTCCAAGCATGTCACCTCGGAGCCAATTCAGCTCCAATGAGACCCCACCTACCCGACCCCATCCTCCTCCAAGGAGAATTTTAGGATCTGGATTACTAAACTGCAAATAACCAAACATACACTTTTTGTATTGATGTTGAGATGACTTTACCTGGGTACGCTCTGGGCACAACTCCTGGAAAACATAAATGATAAACACAGGATAGTTGCAATTGAAAAGGTATTTAAATAAACTGCTTTCTGAAAATGTCAGAATGGCATCAACAGTTAATGTCCTTTTAAGGCTGGATATACATTTTGTCTGCTTCTCATAAAATAAATTAAAAATAAAATAAAAATGAAGGATTCCCTAGGACAGCTGTGCTGTGGTGGCCTCTATGGTTGAGTGGCCTCATGACACTAAGTGCTGAGGTTCACAAATGAATTGGCAGCATAGTGGATAGCAATCAGCGTGAGGAGGTGGGACCAGGAGCAGAGGCAGATGCCAATGGGATGAAAATTAAATTAAAAAAGACTTTATCAACTCTATTAATCTGTTTTGGGGTTAGCCTAGTGTGTCTGACACACACAGAAACCAATCACTATGCTCAAAGGTATCCAAACCACTGACAGTTTATACACAAATGGAAATTTCCCATTGTCTGGAATGGAGTGCATACAATCTCCCCGGAAGGATGCACCCTGCCTGCTCACCTAACCCCAGAGATTTGCAACAGCCAAGGCTTAGGGTCCCTAGAGGAAGCATTGGGATAATACTGGAGTTGAATCAGCTAAGACTGCACAGCTTGCCATTGTGAACATTGTGTGGGAAGCTTCTTGATGTGTTAGGATCACCCTATTCCTTAAGAGCTTGGTCTTGCCGGGTTAAGAACTAAATGGGAAGAATCCTTGCCCTGAGTGATAGATTTCAATTGAAGATCCAATAAACTTTTCATTGAGTCTTTAATACCTGAATGTAAAACCTCTTCCCTGAGAGATGACATTACCTGGGTAAAGTCCGGGGACAAGTCCTGCAACAAAATCAAATGACACTGGACTGTTACATTTGGCAAGATACACCTTGTACTGTCATTAATAAAATAAACTTGAAATTAAAAACATATCTGGTAAAATATCTTCAGTCAGAGATGCCATTACCTGGGTAAGCTCCGAGGCGAGGCCTGAGTCCACCTGCATGATCAGCACAGGATAGTTACAATTAATGAGATACCAATAACACAACAAGGTTTCTACAAGCAAATGATAGATATTAGTTTATATTGAAATGTATCAATAGCACAAAATGTCATTTGAACCTCTATTAACATGAGGGAGAAATACTGGTGGGCATATATTTTAAGGTTTATTAACAATATGGGCAAATTTATCAAATATGTGGGCAAATTTTAAGACAGAAAATTGTGCAGCGAAATATTCATAAACAGCAAACTTTAAAGCATGTTCAATTTGTGCCTGGTACCACTATCATTGGCTCAGAAATAGATCTCTTTGAAACTCTGTACTCATTTGAAAATACTAAGTTACTCCAAGGGAGAAAAAAAAGGCTATTTCACTCACTATTTGGCGTAATCTTGCAATTTCTTGTTCAATAATAACAATAATCCTTGCATCTGACATAGAACCTTATGTTGTTGAGACGTCTCAAAGCGCTTCACAGAATATACTGTAAAGTGAATTGATTGTATATTTTGTGGGTGAAATGTGCCAGCCAATTGCGCACAGTAGTGTCGCACAAACAGTCATGGATTGAGTGACCAAATTTTCTTTTAAAAAAAGGGATTATTACTCCTCCGGAAAGCGATCTGCCAATCGACTAACAACCGGGCTCCTACTTACTGCTAGGTAAACAGAGGTCTGTCGAGTAAGTAAACTTGCCTGAGGTTTTGCCCTGTGGATAGCACTGTATTGATTATATTTTCATGTGTCTGAATTAAGTTACATTATTTAACAAGCCTGAACTCGCACCAGTTTGGAGACTATTAATTAAGGTGATGGGTTTCTGCAAGTGCAGACACTCATCTGACAAAAAAAGTTTTGAGTTTTTATCTGTAAAGTGCCCCACAAAATCCTGGCTATTCTTTCAGTTTCCTTTCTAGGCAGCTCTGTTGATGCTAATCTTGGTTTTGGACGGTTACTGTGTTGAGCAGCAGGTCCAGACGTCTCTGCCATCTCACTTGAACCTGCTGTAGCTAATTGAAACCCTAATCGCTCATCTGGTGAAGCACTTAGCTTGATTACACTGCCACTATTGTTCCCTTTGGTTGTCTAATGAAATAGTAATATCTATTGATAACTGAATTGCTGCGTATGTAAACTAAACTGAATACACTGTACCTGCTATAGCTCCGGGCTGGACACCTCCTGCATCAGCAACAGAAGAAATGAAGACATAAGTTCACCAAGCTGGTCCATTTAATGAAGGTGAAGGATTGTAAGGATCATTTGCCCTGATGTTTCCTTAACCAACTCATTTACTTAGATAAATGCTATGTTTAAAACACTTTGTCCACTTGAAACTAATTGTTTTTAGACTCAGCTGTATCTTTAACAGATACTAATATGAAACACTGATAAATGGAGTCCTGTAGCTCAGTGGTTAGAGCACTCGCTTTGCAAGTGAGAGACCTGAGTTCAATTCCAGGCAGAGGGCGAAACCTTGGGTGAGTTTCCTTACTCCACACAGAGCCTAATAATAATCCCTCCAAAACAAAACAATAATAAATTGGTCATTTTCAATCTACGACTGTTTGTGGGACATCGCTGTGCGCAATTGGCTGCCGCGTTCGCCCACAAATATACAGTCAATTCACTTTACAGTGTGTTCTGTGAAGCGCTTTGGGACGTCCTCCCGACGTGAAAAGCGCTATATCAAATGCAAGGATTATTATTATTATTAATTCCTGCTCGGACAGACACACCCAGTAGGGTTTTGTGGCACAGATACGCCTTACATACCCAGCAACAAGGCTTCACCAGTTATATCTCCTCTGACACAGTTTACCCAGGGAGACATTGCTTGCCTCCTCCCCCAAGCATGATATATTTATCCACCTCGAAAATTGTTGGGAATGAACCCACTGGGATGACCAATTTGTTTTACCTGGACTCCACAGGAGTTGCATTCAGAACAATAGTATACAGTTGACCCCACAGACGTTTCATTCTTTCTCTCTTCACACTCCATTGTACATTGACAACATTCTGAGGTTACTCCATATGCACATGAGAAATATGGATTGAGATCAAGCCACTCCTCTACAGTCTAGCTCTCTGCATCTCCAATAACAATCAATTTTTTTTATATACCATGTGCCTTGCCTTTGGTTCCCCATGTTCCTCTTACACTTATTCAATTGACTTTCATAGGCCTCACTGCATCTGTAAGTATGGTATACAATATCAGCCATGATTCTTAACCTGATTTGGGTGGTGTCTGACCAGTATTGCAGTTGAGTTTTACTCTAACCTCCTTGTTGCAGGGCACACAGATATTGTGATAAGGAAATTAGATACTTTCAAAAGGTGACAATCACAGTTAAAAGATTCAGCTCCTTAACATCCCAAATAAATTATTCTGTCCATTCTTCTGGCTACTGGATAATAATAATCCTTACATTTGATATAGCGCTTTTCCAGACGTTTCAAAGCGCTTCACAAAATATACTGTAAAGTGAATTGACTGTATATTTGTGGGCAAAACGCGGCAAAACGAAGTCTGTAAAACCTGATGAATTCTTTTCCCAACCATCTATTTGCTCAGTCTAAAAACACTATTTCACTTTTCAATTTACTTTGACAATAATAATGCATTAAGCACATGGTTAAAATACATAAAATAATATTTACCTCCATATTTAGCAGCTTTGGCTCTACTAAATAAGCCTGTAAATAATCAAAAATCAATCTGGTTATGAATCGTAGACTGACAGACTGAATACAGAATGGATCATTGTTGAAATCAATAGTATACCATTAGCTGAGAAACGCCATTTCAGAAATATTAAATTAAAGTAAATTATTCAAATGAAGTGTTCCAATTGAGACAAGTGAGTCAATATCTATTTGCTCTCTTTTTCGACTTTTGATATCCTACACATAACTGTTGGACTCTGAATACTAACAGCCACACTTATTGTTATTTAACAGCAAAAGATATGCAGAAAAAACACCCCTAGTTTTGAGGGTTCCCCAGCCTGTCGTCATCTGATGTTATCTTAGCATCAATTCACAGTAAATTCACTTTACAGTATATTCTGTGAAGCACTTTGAATTTTTCGATGAAGAAATGGAGAGGGTGGATAAAGGTAGGGCAGTTGATGTAGTTTATATGGACTTTCAAAAGGCATTTGACAAGTGCCACATGAAACATTTGTAAGAAAGATAGAAGCCCACGGTATAAAAGGGACAGTGGCAGCGGATCCAGAACTGGCTGGGAGACGGAAAGCAGAGAGTTGTGGTGAACGGCTGCTTTTCTGACTGGAGGGAAGTGTACAGTGATGTCCCCCAGGGATCAGTATTAGGACCACTGCTCTTCCTAATATACATAAATGATCTGGACTTGGGCAAGCACCATTTCCAATGTTTGCGGACGACACAAAGTTAGGTAGGAGAGTAAACAGTGAGAAGGATAGGAGCCAACTGCAGGAAGACATAGACAGAATGGTAAAATGGGCGACACATGGCAGATGAATTTCAATGTGGAGAAATGTGAGGTAATGCATTTTGGTAGAAAGAATGAGGGGCGGCAATATAGGCTGGTAATACAATCTTAAGGGGGGTAAAAGAACAGAGAGACCTGGGGGGGGCAGGTAAATGAATCCTTGAAGGTGGCAGGACAGGGAGATAAAGCTGTAAAAAGGGCAAATGGGATACTAGGCTTTATAAATAGGGGCATAGAGTACAAGAGTCAGGAGGTGATGATTAACCCATATAAACGCTGGTCAGGTCTCAGTTAGAATACTGCGCCCAGTTATGGGCACCTCACTATAGGAAGGATGTTAAGGCATTGGAAAGGGTACAGAGGAGATTTACGAGGATGGGACCAGGAATGAGGGACCCTGATTATGAGGAAAGACGAGAGAGGCCGCGATTATTCTCATTGGAGCAGAGAAGGTTCTAATAGAGGTCTTCAAAACAAGGAGACCTAATAGAGGTCTTCAAAATCATGAGGGGATTTGACAGGTTAAAAAGGGAAAAACTGTTTCCACTGGTGGGTGTGTCGGTGACTCGAGGTCACAGATTCAAAATAGTTTCTAAAAGAAGCTGAGGGGAGGAGACATTTTTTCACACAGCAAGTTGTTCGAATCTGGAACGCATTGCCTGAAAGGGCAGTCGAGGCCAATTCGATAACTACTTTTAAAAACGCGGTGGACGGGTATTTGAAAAGGACGGGTATGCAGGGTTATGGGGAAAGGGCTGGGGAGTGGGATTGACATTAATTGCTCTATTCAAAGAGACGACACAAACTCGATGGGCCGAATGGCCTCTTTTTGTGCTGTACGATTCTATGATAAGAGACATTACCTGGGTAATAACCTCCTGCGACACCTCCCGGGAAACCTGCATCAGCACAGGACAAGCACAGTTTACAAGATATACTGTATAAAACGGGGTTTCTGCCAATGATACTGGACTGTTAATAGCAGTTAATGAACCATTAGCACAAGATACATCAGTGCACTACTGTATTGATGTAATAACTTAAAAGGCCTCAACTTTATTCCATCAGTCACTTATTCTTCAGTTATAAAATCACAGAATACTTCAACACAGAAACTGGCAATAAGTCCCATTAAGTGTGGGATGATGTACCCACCACATGAACAATTTAATGATCAACAGAATGCAGATATGTAAATCAATGTCCATTGGAGGGTGTATCCAAAATTAACACATTACTGAACACCTCCTGCTATACCTGTATCATACCTGTTTAACAAATCGCATGAGGCTGTTGCTAACATTATCACTGAATACACAATCGGACACTTCAATACAATCCATGAAAGCTGGCCTCTTGTGAGTCACTCAGCTCTTGTCTTTATCTGAAAGATTGTGTGTCTAAAATAAACCAATAACAAGTTACTGTACCTGCTCCAGGCTGAACACCTCCTGCTACACCTGCATCAGCAACACAAGGAATTGAGACATCAATACACTGAATTGGTCCATTAAGTCAACTTGTAGAGTGAGAGCATTGTTTTACTGATAACTCCTTAACTGGAGCGGTAACTGGCAAAGAGATTCAACTATTTTATATGTAACTCTTACAGTCACTTCAACCGTTTGATATCTGTGATTTGGAGACAGTGTCATTAACAGAATCAGATAGAGAATAGCAACAACAGAGCTTCCGAACAGACTGCGCAGTAAACCGCACTGAGAATGGGTTACTGTACCTGTCCCAATGCCACCCGGAACTCCTCCTGGAACACCTGCTGCAGCAGCATATGAAATATAGACGTTAATACAGCAAATGGATCCGTTACACTAACAGGCGGGAGCTTGGTGATTAGTGAGTGAGGATTGATTCTGTAGCTGAAGCTGACAGTCAAAGACATGTTGGGAAACTGATTATTATCTCTCCAAATTGCTTCAAGTACACCAGAACAATGGATATTTCTGTGACCATGTTTGTTCAGTGTTGATGCACAAATGGTTATTATTATAAACAATTCTCGTCCCTCACAATCACGTTTGACATGTCCATGTGTGGTATAGTAATACTCTACACATTAGATGCCCCTTGCAATATTGTTAATTGTATACTCTGATATCCTGTAGCTCAGTGGTTAGAGCACTTGACTGGCAAGCGAGAGACCTGGGTTCAATGCCCAGTAGGGCAAATCCTTGGCCAAGTTTCCTTACTCCACACGTCTGATAATAGACCCTCAATAAAAAAAAGAAACAATAATAATTTGGTGACTTTAATCCACGAATGTTTGTGGGACACTGCTGTGCGCAATCGGCTGCTTTGCTTTCCCCACAAACATACAGTCAATTCACGTTTCAGTATATTCTGTGAAAAGCTTTGAGACGTCCAGAAAACATGAAAAGTGTTATATCAAATGAAAGTATTAATATTATTATTATTACGGCTCCTTTTTGATACTGGCCCTGACTGACACAAGATACAACAGGAGCCGACAGTCCTGTATCCAATTGATGAATGTGCCACATGTGAAGATTAGCATTTTATCAATTTTGAGGTGAGTGAATTTACATAAATGCAGAAAATATTTACACATTGAAGGTGTGAATGGGTGTATAAGGCAGCGACTGAATGTGACAACAGAAGGAGAACAATTTACCTCCATATTTAGCAGCTTTAGCTCCAGCATATTGACCTGCAATAAAAGCAGATTGTGTGAATCTGAGACGGTTTGTTATTCATATCAATAGCACCACACATTCCTGAAACAATTTGTAATTACGTACATGATTAAGATCAAATCTATAGAGAGTGTTGCCTGTTGGTTCCTATTGTGTGAATGTTTTCATTACTCGCTGGATTGTAAAACGGCTGATAACCAAACGTACACCTGCTCATTTAAACCTGGTCTAATGTAACACGTCGTCATTGAGAGATGCCATTACCTGGGTAAAGTCCTGGGACAGCTCCTGGAACACCTGCACAATCAGCACAAGAGAGTTACAATTAATATGTTATTAAACACAACATTGATTCAGCAAATAGGACAGTGAATTTACATTTAGTACAAGATACATGTTTTGACAGTTATTCAATGTAGATAGTTGCCATTAATAAGGAACAAATAATAAATAACAGAATCACGTTTCAACAAATCGCATTAGGCTGTTGCTAACATGAAATATACCATTATCACTGAATACACAACTGGACACTTCAATACAATCCATGAAAGCTGGTCTCTTGTGAGTCACTCAGCTCTAGTCTTTATCTGAAAGATTGTGTGTCTAAAATAAACCAATAACAAGTTACTGTACCTGCTCCAGGCTGAACACCTCCTGCTACACCTGCATCAGCAACACAAGGAATTGAGACATCAATACACTGAATTGGTCCATTAAATCAACTTGTAGAGTGAGAGCATTGTTTTACTGATAACTCCTTAACTGGAGCTGTAACTGGCAAAGAGATTCAACTATTTGATATGTAACTCTTACAGTCACTTCAACTGTTTGATATCTGTGATTTGGAGACAGTGTCATTAACAGAATCAGATAGAGAATAGCAACAACAGAGCTTCCGAACAGACTGCGCAGTAAACCGCACTGAGAATGGGTTACTGTACCTGTCCCAATGCCACCCGGAACTCCTCCTGGAACACCTGCTGCAGCAGCATATGAAATATAGACGTTAATACAGCAAATGGATCCGTTACACTAACAGGCGGGAGCTTGGTGATTAGTGAGTGAGGATTGATTCTGTAGCTGAAGCTGACAGTCAAAGACATGTTGGGAAACTGATTATTATCTCTCCAAATTGCTTCAAGTACACCAGAACAATGGATATTTCTGTGACCATGTTTGTTCAGTATTGATGCACAAATGGTTATTATTATAAACAATTCTCGTCCCTCACAATCACGTTTGACATGTCCATGTGTGGTATAGTAATACTCTACACATTAGATGCCCCTTGCAATATTGTTAATTGTATACTCTGATATCCTGTAGCTCAGTGGTTAGAGCACTTGACTGGCAAGCGAGAGACCTGGGTTCAATGCCCAGTAGGGCAAAACCTTGGCCAAGTTTCCTTACTCCACAAGTCTGATAATAGACCCTCAAGAAAGAAAAGAAACAATAATAATTTGGTCACTTTTATCCACGAATGTTTGTGGGACACTGCTGTGCGCAATCGGCTGCTGTGCTTTGCCCACAAACATACAGTCAATTCACGTTTCAGTATATTCTGTGAAGAGCTTTGAGACGTCCAGAAAACATGAAAAGTGTTATATCAAATGAAAGTATTAATATTATTATTATTACGGCTCCTTTTTGATACTAGCCCTGACTGACACAAGATACAACAGGAGCCGACAGTCCTGTATCCAATTGATGAATGTGCCACATGTGAAGATTAGCATTTTATCAATTTTGAGGTGAGTGAATTTACATAAATGCAGAAAATATTTACACATTGAAGGTGTGAATGGGTGTATAAGGCAGCGACTGAATGTGACAACAGAAGGAGAACAATTTACCTCCATATTTAGCAGCTTTAGCTCCAGCATATTGACCTGCAATAAAAGCAGATTGTGTGAATCTGAGACGGTTTGTTATTCATATCAATAGCACCACACATTCCTCAAACAATTTGTAATTACGTACATGATTAAGATCAAATCTATAGAGAGTGTTGCCTGTTGGTTCCTATTGTGTGAATGTTTTCATTACTCGCTGGATTGTAAAACGGCTGATAACCAAACGTACACCTGCTCATTTAAACCTGGTCTAATGTCACACGTCGTCATTGAGAGATGCCATTACCTGGGTAAAGTCCTGGGACAGCTCCTGGAACACCTGCACAATCAGCACAAGAGAGTTACAATTAATATGTTATTAAACACAACATTGATTCTGCAAATAGGACAGTGAATTTACATTTAGTACAAGATACATGTTTTGACAGTTATTCAATGTAGATAGTTGCCATTAATAAGGAACAAATAATAAATAACAGAATCACGTTTCAACAAATCGCATTAGGCTGTTGCTAACATGAAATATACCATTATCACTGAATACACAACTGGACTCTTCAATACAATCCATGAAAGCTGGCCTCTTGTGAGTCACTCAGCTCCAGTCTTTATCTGAAAGATTGTGTGTCTAAAATAAACCAATAACAAGTTACTGTACCTGCTCCAGGCTGAACACCTCCTGCTACACCTGCATCAGCAACACAAGGAATTGAGACATCAATACACTGAATTGGTCCATTAAGTCAACTTGTAGAGTGAGAGCATTGTTTTACTGATAACTCCTTAACTGGAGCTGTAACTGGCAAAGAGATTCAACTATGTTATATGTAACTCTTACAGTCACTTCAACCGTTTGATATCTGTGATTTGGAGACACAGTGTCATTAACAGAATCAGATAGAGAATAGCAACAACAGAGCTTCCGAACAGACTGCGCAGTAAACCGCACTGAGAATGGGTTACTGTACCTGTCCCAATGCCACCCGGAACTCCTCCTGGAACACCTGCTGCAGCAGCATATGAAATATAGACGTTAATACAGCAAATGGATCCGTTACACTAACAGGCGGGAGCTTGGTGATTAGTGAGTGAGGATTGATTCTGTAGCTGAAGCTGACAGTCAAAGACATGTTGGGAAACTGATTATTATCTCTCCAAATTGCTTCAAGTACACCAGAACAATGGATATTTCTGTGACCATGTTTGTTCAGTGTTGATGCACAAATGGTTATTATTATAAACAATTCTCGTCCCTCACAATCACGTTTGACATGTCCATGTGTGGTATAGTAATACTCTACACATTAGATGCCCCTTGCAATATTGTTAATTGTATACTCTGATATCCTGTAGCTCAGTGGTTAGAGCACTTGACTGGCAAGCGAGAGACCTGGGTTCAATGCCCAGTAGGGCAAAACCTTGGCCAAGTTTCCTTACTCCACACGTCTGATAATAGACCCTCAATAAAAAAAAGAAACAATAATAATTTGGTGACTTTAATCCACGAATGTTTGTGGGACACTGCTGTGCGCCATAGGCTGCTGTGCTTTGCCCACAAACATACAGTCAATTCATGTTTCAGTATATTCTGTGAAGAGCTTTGAGACGTCCAGAAAACATGAAAAGTGTTATATCAAATGAAAGTATTAATATTATTATTATTACGGCTCCTTTTTGATACTGGCCCTGACTGACACAAGATACAACAGGAGCCGACAGTCCTGTATCCAATTGATGAATGTGCCACATGTGAAGATTAGCATTTTATCAATTTTGAGGTGAGTGAATTTACATAAATGCAGAAAATATTTACACATTGAAGGTGTGAATGGGTGTATAAGGCAGCGACTGAATGTGACAACAGAAGGAGAACAATTTACCTCCATATTTAGCAGCTTTAGCTCCAGCATATTGACCTGCAATAAAAGCAGATTGTGTGAATCTGAGACGGTTTGTTATTCATATCAATAGCACCACACATTCCTCAAACAATTTGTAATTACGTACATGATTAAGATCAAATCTATAGAGAGTGTTGCCTGTTGGTTCCTATTGTGTGAATGTTTTCATTACTCGCTGGATTGTAAAACGGCTGATAACCAAACGTACACCTGCTCATTTAAACCTGGTCTAATGTCACACGTCGTCATTGAGAGATGCCATTACCTGGGTAAAGTCCTGGGACAGCTCCTGGAACACCTGCACAATCAGCACAAGAGAGTTACAATTAATATGTTATTAAACACAACATTGATTCTGCAAATAGGACAGTGAATTTACATTTAGTACAAGATACATGTTTTGACAGTTATTCAATGTAGATAGTTGCCATTAATAAGGAACAAATAATAAATAACAGAATCACGTTTCAACAAATCGCATTAGGCTGTTGCTAACATGAAATATACCATTATCACTGAATACACAATTGGACTCTTCAATACAATCCATGAAAGCTGGTCTCTTGTGAGTCACTCAGCTCTAGTCTTTATCTGAAAGATTGTGTGTCTAAAATAAACCAATAACAAGTTACTGTACCTGCTCCAGGCTGAACACCTCCTGCTACACCTGCATCAGCAACACAAGGAATTGAGACATCAATACACTGAATTGGTCCATTAAGTCAACTTGTAGAGTGAGAGCATTGTTTTACTGATAACTCCTTAACTGGAGCTGTAACTGGCAAAGAGATTCAACTATTTGATATGTAACTCTTACAGTCACTTCAACCGTTTGATATCTGTGATTTGGAGACACAGTGTCATTAACAGAATCAGATAGAGAATAGCAACAACAGAGCTTCCGAACAGACTGCGCAGTAAACCGCACTGAGAATGGGTTACTGTACCTGTCCCAATGCCACCCGGAACTCCTCCTGGAACACCTGCTGCAGCAGCATATGAAATATAGACGTTAATACAGCAAATGGATCCGTTACACTAACAGGCGGGAGCTTGGTGATTAGTGAGTGAGGATTGATTCTGTAGCTGAAGCTGACAGTCAAAGACATGTTGGGAAACTGATTATTATCTCTCCAAATTGCTTCAAGTACACCAGAACAATGGATATTTCTGTGACCATGTTTGTTCAGTGTTGATGCACAAATGGTTATTATTATAAACAATTCTCGTCCCTCACAATCACGTTTGACATGTCCATGTGTGGTATAGTAATACTCTACACATTAGATGCCCCTTGCAATATTGTTAATTGTATACTCTGATATCCTGTAGCTCAGTGGTTAGAGCACTTGACTGGCAAGCGAGAGACCTGGGTTCAATGCCCAGTAGGGCAAAACCTTGGCCAAGTTTCCTTACTCCACACGTCTGATAATAGACCCTCAAGAAAGAAAAGAAACAATAATAATTTGGTGACTTTAATCCACGAATGTTTGTGGGACACTGCTGTGCGCAATCGGCTGCTGTGCTTTGCCCACAAACATACAGTCAATTCATGTTTCAGTATATTCTGTGAAGAGCTTTGAGACGTCCAGAAAACATGAAAAGTGTTATATCAAATGAAAGTATTAATATTATTATTATTACGGCTCCTTTTTGATACTGGCCCTGACTGACACAAGATACAACAGGAGCCGACAGTCCTGTATCCAATTGATGAATGTGCCACATGTGAAGATTAGCATTTTATCAATTTTGAGGTGAGTGAATTTACATAAATGCAGAAAATATTTACACATTGAAGGTGTGAATGGGTGTATAAGGCAGCGACTGAATGTGACAACAGAAGGAGAACAATTTACCTCCATATTTAGCAGCTTTAGCTCCAGCATATTGACCTGCAATAAAAGCAGATTGTGTGAATCTGAGACGGTTTGTTATTCATATCAATAGCACCACACATTCCTGAAACAATTTGTAATTACGTACATGATTAAGATCAAATCTATAGAGAGTGTTGCCTGTTGGTTCCTATTGTGTGAATGTTTTCATTACTCGCTGGATTGTAAAACGGCTGATAACCAAACGTACACCTGCTCATTTAAACCTGGTCTAATGTCACACGTCGTCATTGAGAGATGCCATTACCTGGGTAAAGTCCTGGGACAGCTCCTGGAACACCTGCACAATCAGCACAAGAGAGTTACAATTAATATGTTATTAAACACAACATTGATTCTGCAAATAGGACAGTGAATTTACATTTAGTACAAGATACATGTTTTGACAGTTATTCAATGTAGATAGTTGCCATTAATAAGGAACAAATAATAAATAACAGAATCACGTTTCAACAAATCGCATTAGGCTGTTGCTAACATGAAATATACCATTATCACTGAATACACAATTGGACACTTCAATACAATCCATGAAAGCTGGTCTCTTGTGAGTCACTCAGCTCTAGTCTTTATCTGAAAGATTGTGTGTCTAAAATAAACCAATAACAAGTTACTGTACCTGCTCCAGGCTGAACACCTCCTGCTACACCTGCATCAGCAACACAAGGAATTGAGACATCAATACACTGAATTGGTCCATTAAATCAACTTGTAGAGTGAGAGCATTGTTTTACTGATAACTCCTTAACTGGAGCTGTAACTGGCAAAGAGATTCAACTATTTGATATGTAACTCTTACAGTCACTTCAACCGTTTGATATCTGTGATTTGGAGACACAGTGTCATTAACAGAATCAGATAGAGAATAGCAACAACAGAGCTTCCGAACAGACTGCGCAGTAAACCGCACTGAGAATGGGTTACTGTACCTGTCCCAATGCCACCCGGAACTCCTCCTGGAACACCTGCTGCAGCAGCATATGAAATATAGACGTTAATACAGCAAATGGATCCGTTACACTAACAGGCGGGAGCTTGGTGATTAGTGAGTGAGGATTGATTCTGTAGCTGAAGCTGACAGTCAAAGACATGTTGGGAAACTGATTATTATCTCTCCAAATTGCTTCAAGTACACCAGAACAATGGATATTTCTGTGACCATGTTTGTTCAGTGTTGATGCACAAATGGTTATTATTATAAACAATTCTCGTCCCTCACAATCACGTTTGACATGTCCATGTGTGGTATAGTAATACTCTACACATTAGATGCCCCTTGCAATATTGTTAATTGTATACTCTGATATCCTGTAGCTCAGTGGTTAGAGCACTTGACTGGCAAGCGAGAGACCTGGGTTCAATGCCCAGTAGGGCAAAACCTTGGCCAAGTTTCCTTACTCCACACGTCTGATAATAGACCCTCAAGAAAGAAAAGAAACAATAATAATTTGGTGACTTTAATCCACGAATGTTTGTGGGACACTGCTGTGCGCAATCGGCTGCTGTGCTTTGCCCACAAACATACAGTCAATTCATGTTTCAGTATATTCTGTGAAGAGCTTTGAGACGTCCAGAAAACATGAAAAGTGTTATATCAAATGAAAGTATTAATATTATTATTATTACGGCTCCTTTTTGATACTAGCCCTGACTGACACAAGATACAACAGGAGCCGACAGTCCTGTATCCAATTGATGAATGTGCCACATGTGAAGATTAGCATTTTATCAATTTTGAGGTGAGTGAATTTACATAAATGCAGAAAATATTTACACATTGAAGGTGTGAATGGGTGTATAAGGCAGCGACTGAATGTGACAACAGAAGGAGAACAATTTACCTCCATATTTAGCAGCTTTAGCTCCAGCATATTGACCTGCAATAAAAGCAGATTGTGTGAATCTGAGACGGTTTGTTATTCATATCAATAGCACCACACATTCCTGAAACAATTTGTAATTACGTACATGATTAAGATCAAATCTATAGAGAGTGTTGCCTGTTGGTTCCTATTGTGTGAATGTTTTCATTACTCGCTGGATTGTAAAACGGCTGATAACCAAACGTACACCTGCTCATTTAAACCTGGTCTAATGTCACACGTCGTCATTGAGAGATGCCATTACCTGGGTAAAGTCCTGGGACAGCTCCTGGAACACCTGCACAATCAGCACAAGAGAGTTACAATTAATATGTTATTAAACACAACATTGATTCTGCAAATAGGACAGTGAATTTACATTTAGTACAAGATACATGTTTTGACAGTTATTCAATGTAGATAGTTGCCATTAATAAGGAACAAATAATAAATAACAGAATCACGTTTCAACAAATCGCATTAGGCTGTTGCTAACATGAAATATACCATTATCACTGAATACACAATTGGACTCTTCAATACAATCCATGAAAGCTGGTCTCTTGTGAGTCACTCAGCTCTAGTCTTTATCTGAAAGATTGTGTGTCTAAAATAAACCAATAACAAGTTACTGTACCTGCTCCAGGCTGAACACCTCCTGCTACACCTGCATCAGCAACACAAGGAATTGAGACATCAATACACTGAATTGGTCCATTAAGTCAACTTGTAGAGTGAGAGCATTGTTTTACTGATAACTCCTTAACTGGAGCTGTAACTGGCAAAGAGATTCAACTATGTTATATGTAACTCTTACAGTCACTTCAACCGTTTGATATCTGTGATTTGGAGACACAGTGTCATTAACAGAATCAGATAGAGAATAGCAACAACAGAGCTTCCGAACAGACTGCGCAGTAAACCGCACTGAGAATGGGTTACTGTACCTGTCCCAATGCCACCCGGAACTCCTCCTGGAACACCTGCTGCAGCAGCATATGAAATATAGACGTTAATACAGCAAATGGATCCGTTACACTAACAGGCGGGAGCTTGGTGATTAGTGAGTGAGGATTGATTCTGTAGCTGAAGCTGACAGTCAAAGACATGTTGGGAAACTGATTATTATCTCTCCAAATTGCTTCAAGTACACCAGAACAATGGATATTTCTGTGACCATGTTTGTTCAGTATTGATGCACAAATGGTTATTATTATAAACAATTCTCGTCCCTCACAATCACGTTTGACATGTCCATGTGTGGTATAGTAATACTCTACACATTAGATGCCCCTTGCAATATTGTTAATTGTATACTCTGATATCCTGTAGCTCAGTGGTTAGAGCACTTGACTGGCAAGCGAGAGACCTGGGTTCAATACCCAGTAGGGCAAATCCTTGGCCAAGTTTCCTTACTCCACACGTCTGATAATAGTCCCTCAGGAAAGAAAAGAAACAATAATAATTTGGTGACTTTAATCCACGAATGTTTGTGGGACACTGCTGTGCGCAATCGGCTGCTGTGCTTTGCCCACAAACATACAGTCAATTCATGTTTCAGTATATTCTGTGAAGAGCTTTGAGACGTCCAGAAAACATGAAAAGTGTTATATCAAATGAAAGTATTAATATTATTATTATTACGGCTCCTTTTTGATACTAGCCCTGACTGACACAAGATACAACAGGAGCCGACAGTCCTGTATCCAATTGATGAATGTGCCACATGTGAAGATTAGCATTTTATCAATTTTGAGGTGAGTGAATTTACATAAATGCAGAAAATATTTACACATTGAAGGTGTGAATGGGTGTATAAGGCAGCGACTGAATGTGACAACAGAAGGAGAACAATTTACCTCCATATTTAGCAGCTTTAGCTCCAGCATATTGACCTGCAATAAAAGCAGATTGTGTGAATCTGAGACGGTTTGTTATTCATATCAATAGCACCACACATTCCTGAAACAATTTGTAATTACGTACATGATTAAGATCAAATCTATAGAGAGTGTTGCCTGTTGGTTCCTATTGTGTGAATGTTTTCATTACTCGCTGGATTGTAAAACGGCTGATAACCAAACGTACACCTGCTCATTTAAACCTGGTCTAATGTCACACGTCGTCATTGAGAGATGCCATTACCTGGGTAAAGTCCTGGGACAGCTCCTGGAACACCTGCACAATCAGCACAAGAGAGTTACAATTAATATGTTATTAAACACAACATTGATTCTGCAAATAGGACAGTGAATTTACATTTAGTACAAGATACATGTTTTGACAGTTATTCAATGTAGATAGTTGCCATTAATAAGGAACAAATAATAAATAACAGAATCACGTTTCAACAAATCGCATTAGGCTGTTGCTAACATGAAATATACCATTATCACTGAATACACAATTGGACTCAATACAATCCATGAAAGCTGGTCTCTTGTGAGTCACTCAGCTCTAGTCTTTATCTGAAAGATTGTGTGTCTAACATAAACCAATAACAAGTTACTGTACCTGCTCCAGGCTGAACACCTCCTGCTACACCTGCATCAGCAACACAAGGAATTGAGACATCAATACACTGAATTGGTCCATTAAATCAACTTGTAGAGTGAGAGCATTGTTTTACTGATAACTCCTTAACTGGAGCTGTAACTGGCAAAGAGATTCAACTATGTTATATGTAACTCTTACAGTCACTTCAACCGTTTGATATCTGTGATTTGGAGACACAGTGTCATTAACAGAATCAGATAGAGAATAGCAACAACAGAGCTTCCGAACAGACTGCGCAGTAAACCGCACTGAGAATGGGTTACTGTACCTGTCCCAATGCCACCCGGAACTCCTCCTGGAACACCTGCTGCAGCAGCATATGAAATATAGACGTTAATACAGCAAATGGATCCTTTACACTAACAGGCGGGAGCTTGGTGATTAGTGAGTGAGGATTGATTCTGTAGCTGAAGCTGACAGTCAAAGACATGTTGGGAAACTGATTATTATCTCTCCAAATTGCTTCAAGTACACCAGAACAATGGATATTTCTGTGACCATGTTTGTTCAGTATTGATGCACAAATGGTTATTATTATAAACAATTCTCGTCCCTCACAATCACGTTTGACATGTCCATGTGTGGTATAGTAATACTCTACACATTAGATGCCCCTTGCAATATTGTTAATTGTATACTCTGATATCCTGTAGCTCAGTGGTTAGAGCACTTGACTGGCAAGCGAGAGACCTGGGTTCAATGCCCAGTAGGGCAAAACCTTGGCCAAGTTTCCTTACTCCACACGTCTGATAATAGACCCTCAAGAAAGAAAAGAAACAATAATAATTTGGTGACTTTAATCCACGAATGTTTGTGGGACACTGCTGTGCGCAATCGGCTGCTGTGCTTTGCCCACAAACATACAGTCAATTCATGTTTCAGTATATTCTGTGAAGAGCTTTGAGACGTCCAGAAAACATGAAAAGTGTTATATCAAATGAAAGTATTAATATTATTATTATTACGGCTCCTTTTTGATACTAGCCCTGACTGACACAAGATACAACAGGAGCCGACAGTCCTGTATCCAATTGATGAATGTGCCACATGTGAAGATTAGCATTTTATCAATTTTGAGGTGAGTGAATTTACATAAATGCAGAAAATATTTACACATTGAAGGTGTGAATGGGTGTATAAGGCAGCGACTGAATGTGACAACAGAAGGAGAACAATTTACCTCCATATTTAGCAGCTTTAGCTCCAGCATATTGACCTGCAATAAAAGCAGATTGTGTGAATCTGAGACGGTTTGTTATTCATATCAATAGCACCACACATTCCTGAAACAATTTGTAATTACGTACATTATTAAGATCAAATCTATAGAGAGTGTTGCCTGTTGGTTCCTATTGTGTGAATGTTTTCATTACTCGCTGGATTGTAAAACGGCTGATAACCAAACGTACACCTGCTCATTTAAACCTGGTCTAATGTAACACGTCGTCATTGAGAGATGCCATTACCTGGGTAAAGTCCTGGGACAGCTCCTGGAACACCTGCACAATCAGCACAAGAGAGTTACAATTAATATGTTATTAAACACAACATTGATTCAGCAAATAGGACAGTGAATTTACATTTAGTACAAGATACATGTTTTGACAGTTATTCAATGTAGATAGTTGCCATTAATAAGGAACAAATAATAAATAACAGAATCACGTTTCAACAAATCGCATTAGGCTGTTGCTAACATGAAATATACCATTATCACTGAATACACAACTGGACTCTTCAATACAATCCATGAAAGCTGGCCTCTTGTGAGTCACTCAGCTCTAGTCTTTATCTGAAAGATTGTGTGTCTAAAATAAACCAATAACAAGTTACTGTACCTGCTCCAGGCTGAACACCTCCTGCTACACCTGCATCAGCAACACAAGGAATTGAGACATCAATACACTGAATTGGTCCATTAAATCACCATGTAAGACTGAGAGCATCAAGTATAAATATTGAATAGTTTCAGATGTTAATGCCATTCATAAATATTTGTGAAAAGTTGCATCAAAGTTATGCTTTGATTCTTTTCTGGATCTTGAGTATCTGAAGGAAATTTCAAAAGGAAATCCTTCTACACTTGGAACATTTTCTTTCTCCTGTTAGTTGCTTACACAGATTCCTGAAACAAAACTATGTTGACACAACATTATACTATTTGTTGTATGTTGTATTGTTTAGACAAGTTAAAGCTTAACTAACAGGATGATTTGGTCAACCACGAGAGGCAGGAATTCTTGATCATCAGAGACTCATGTTTGTTTATCAGCTCTGTGAGCTTGTATGAATTATAAAGAAAGAACTTAGAGCACTCATAACATCCCAAAGTATTTTATCATAATTATTGTCAAATGAAGTGATTGTTTTTTTGAAGGCAAGCACAGCAGCCAATTTCCAGACTGCAATGCTCCACGAACAGCCATGAGGTGAGTGAACAATTAGTCTGAAGGATTATTGTTTAGCACAACGGAAGAAATTTCATTCTCTTTTCAAGTTATGTCCTGGAATCTTTAATTCCACCATTTAGACAGGACCTTAGATTTACGTCTCATACAATGATCCAGTAATCCAGTTCTAACCCAGTGTGGCACTTGAGTGCCAGCCTCGTAGACAATAAGACCATGTTTCCTCTGGCGCCCTGACTGACATTCCTCAAGATTCATTCACATTATGGTGGGACACATGGAGATTAACATCCTCTCACTTTTGAGGTCAGTACATTTTTGTGGTATTGTAGAATGAATTACCTCTGTATTGAGCAGCTTTAGCTCCAGCATATAAACCTGCAATAACAGAGGATCAATGTGAAAGAGAAGAGACTGTCTTAATAAGATAGCACATTGGTGAAAATTGTATGGTGTTAATTAATGCTTTCCTGGTGCTAATTAAGATGAGGGAGATGCTAAGGAATATCTACACACACATGTGCACACACACACACACAAGTGCGCGCACACAGGAAGAGAACACACTAACACAATAAATTATATCATATCTACATAGGGGCCAGTCCCAATTAGTGCACTTCTGTGGTTCTCCAATACCAATGCGGCACACCATTCCTGAGAAACATCATTTTTGAAATATTTCTTAATTTTATTTAAATCAAATCTCTAGAAAATTTTGGCAGACGGTTTTTAATGTGTGAATGGATTCCATTACAATCTGCATTGTAAAACTCATTACTAAGCATACACCTTCTCATTTAAACCTCCTAAACCAATGTAGAACGTCTTCACTGAGAGACACCATTGCCTGGATAAGCTCCCGGGACACATGCACAATCAGCACAGGATAATTACAATTAATAGGATATTAAAACAAGGGGGGGAGGGTTGGGATCAGCGAGGGTGGAGGGCATAGGGGGTAGTTGGATGGGCGAAGGCATGGTCGAACAGGAGGGTCTTGAGGCATGCCTTGAAGGAGGGAGGCAAAGGGAATCTGGGATGGAGTTCCAGAGGGTGGGGGCAGAGAGGCTGAAGGTCCAACTGCCAATGGATAAATGCTATGGCCAGTTCATAAAATGTCACATCTGAAGATGCCATTACCTTGGTAAGGTCCTGGAACAGCTCCTGGAAAACCTGAAAATCAGCACAGGATAGTTACAATTATTAAATAAAACTGTGATTCTGCAAATATAACAGTGGATTTATGCTTAGAGCAATATACATGCTTTGACAGTTATTAAATGTAGATAGTTGCCATTAATAAGAAACACATAATAGAATAATGTTTGAACAAATTACAGAAGGCTGTTGATAACTAACATAATATTTATTATATTCATACAAGTTAGCGGCCATGTTTGCAAACTTAAGTCAATATATATCAACAAAATAAATATATTATTATAATATTTATTTTCCAGAGGTCCACAACCTTTTCACTGCCTCTGTCCACACCTGTTGTTTCTCAAAGTCTCCTTGAATGTTGTGATTTTGCCTCAGATTTCACAAGGAATTTTAATGACACATTATCCATATTGAACTCTTACAGTCATGACTGTGAGACTGACAATAATTAAGGTGACTCTTTTTCATTAAAACACCCTTCAACAAAACTCTTCATAAGAGCAAATTACCGGGTAAGCTCTCAGGACAGCTCCTGCAACAAAATCAAATGACACTGGACTCTGACACTTGACAAGATACACCTTATACTGTCATTAATAAAATAGGCTTGAAATTAAGGATTCGCCTTAATTACATCGCCTAAAATATCTTCAATGAGACATTATAACATTACCTGGGTAAGCTCCAGGGACAGGCCTGACACCACCTGCAGGATCAGCACAGGATAGAAAAATAATTAACAAGATATTCAAACAACTGGGTCTGCACGATGGTATTGGACTGTTTCAGACAGGGAATGTGCTCTAAGCACGAGATTAGACTGTTTTTAATTTAACATCCTAAATGGAATGTGCATCTGGTGAGCTTCATTCCACTGTCACTCCTGTTCTCATTGGTTGTCTAAGCACCAGACAATGGCATTCAATAATTGTGAAATGGTGATATCTGATCAATGTAAAATAATACCATTATAGTAATTATATAATATTCCCAATTAAATTACTGTACCTGCAACACCTCCAGGCTGAACTCCTCCAGGAACACCTCAGATAGAAGCACAAGAATGGGAGAGTGACCAAGATAGTCCATTAATTATGGCGAAAATGGCTCAGTTGGTAGCACCCTCATCTGTAACTTAGAGGGTTAATGCTTTATATCAGGACTGAGAGATTGATGTTAAAAGTTTCCATGCCATTATTTCTCTGGTACCATTCATCTACAATCTTAAGCTTTGCATTATTGACATCCATTTGAAAAGAATCCTGAAAGGTTGGTGGAAGCCGATTCAATAACAACTTTTAAGAGAGAAGTAGATAATTATTTGGGAAAGGACAAGTCTGCAGGGTTATGGGGAGAGAGCGGGATTGATTTGGACAGCTCTTTTAAAAGAGCCAGCACAAACACGATGGGTCGAATGGCCTCCTTCTGTGCTGTATGATTCTATGATTTGCTTCCAGCTCCCTGATTGGGTTACATATCCTTGGCACCCACTTTCATGTTCATCTTCTCTCCCTTCATATCTATACATGTGGATTCTCCATGGATAATATCACACATATAGCAGAATTTATCATTCTTGCAAACTGTGTGCTTGGTTACATTTGCCTATTAAAATACCTACTTGATAGCCAATTGGTCCTTCATAAAGTACATTGTTCCAGTGAGGCTTTCCCTACACTCTCTACAGCACAAACTCCAGCACTTCAAAAGGTAGTTGAACAGTCATTGATATCAATAACATTATAAATGAGCTCCGAGTTGGTGGCAATGTATAATTTAATTTGTAAATTTTAAAGCTAACTATTTTCTTCAGTAAGAGAACACGCTCATTTTAAAAAGCGTTAGAATAAGACTTACCTCCATATTTAGCAGCTTTAGCTCCAGCATATCCACCTGGAATGAAAAAACAAACCTTGCTGTAAATAGAGTAGAGCTGAACTAAAAGTCAAGTTTCCCAAGTCTCTAAAGTCTTTTCCTGGGAGTTGTGCTGAAGGAGCGGTTCTGGTTTAATGCTCTCAAAGACATTTTCTTACAAGAAAAAAGGTGTTATATAAGTGGAGATTGCTGTTTACAAACTAATTAGAAATCTTCAGGATTGAATTAACTGCTTGTGAAAGCAGCCAATGTCCCAATGAAGCATCTCCAAAAAAGAATCCCTCCAAAAAACCAAAAAACAATAATTAAATTGGTCATTTTCAATCTACGACTGTTTGTGGGACATTGCTGTGCGCAATTGGCTGCCGCGTTCGCCCACAAATATACAGTCAATTGACTTTACAGTGTGTTCTGTGAAGCGCTTTGGGACGTCCTCCTGACGTGAAAAGCGCTATATCAAATGCAAGGATTATTATTATTATTATTATTATCTACCTGCCAGTTCTGTAGATGTGAATTTGCTCAAAATGTATTGACCACTTGCTTGTCCTGGGGTCGGGGGGGGGGGGGGGGGAGGAACATGTACTATATTGTGAAGATGCACAATATATAAGAGAGCATGCAAACAATAGAAAATAAAATAGATTGCTTACCCCCTGGATAGGCAGGTCTCGCTCCTGGACCAAATGCTAGGAAAACAAGACAGTTAGAAATTAGCAAGTGAATAGATTTAACAATGAGATCTTTCCCATTCAGGTCAAACAATTAATAATAGTTTTTATTCAGTTATTAAAAAAACCACGAAATCAGTCTACTCAGCAGGACATAAAATAAATTATAAAAGCTGCAAATCCATAGCAGTTCAACAGAAAAGCTGAGGTAATGTTTTTGACACAGCCCTTCATCAATGGTTTAAACACTAAAGCACTCAAAGTACTCTACCAGCACTACACGCGAGTGCAAGCCTAGACTATGAGCTCAAAGTCCCACAAGGGGCTTGATCTCACAGCCTTGGGAAGTCCTCCCAGTGTGAAAGGCTTTATATAAATGTAAAGTATCATAGGCAAGCACGTTACCAATTCTACTTTTAAAATGAGGATTATATCCCGGGATCAGCTTGAAGACTAACTTTCCAAATAAAAACATTTTTGTGGAGGAGAAGGCAGAGGCATTTCAGTAATCTACCACTTTTGATGACATTGAAGGTCTTTGAGAGACTGCAGCATAGTCAACCTTGCACAAGTTCTCTGAATAACCAGGAGATACAATTTCAGTATCATGTCTTGCATTGAAAGATACAAATATATTACAATGTCAGACTGATTGTACTTTTTAAAATGTTTTCTTATTTCAATATTAAAATCAGTATCAAGAAAACATACACCCACCAGAGCTGTAGGGAATCCCATAACCACCTGTAAAAATATATTAAAAAACGAATATCAGATACAGTTTAATAGTAAAATTCAGACTGGATTAGATTAGACCCAGCAGTATGCCTGAAAATCAGTTATAAAATGCAGCATGCAGAGTTGAAAGTTGAAAAACCAGTGAAGGTTTCAGTTCACAGTGAGACCTGATGAACACAACTCATTAAAACATCCATTACTGTTTTAGGTCAGTCTGAGCTGGGTTTAATCTAACTGCAATGATGCATAGTTATCCAGGCTCTAGGCAGTTAACGTTGTTGAATTTGTGCTAGTGCCTAGCTCTTTATAGCAATTTTCATATCTTGTACATCATTGCTTACTGATTTTCCAGTCTGGAACGTTAGTAAAATAATTCACAACGCCATTTCCAAAGCAGTTTTGCATCTAAGACCAGAATTAATTGCATAACTAACAGTCATTTCCTTAAACTATATTAGGAAACACTAGCCCAAATGTATGTTCTGAGTTGTCCATAACCTGTGATAGTCTAAAGCAATGAGTAACATCCTAATGTTATTAGAGTCCAATCCTGGTTGTAGACTTAAGACTGTTTCAGCAAAATCCAGATAGAATTATGAATGTTAATGGGCAATTATTAATATTAATTATGACTTTATATAAAACAGGATCACATACTTTACCCATGTGGGAATTATATTTCCCACACCAACCCATCTTCAGCCTCAGCTCACATCATTGCTGCCAAGATTTTATTTCTCACTGCAGGCAAATCACGAACCTTAAAATACTGTGATTTACTTTAACCACAACTGCTCAAAATGCCCATTTTCATTAACTTGCCAAACAATGCCAAGTGGAGGAAGATTTGTGTGCCAATTGAATGTTGCTGATTAGAATCTTGCAGATTACAGTCTATTCTGTGAAGCGCTTTAAGATGTTGAGAAGACGAGAAAAGCGCTATAGCAAATCCAAGGATTATTATTCTCACTATCTACATTGTCATTTTATGTAGATTTGTACAATTTACATTTCACTTAGTTTTTTTAAAAAAACATTTGTGACAAAATAGCTTCATTTGTCATTGCTAAGCTACAGCTGTTGTCAATGTCATTATTCAGTGACTTTTACAATAAAAACAGTTTCAACCACTTAATTGGCAGTGCTCTTCATACAGTAATGCTGGGAGATCCTAATATACAAGAAGTTTGACTTGACCTGAGTGTTAAGGGGTTTAACTTGAAGCACAGTTAACCCAATTTCAGAGAGGCAAAGGGACGTGGAGGTGTTTCCACATTTCTTTCACTCTGGAAAAAGTCCTTCCAAATTCCTTTGAGGCAGCATCACCGTGTGAGTTATGAACTCTTCATCCTTTGCAGTACTAAATTTGTACAAGTAACAAATGCCTTATCCTTCCAAACTTGCCTGTGTGTTTGCCATGCATTAGAAACGGACAATTCCTACTTGTGAAAGAAATGCAGTAACATCCCATCACCGGCAGCTTTGGAAACAAGCCAATACAGTCCTCACTGAATTATAGAAGCTTTAATCAAAATGTGCAGCCATTGAGAAGCTGTTGACATACCAGGCAGTATTCTACGCTGGAACCCTTGCCCCAGGTAACCAGAGTGGGGATAATAGCTATAAACTAAGGTAAGAAAAGTTTTGAGTTTGTGTTAAGCATTTAAGATACTTTTCTTAAGAATCAGGGAAAGCCTGTTTTGAACAAAAAATTACCTACCAGCACTGTCCTCTTCATTCTATGAATGAGAATCACTATTACCTACCTTTAAGGACGTCAACATTCTTCAGACAAAAGGCATCCTCCTCACTGCTGGGTTCCAGCACTTATAAAATACAGCCCTAATTATCTGGATCTCCATCCCAGAGTCCCTCTGACTCGCTTCCACCCTCATCTCATTCAAGGTCCATCTCAAGACCTACCCTCAGCCACTCTCCTACCCTCCTTTACCTCCGTCCTCCCTGATCTCAATCCTCCAGCTCGGGTCCAAATCCCTGACTGTCCAGTGCCTTGGGACATCCTTCCTGTGTGAAAGGCGCTGTACAAATGTAATTTTGTATTGTATCACTTTGATCAAACTTTCAGTTATCTTTCACGTCCCTCCTCGGTTTCCACCTCAGCTTGGGTGCCATTACTGCTTAGCGCCTTTGGAGTGTCCTCCCAACATGAAAGACACTTATAAATGTAAATTTATATTGTACAATAGATAACTTTGCTAACTTTAATTTAAACAAATTGCAATAACAATGCTGCACCTCTGCAGAGCAAATGAGAGTATGAGAGGTTTCCATAAGAAACTTAAAACAATTTAAATGTTTAAATGCAAACAGTGAGATCACTCACACAATGTAATACACCGACTGAAAGTGATGATAGGAAACACAGACATTACACAAACGATCACCGTCACACGGGACGGCAGCACTCAGAAAGCATTTAACTAATCTATTTTCCCGTTAACTAAAAGCATTGTTGAAATTAAACAGAGTGTAGACATGTCTGGATTTTTAAAAAATAATTCATAGATTAGGACAAGGCATATTTTACTGAAGCCCAGTCTTCACACCTCCGACTCTCAACAACACATGTGATTATTATATAAAGAACAAAATCCACTGTTCTTACCTGGTAGTTTAGGAGAGAACACTGGATAACCAACGGGTACTCCTACTCCAAAGCCACCATAACCTTTCAGAAAGAGGACCAAAGTCTTATATTAACTTAAGTATCACACCTACTCTGCATATTGTACAGCGGAGATTTTAGCTGGAACAATATACCCAATATCCCAATCCTCCTTTGTAGACTGTGGAGAAGGACAATGGTAGGACACTATGTGACCTTTACCCATTTGCTCACATTTTGGGTCTCTTTGGTAACTAAGAATGCTCATAGAATACAATGCTGACTATTTACCAGCTGATCAACTGAGGGCGATTCAAGATACTATCTGTAATCTCTAAACCAAAAGAATTGCATTTGTTGACTCTTAGGAATGGCAGTGAACCAAAATTCCAGTCATGAATTTCTTTTTTAAATGTGTGAATGATTTATCAGGATTAATTCATGTAACAGGTACTTCACTGGTAGAATTCTAGCTTCATGGAATAATAAAATAAAACATCAGGTGGATTATTTTAGTCTCTTTCTGACAGGAAGTCAAAACACTATTCTATACAAACCATTACAAAGAACAGTAACAGAAATATTGTGGCTAACAAGCTTTAATATTTGGCTTGACTGAGAAATGTTTTTACCTGCTGGGTATCCGTACTGGCCACCAACACCTGAAACACCAACCACAATTAATTAGGAAATGCAATGACGAACCAAAAGATTTTATACAAGAAACAATGTACATATCAGTCCCCAGAATAGGTAGTGAATAAAAAAAAACTTGAACAGCATGACATCGGGAATGAAATCCATCAAGCTAACTCCCGAATAATGCACAAGTGCCTCATCATAGGCCCCTTCCCCACTTCCTCAGTCAACCTTCTACAAGCTTAGGTTTAAGGTAACCCAGAAGGATGATGAATTATTTTCATTGAACCACTTCCTCAACCATGACACCACTCTGAACACTTATGTCTTCCCAACCATGGAGTGAATTCATTACAAACCATGGACAAGATGTATACATCTGCATTTCTGTGATAAAATTCAATGTACCTTCTACATTGCACAGAAGGCAATGTCAGCAGCGACATGACAATTTGGAAATCGGACAGGCTTTAGCTTGGGAAACTAGCTAGTCAGTACCAGAAGCTAATGTACTGCACTTCTGGTTCTTGCAGGACTGTAGGACATGATGGGGGGATGGGCTTGTAATACAGGCTGCCCTGTATTACTGGTACAATTAGAAATCTTGAAGAGCTGCTAACAAATAAATATCAGCCCATTGATTTCACGGTAATCTTCCCTGTGATATTGCAAAGAATATTATATCACTGTATTCCTCCTGTTGTAGAGCAATGTCATATTAGACTACAATGACTTGTATTAAAAAGGACATAATAATCAATATAATATTTGCACCTGCTTTAGGTTTCAAACCAGTTCCAGTTGGGACACCAGGAAGAACACCAAGCCCAAGACTCCTCCCTGGATACACAAATCAGAGGAGCAAAGACTTTAGAAGCATTTCAAAGGAACGGCCTTTAGCTTTTTATAGTCTTAAGAGATATACTTTATCAGAAACAGAACTAGTGTCCCTGTACACAGGCATTCCAGTGGCATTCATCTGTCCATCTGGGATACTGATGTACAAAACATAGCTTGCATCTATCTTAATTCAAAGTAACTAACAGCAATCCAAAGTAGAATGCTACATTCCCATTAGAAAGTGAGAGAGATAGAGAGATAAAAGCTCCCAAACATCAAGGAGCAAACATGAAAGGTGCACTGCGATCTTGCATTACCTAATGGGAATGAATCTATAAGAAGTGAAATTAAAGAGAGGTGAACTCAAGAAGCCTTAGTACTTTGAACTTTATGACATTCCTGAGAGAAACAGAGGTAGAGCAAGGAATCTCAGGCTAAAAACTAATGGGTTTCCTATCCTCAGTATTGTCAGAAAGAGTTTGATATAATGACTGCAGAACCGGTAAACCTAAACAACACATGAATCAATAATGCAGTGACTGGCTGCCGTATGAACAACTGAACCCAACGCATGGATCAGTAATCACTGCAATAACTAGCTAAAGTATGAAGAACATACACACCACCATTTATGAGCAATGATTGAAATGATACTGCAGCATCAATATCTGAGAATGTATTTTCAGCAATCAGGATTATAGATTACACCAGCAGTCCCGGTAGCCATGCTGAACATACTACAATTCAGTCTGATGACAGATCACAGTAGTTGGAGCCAGCGATACTGTCCACATTAGCATTTACTAATACACCCGCATGCACATACCTGGATAAACACCAGGAACACCTGCGCGTGGAACCCCAGCACCTGGAATGCCACCAACACCTGTGACAACACAGTCAGCGTTACAAGGACATATTATAAATAGAACATAATCACCCATGATATCAATAACTGGAGGCTGCATTAAGCAGGGACAACCCCAGTGCCACCAATCATTGGAACACCTGGCTCAATATCATTAACAATTCAACTATTACCATTCACTATTATTAACTGGCTGCAAGATTAGTATTTGGTATAATATTATACATGTATAATAACAACAATAATAATAATCCTTGCATTTGATATAGTGCCTTACAATGTCAAGACCAGCTGGTTTAATTAATGAGTGTTGTAATATCTAGGGAGGTATGAGTTGGAACAATTCAAAGAAAGTACAGTATTACAGTCTTTCCCCGACTTCATAGGGTTTCCTCACGTCAATATATGTTATATCTGTATGTACCTCTCAATAATAATACTTGTATTTGATATAGCGGTTTTCACATCTTTGAGACGTCCCAAAGTGCTTCACAGGATATACTGTAAAGTGGATTGACTGTATATTTGTGGCCTCAATATGGGATCGAGAACACAATCTCAATGTTTATGCGATTCATAATACAAGATCCAAACTCACTTTCAGTCTCTTTTCTGAACCTAACTTTGTTTGACTACCCTACAGCGGTAGTGCAGACTACCCTAAATATCCCAACAGTGGATATTTATTGTTAATATTCTGTGTTTCGCCAGTTAAATGTTCGCACCTGCACGTTTAGCTGCTTTAGCTGCTTTGGCTGCAGCTTGTAATCCTGCTGCACCTACACAAAAGCAAAGATCAGTAATTATTAATCACACATCCCACATATTCTGCCCACCCATAGGCTTGCAAGTTCCTCAAAATTGCTGGCGGAAGACTGAATATACGATCAATTCAGATCATAATCAGATAAAAAACACCAATGAAGATGATGACACCCATCCTTCCTTTTTTGTTTGGTCAGCCAGGCAGACGCTGGTCACTTTTTGTACATTGATCTGTCTCTCTTGTCGGATGACAAATTGTTTTCAATGATCATGATTCATTCAGTTTGAAAGCAATCACCCAATCAGTTTGTAAGCGATAAACAAGAAAGTTACTGTCTTCTAACTGGAAGGCTGCCTTGTTTAATATTTGTCTTGAAAAGTCTTTCACAACACTTTTTTACAACACAAATATGCTTTCCATCTCCTCCCCAAGTGGAGGATCCATTGATGAGGAAGGGGTATAACAGGTGTTCCTGCGCATGGAAATGTTGAGGTTAATGTTCCAGGTGGGTGGTACCCTCTACATTTGTTGCAGGTCATTTGTTGGAAGTAAATTTGGTTGTAATTGAAGATGGTTGTTTCAGGGTCTTGAGGTGGGTCTTGAAGATGCCAAGGGAGGGGGCGAGACGGAGGGACTGCGGGATGGAATTCCAGAGGGTGGGTGCAGAGTGGCAGAAGGCCCACCCGCTGATAGTGGGATGAGCGAGGCGGGGGATGTGAAGCAAGCCAGAGCCCGCTGAGCGAAGGGAGCGAACGAGATGGTAGGGGGTTAGGAGGTCGGAGAGATAGAGGGGAGCAAGACCATGGAGAGCTTTGAAGGTGAGGACCAGGATCTTGAACTGTATCCTCTGTGTGATGGGAAGCCAGTGGAGTCAGGCGAGGATGGGGTTGATAGGGTCACGGAGCCTGGTGCGGGAGAGGACACAGGCTGCGGAGTTCTGGATGAGGAGTTGGGGAGGACTGACAAGCAGTGAGTTTGCATAGTCAAGCTGTGATGTAATGATGGTGTGCGTGAAGGTTTCAGCAGCCTGCGGTGTGAGACAGTGACAGAGCCTGGCTACGTTGCAGAGGTGGGGGAAGGCATAGCGGATCATGGCGTTAATGTGGGGTAGAGAGGATAGTTGAGGGTCGAACAAGATTCCAAGGTTCCAGACTGGCTTAGCAAGGTTGAGTGTGCAACATGGATGGTGATACTGTCAGCGCCTGAGGTGAATCAATGAAACGAAAGACTCGTACCGAGACCAGCTAACCCACCGCCAGGTACAGTTCCACCTTGGTAAGGGTATGCTGCTCCTTGGTAAGGGTATGCTGCTCCTTGGTAAGGGTATGCTGCTCCTTGCCCATATCCAGGCAATCCTATTTGTTGATGAAAGAAAAGATTTAAAATCAGGGCCAACAAAAAGTACAAACGGTATGAATGAAAATGAGATTGGTGGTGTTATAGTATTCTGGACAAACTCCATCAATTGCCAGCCCTGGACACAAAAGTGGCCACCCATCACAGCTGGACTTACTCCCTTCTCATTAGGACATCTGCCAGGATGGCAATATGGAAAGCTAAATTTACCGCCACTCATACAGTAAGAGTTGCATAGACTCACACATACCTGTGCACAGAATTGACAAACCCTGACCCTCCCTCCCCTCAAGCTCCAAAAGCGGGGCCAATCGTCATGCCGCTTTAATACTATGAATGACTGAAATTAATTTAAAACAAAAGTGATCTTATTCCCTGTTCTGCTGTGATTTTTCAAACTACCTCATCTTCGAATTGGTGGAAGTATTCACCCGCGAAACACCCATTTTATAGTATATCCTGGGAAGCGCTTTGAAACGTCCTCCTGATATGAAAAATGCTATGCCCAACGTAAGGGCTATTACAATATTACCTTTTCCTGTACCAGGTACTTGTTGCCGTAATACACCAACTCCAGGAACCTTTCCCCCTGTCAAGAAGATAGAATAAAGGATAATCATTATCAAAAACCTTAAAGTTGGGCTTGTAGGTAGAGAAGCATTAATAATAAATAATAATAATTCTTGCATTTGATATAGCACCTTATCACGTCATTGGAACAATTCAAAGCGCTTCACAGATTATATTTTAAAGTGGAGTGACCGTGTATTTTGTAGGTGAAACATGGCAGTCAATTGTGCACAAACAGTTGTGAATTGAGTGACCACATCTTTTTTTGTTCCAAATTCCTCATTGAATTTCACTGCAGTGAAAATCACATGTAGTTTGGTCAAATGGAATCACGATTTATATGGAGCAGTGAATATTCTGAATTGTGAGATCAAGCAGAAGCTGATTTCCACAGCAACGGACATCTCTAACCTCAATCACAAAATGCATTTTCTTCAAAAAATACTTTTGGTAATCATAGTCCATTGCAGTCTGCAATCAAAGCATTGGCATTCCATGGCACTGACTGGATTCTGCTCCAATGGGATAACACAGCCTTTCATCTCTAATAATTTATCACCACTTATCTGAATTATATAGTAACATCTCAAGCTTGCGTCTTTCTGGAAATGGAACTCTAAAGCTGAAGGGAAGAGATGGCAAGACAGCAATAATTTAATGGAATTTGTCTTAAGTAAGTACAGTACTTGGCGGGCTTGAATTTCTGACTATTGCCCTACTTCAAAAGTGATAGAGCAGTCTCAACAAAACAGTCTATTTGAGCCAATAATATGAACTGTGCTTATGAAGCATTCATCATTTGCCTGCAAGACAAGATGGGCAGAGTGGCTGCTGCACACCAGATGCTCTCCAGCTGCCGTGACTGCTCTTTATTTGGCAGTAGAGCCTAAGATGACAGGATACTGGTGATGTTAAATAGTAAGCAGATGCTGGAATGCAATTCAACTTTTTGTCAAATGACCAAGTAGTGACTATCTCTCTGGGGGTCAGTGAAAGGAAGGGGGAGTGGGTTGGGGGGGGAGGGGGAGGGGTATTGGGATCCCCTTGGAGCTGAGCTGGCTTCAAAGTAACGAGGCAGCCCACTTCATCCCTACCCACAAATATGTACTGGTACAGTGCAAATCTAATCCAGCAGTTGGGCACCAGAAGTAGAACAGATTGGGGCACGATTTCTCCTTAGTCTAATGAACGTTTCAATTGTTAATGTTTCAGGTCAATGAATGTCAAAATCGAGACAACCCTCTGTGGCAGTTCAGTAGTCCAGTTCCTGAGCCAGGAAGATCCACAGTATTCCAGGGCTCTGTTGATGACAACACTGCCCCAGCCTCATCGGTAGGACTTGGAAGGGCACATCAACAACAACAACTTGGATTTATATAGCACCCTCCACGCCGGACACCAATCACTGGGACTCTTCCCAAATAATATTAAAGGATAAAAGAAAAGTGCAGGGAAATGGAAAGGTGCAGGGAATTAGAATTAGAGTACACAGTCCAGTGGCCTTTTTCTGTATTAAAACTTCCTAGTATTTTCCAAATGGAACAGCTGGTAACCACCATTTGAGGTCAAATATGTGAGATTCACAGGATTAGTAAATAATACAATATCCAGATTGATTTAGGGCCAACCCTTTGCTCAGATTCAACCTCCAGTTCAACTGCTCTGAAGTTGGATCGTGAGCAAAGGAAGCTCCTGGCGTCCATTAAGAGAAAGTAAAATGTGGACATAGTACATGTGTTCCACCAGATGTGTACAGTCATTCTTAACAATTGTGCTAGCGGAACTTGCTCTTGAAAGGCAGATAATGATAGGTAATAAGGCAGCCCACTTTACCCTGAACTATAACTATGTATACTGGCTGTGCAAATCCAATCCAGCAGTTGGGCACCAGAAGTAGAACAAGTTTGGAGCATAATTCCTCCATAGTCTAATAAACTCTTCAATTGATTCATCTAAATTCAGGTTGGCACTATCCACTCTATGTATAATGTTGATTTTACAGACCAGCTCCACAGAGGTGATTTTCGCTATGACTAACCTGTGTAATTCCTCCAATTTAACCATTATATCATTGTGGTGCAAGGGTTGATGTCAAAACCACTTCCCCTCTGAGAATATGCTTAATGTGCCTTTCTCACTTTTGTTTTCCATAGCACAATACCACATTGACTTCTTACATTCAAATTTAATGTGGTTACAATAATTAGCACCATTTACCACGGAAATAGGAGCTCGGAAGAAAGAGACGTCCTAAGGTTCCCTGGACTCCTCCCGCTCCAGGAACTCCTGTTAAACCAAAAGAGCAGTTACTATACAGACACTTTGTAATGATTAATAACGTATACAAAACAAAGCCGACTATATGTTACTTCATATTTTTAAAAATTATGAATAATATTCCAGTGTCATTAGGAAATCTTGCTTACTTCCAGTTACTGTGCAGTAAACGGTTAGGAAACTCTCAACTTGTTAATAAATGGGATGCGATTTAGATTCGAAAAAAAATGGATTTAGTCCTTTCACACCCAATAATATGAATTTAACCAATCAACCTTTAAAGGATTATTTCATGCTTGGAATACCATATTCGGGCATTCCTGAGCCTGGCGCAGAACACATTAGTAGATTGCCCCGGACCAATGTCAGAGATAGATAGAAGACAATGAGACAAGAAGACTTGTGTAGAACTATTCCTACCTAAAGGTGTTTTAGATAAAATAAACAAACCTACCTATTATTTAAAATCCGGAACCTAGCTTTAAAGGTCATTTCTGCTATCCAACCACCAAATTCTGCAAATACAATGCCTCACTATTGACTATTCTACAAACATATTAATAATAATCCTTGAATTTGAGATATAGCAATTTATCACTGAGATGTGATGTAATTACTTCAATGTAATTAACTGGATTAAATGAGGGGGAGTGGAAGGGAGCAGGAATATGCCATAGTAGCTGGAAGAGTTTGTTGGGATCAGGATACTTTCCAGGATTTATTTCTGATTTTTATGTTTTTGAATCAGAGACTGAACCCTAAATAAATATTGAATATTACTCATGTATTACGTGTTTATATTACAGGCAACACACAATCTATGAGATTTTGACCAAAAACTGCAGAGTTCTGGATGATCTGCAGCCTATTGAGGGAAGAGTTGGGGAGGATGACAATCAGGGAGTTTGCGTAGTTGAGCCTGGATGTAATGAATGCTTGAATGAGGGTCTCGGCGGTCTGTGGTGTGAGACAGTGGTGGACCTGAGTGACGATGCGGAGGTGGGGGAAGGCAGAGCGGGACATGGCATGGATGTGGGGGTAGAAAGGATAGTTGAGGGTCAAACAAGATGCCAAGATTCTGGACTGGCTTAGTAAGGTGGAGTGTGCATCCATGGATGCTGATGTTGTTGGACCAAGCTGGTCCATTTAATGAAGGTGAAGGATTGTAAGGATCATTTGCCCTGATGTTTCCTTAACCAGCTCATTTACTTAGATAAATGCTATGTTTAAAACACTTTGTCCATTTGAAACTAATTGTTTTTAGACTCAGCTGTATCTTTAACAGATACTAATATGAAACACTAATAAATGGAGTCCTGTAGCTCAGTGGTTAGAGCACTCGCTTTGCAAGCGAGACACCTGGGTTCAATTCCAGGCAGAGGGCGAAACCTTGGGTGAGTTTCCTTACTCCACACTCCTAATAATAATCCCTCCAAAACAAAACAATAATAAATTGGTCATTTTCAATCCACGACTGTTTGTGGGGACGCTGCTGCGCGCAATTGGCTGCCGTGTTTCACCCACAAATATACAGTCAATTCACTTTACAGTCTATTCTGTGAAGCGTTTTAAGACGTCTAGAAGACGTGAAAAGCGCTGTATCAAATGCAAGAATTATTATTATAAATATAGACAAATATAGATCTCTAAATAAACTGATTGCTCTGCAAGTCCTACTTGTGAAATTTGCAAATTGTAGAAATGTATGAATACCTGCAATCTGAATTAAGATTGTAAAATAGCAGATGGCCCAAGGCCAAGCTTCTGTGAATATTAATATTCAATCAAAATTATTTTAATTATTACTCTTAGGTTGCTAATCTGTTTTTAATACAATTTATTGCTTCATTCAGCAAGGGACTATTTCCAGACAGTGTGTGCAGAGGTCAAATTAACATCACTGAATCACTCAATTAAAGTGTTGCTCAACAAGATTACCCTTCCTCTGTCTTGCCAATAATACAGTGCCTCTGTAGAGTTTGCTGCTTTCACATACCAAAAAACCCCAGAAATACTCAATCTCATGCACTCGTTAATCTATAGAGGTACAGAATAGTAAATTGGAATCAAGGCTATGTTTGTATGGTTTCTATTTGGGGCAGCACAGCCTTTTTCATGAGTCATATGGTCTCAGCTTTAAGCTTGTCCCAGTGTAGCTTACATACTGTTAGCAGTCTGCCAAACAAGAGCACTGTATTCCATCACTTTGCAGAACTTTGAGCTTTCTGGAATCCAAATCTTCCATCAGCTTTCTAAACTTCATTTTTTTTCCCAGTATAACTTTACATACAACTAACAATCCAATACTCTTAATGTTTGTTAAGCCTGATCAACCCTGATCCAACTATGAGCTCAAATATACTTTTCAGTATTACTCTCTCACTGTAAATTGGTGTTGGATAGGAAACTGGCGTTGTGAGGATATTGCTCACAGTAATGGTCAAAGTCACGAATGACATTCTGTCCATCTGTGACCCAGGTTCGCTCTGTCTCCTTGTCCTCCTTTACCACTCTGGGTCTGGATCCCTGACTGCCCAGTGCCTTGGGACTCCTCCTGATGTAAAAGGCGCTGTACAAATGTAATTTGTTATTGCTGTAATCTTCCGAACTGGAGGTTTGTGGACAATGTCAACTGATTTTCCTCATCAGTTATTAATTTGACCTTCACACCACTGAACAAAACACAGTTTCTAACCATCATTACGTTTTAGTTAATACAACATTTAGACTTGGCCCCACAATGATTTGGCAGTTTAAACAACAACAACAACAACTTGGATTTATATAGCGCCCTCCACCGCCGGACGGCGTCTCAGAGCGCTTTCAACACACTATTCAATCCACCAAACAAAAAAAGGTTTGATGACACTTACTGTTGAAAATAAGAAACAATGGGTCTACCATATACCAATAACTAAAACAACAACAGCCGACTTTAGGTTAAACATCAACTCCACCACAATGTGAAGTTTCTGCCCTTGAAAAGTAGCGCCTGAATTTCCCGTATAATCCCCTGAGCGGCGCTCGTCCCTCAGTGAGGAATGTTCGCTGTGGGTTGTGTCACTGATCGCTGTGTGTGTGTCCTGTACCTGTGGCCTTTTCTGAATTCGTCTTTATAAGTGCAATTGGATCGCTGGTGTATGCACTGCCTTCCCGTTCCCTGTGTTATTGACCGCCGTTCGGGGTTTCTGTCCTATCAGCAGCTGCACAACCACTTGAGTCACGTCCATAAGCTTTTGTTGAGAGCTTTGGAATTCATTCTGATTCTCTACTCTGCAATGGAAAGCTATTGACCAGGAGAAAGAGTGCGTTTAGTCAAACTTTCATTGGCATAGCTCGGCTTCTTCTCGGCAATGGTGGTACAGTGAGTCTCAGTTCTGGAGTCAGAAACAGAACCATCAAAATCAGGATTTATATGGAGCCAACTTCCAATTCCTCTTGACATGATGTCCACCTTCAGCAAGAAAACAGCAATGCAAAATAAGACCCGTTCTGAATTATCCTGAACGGTGTGAGGTGATTGGATTGCAAGTAAAGCTTTAGTAAATTGCAATTTGCAAGAATGTACAGACAGTATTTATTGTTGTGCCCGACATTCCTGACCGAGAGGGTATCTGCATCCATTCTGCCCCGAGAGGTACAGCAGCGGTGCTTGCACTTCACACCAGCAATGGCAGACTCGGATTAGCCACAGCGGACACAGTATATACATATATAACATATAATATATATATATAACATGACACCGATCGGAGAAAGTGCATTGATCTGAGCAAATGGATTAACTTCTGAGCAAATCCATTGCCGACGTGTCTACTTGTCTGGGCGACAGGGAACGGAACCGAGTTCATTTGAATAACTTGAGACCCACATCCATCCACCAACCCATGTCTTTACACACTCCATCCCAACAATCCTTTATAAACGGGATTAGTGTATTCATTACAAGGAATGTCAGTGGATAACGCTCAGGTAAAAAGCAGAATGATGGGACAGTGGTCTTGTCAGTCCTCGATGATCGAGAAGTTCCATGTATGGAATCAGTAAGTGTACAGGTTCTTGTATGAAGTTATAATAATAATAATCTTTCCTGTTGATATAATGCTTGTCACGTCTTCGAGACGTCTCAAAGCGCTTCACAAAATACACTGTAAAGTGTATATTTTGTGTGGGGGGGGGAGCGCGGCCGCCAATTGTGCACAGCGGCGTCCCCACCAACAGCCGTGGACTGAGGGACCACATTTTTTGGGGGTAAAATGAATATGATGAGCTGGAAGATTAAAGTGCAAAATAGCCGCTGCACAGAGAAGCCGAATGAGGGACTGTGGTTTGCCGTGAGATAGCCAGAGGATCTGCACAGTAATGCTGCACATACACACCGAGCAGAGAAGGCGGTGGGTACACGGCCGTCTTACTGCACAGCTCTGCAATGCACACGCCACCCATTTGTTAGGAAATCATCAGATCTTCACTTTACCCTCAGTTACACTTCACAAGTCAGAGTTATTGGTTACATCGATTATGGAAAGTATCGGGAGTTCGGCGACAGTAACTGAGTAACTCAGTCCACATGACAACTCAGTCACGGCGTATAGTACAGAAACCCACAGAAAGAGGAATACATTAATATATAGGCGTATGCATCAATAGTGGTGTATATACAGTATTAATAGAGGTATATGCATTCATTAAGATATGTACATTGATAGAGGCTTAGAAACCGAGAAATATATGCTCAGAGCGGCAGGAAAATCACAGGAAAGTGAGAGATTGAGAGAAAAAGGCAAATGTAACATCATCACTCTTACAAAGCGACGCAGTCCAGATATACCGTTACACAGACACACACACACACCCCCCCACACACACCCCCCACACACACCTAAGCATTTGTTGATAAATCTCCAGAATTCTTAACGATCAGAATGCAAACTCCAACTCCACACTTATGCACTCACTCTGCGCTGTACTTCGCAGCACTTTCGTTTGCAGAGCAAAGCCCCGCAAACGAAAACTAAAACCGAGACAACTCCTGGGGTTCGTTTCAGGGAGAGAGACGGAGCTGAGAATCGGAGCTTCGAGAGAGGCGGAGAGGGGGAAAAAAATGATTGTCTCCTCAGAGAAACGGCCAAACTCCCTTTGTATAGAATGATCAAACTCTCCAAAAGCAAAGGGTGTACTCCCTGCTCCGGCGCAGAGAGGGGGAGCAGAGCAGAGCAGAGCAGAGCAGAGCAGAGCGCGATGTGGGATCACTGAGGAAGGAGCCGCGCTGTGGAGCACTCACCTCCCTGTAGAGATACTGCAATGAGAGTGAGGAACAGGCATCCATGTGAGAGTGTTACAGCCATCTTCCCGGGCACTCTGCACAATACCAACTCACCACAACTCCAGCCGCTTTTATTCACTTGACCCTAATTGCCACTTGCAAGAGTAAGATGCGGACAATACGTAATTAGTGAGGGACCCGACTCCCTCTGTCCTACAACTCATTTCACTTCTCTCTCCGGTTGTTTTTTTTTCCTGGCCAGTCCTGCCAACATTGCACAGCCCCTGCCAAGATCCCAGCAATTGCGTCTGTTTTCTCTGCCAGGTCGTTTGCATGCACTCTGAGATTTTATTAGGAATAGAGAATAGCGAGTAAGCCAGATAAGGCAATGCAAATTGTCATGCAAGTCACAGGGAGACAACACATCAGACTGTCAGTAATTCTGCATTCGATTTGTGTTCTCTGCTTTATGTGGTACACCGTTTGAAGTGAGATAACAATAATAATAATAATTGCATTTGATATAGCGCCTTAGCACGTCTTCAAGACGTCTCAAAGCATTTCACACATTAACAAAGGAATCAGAATCTATCTATACCCATCTATCCAGTTTACATTTGATTTGTTGGGATCAGATAGATGACCCGAAAGTGTAGTGAATGTGCGTTTTGTGGGCAATAGGTGCAATAATTGAAGGTTTCTAATGCAATCAAGCAATACTGAATATATTCACCAATAAATCCATGTTTTCAGGTGAAGTCTGCAGAGCAGAACAAGCCAACATTTCCTGAATGAGGTCAGACAATCCTCCGAACGAATGGTTCAAAAACTCTGCACCAGTTTTAACACTTAATGTCAAAGGTCTCCTTTTCACTCTGGCACCGTTTTACTCAGTTGTTGGCAAGTTGTTTTTTGATATCCAGACATACAGATCATAGCCAAATGAGGTTTTATATATAAAATATTAAGTACAACAAATTAATTTGCTGTCTGTGGTATTCAGTCTGGGAAGCTTTTATTACAGTTTTCTGGACATAAGCCTTGTATCTTTCCTTACATCATGTACAGATTCCTCACTAAGTGGCCAATACACTCATGAGTGGCTATCCTACATCCACTATAAAATGCCTCAGAGAGTGGACATGCAATATACAAACAAGCTATAGTACTTTGGTAGTCAATTGAGCTGATGCCCAGTTTCACATATGTATGTCAACTACAAACGGAAATTTTGCTTTGACTGGAATGGAATATGTCCTCTTTCCTCACTCCATGGCTGTTTGTGGGACATTGGTGTGCACAATTGGCTGCCACATTTCTTCCACAAAATGCACAATCATTCCACTTCATTCTCAATGACGTGATAAGGTACTATAATCAAATGCAAGGATTATTATCAATAGTGGCATTGAATACTGGGGTCCCACCTGTCTCAGGAACCAGACTGCTGAGACCGCCTTGATTCAACTCCAACTTTCCATTGCCAGGCACATCACCCTGGACCTAACTCAGCCCTCCCTCCCCCCAGGGTAGTTATCGGATGATTGGTTATTAATATTAATAATATCTAGTTGACATAGACCCACCAAACAAAACAATGCGTAATAAAAACAGAAGTCGTTGGGAACACTCAGCAGGTCAGGCAGCATTTATGGAGAAAGGAAAGTGAGTGAACATTTCAAGTCCACGACCCTTCATTAGAACTGGGGTATGTTTGGAGGGAGAGGCTTTTAAGGACGAAGAGAGTGAGGAGGGAGGCCAAGGAAGTCAAAGGAGAAAATGGGGTAAGACAGGGGGACGATGGGTTAAGGGGGTGTTAATGATGCAAAACAAAAGGGGGGAAAATTGATAATGGTCACCTTTTGGCTATTTCTCTCAGAGAGGTAATAACATAACAGTAACAGTATGCATATTGAAAGCAGTAGACACAGGGCTAGTAACACTTATTAATTCCATAGTGACATTATGTTTGTTCTCTAAAAGTGATGGGTTTTACTATCCTTTGCCTGGATAGTAAGACTATATCTGATCTCTCTAATACGGGGGATAACTTTACCTGGAAGGTACTTTGCATCTAATCTTTCAGATACAGAGGTGGATTTCTCAATGGGACACTACTACTCAAATTCCTGGGGTAGATTACACATGGCAGCAATCAGGTATTGTTACAGTTAAACTTCAGTAATTGTTCAAGATCCTTGTCCTCACCTTTAAGGCCATCCATGGCCTCGCCCCCTCCTACCCCTCTGACCTGCTGACTCCCTACTAAGCTGCCCGCTCCCTCAGTGAAGAGGAACATCCTCTCTCTTGCTATTATGTCACTGTAGGTCTGTAAATGACTTCAGGATGATTGAATTACATATTTTAGAAAATAACTACCATAATTCTAAAGTGTGTGAAAACAGTCACGGAACAGATGCCCTTTTTACTGCTATTGTATTAGTTACAGTGTAACAATTACAAATGTTACTTACACACAGTAATAATAACTGTTACACAGTGTAATAATTGTCAATGTTAGATACAGTTTAATAATTACTGGTAGTTGTATAGTGTAATAATTCCTAATGATAAGTATACAGTGTAATAATTACTATTACTTGTTGTAATCATAACTAATCTTAGTTGCACACTAACAATTACTCATCTTAACACACAAAACAGTCACTTCATTTTATAGTATATCCTGTGAAGCATCTTGAGATGTCATCTTGATGTGAAAGGTGATTATTATTAATGATAAATACAGTGTAATAATTATTAATTAGTTAAACAATGTAATAATTATTAATCTTAGTTATCTACTAATAATTACTAATGTTAGTTACACAGTGTAATCATTGCTTTACACAGTGTAATCATTGCTATTGTCAGTTACACAATGTAATAATTACTTATATTAGTATTGCAATAGATAAAATTGTTACTTACTATTTGATACTATTGCAATTACATACTTATATACGTGATAATGTGCTATGTGTGTCCATTGTCACTGAATTATGTCACCTACGTGAACAGTACAGTATTACTATTTCTATATTACAGAGGCAGATGTCTCTTCAGGGCAACCTGTGGGATGTTGTATATATTAGGAAGGGTGTCTTGCATCTGGTTAATGCTTCATGCCTGTTCCCTCTCATAAAGAGATACATAAAACATATAATTTTTAGCTGGTTGGATCAGTTCTGCATGCCTTTCCTCTGTAATCCAGACGGGAATCATCTCTCAGCTGCACATTATTTGTAGTTTCTTCTCTGCGATGGAATGCCTTTACTAGTTTCTGAGGCAAAGAAAATGATTAAATTCTAGCTCAAGCAATTAAAGTGAATAGGAGCAAAAAAAACACTTATATTTGTTTGAGCATTTATGTTTTATCCTCCGTCTGCAATGGAGAATAGCTTTTTTAAAATCATAATTGTTTAAGTACCTTTTAACAATGTGCCACTGGAGGTTGCTAGTGGAAGGTTATTCCATTTGCTTTTCACTAAGGCAAGGCATGATTCAAACTAGACAGTACATTACATTCACAGCATTCCTTCTGTGTGACATGATTTGATTTTACATGTTCCTACTTGTACTTGTCTAAATATCATACCCATATGAAATGGTAAACAGTTCCAAATCCAGCTACAAGTCCTAAGTAAAGGTTGACTTTGGGGCTTGCTAAATGATGTAACTTCAACACCACAAATTACCCCATAATTTAACACTATCAACCGTAACACAGTGTAACTAATACTATCTATTGCTGCATCGTGTAATTCTAAAACGTCAATCCAAAACAATATTTTTAGATAAGACAAGGGCAGGAGAATGGGCACAAGTTCAAGATGTTAATGTACAATTTCATGACAGAGACCGTGAAGTATTTCTTTCTACAGAGTTAAAGTCTGAAAGAGGTTACCAGGAAGGGTTGTTAAAGTCAGGATCATGTAAATGTTACAGCACCTTGTAGCCACAAGATTAGTAAAAGGAGAATTCAGGAGGATTTTTTTTTCACCCAGAGAGTAATTGGAATATGGAATATCCTGACAAAAAGAGGGGTGAAAGTGGTGTCTATTGTAGCTTTCAAGAGAGAAGTAGACAGCATTTGAAAGAGAAAGGTTTGGAGGGGAATGGGGATTGGGCGGGGTAATGGGACTAAAGCGATATCCTTGTTCTCTGAGCCAGTGCAGTCTTGATGAGCTGAATGGCCTCCTTCTGCACTGCAGAATATCTATATTTCTACATGACAGTATAACTGTAATACAGCCAATTATAGCACTGTGTAAATGTAGCACAACCAATTACTACAAAATGTAGTAGGTTTGTACATAACCAACTAGAACACTATACAACTGCAAGACTAACAATTACTAACCATGATGTAACTCCACTGCTAACAATTACTGTACCTGTGTAATCCAAACGCAAACAGTTACTATGCTAAGCAACTCAAAATACTGCACAATTTAACTCAAAAATGATCAATGTAACTGCAGCAATATCAAACTCATTATCCTATGTAACTCTAAAATGATCAATTGCTGCCCTATGGGACGCTGACATTAAACATTAATTGCTGCCCTGTGTAAAATATTATTATTTACTGACCTAACTGTAGGAATATACCAATTACTGTACTATATAACTCTCGATATTATCAGTTACTGATTCAAACATAGGTCAATTCACTTTACAGCATATTCTGTGAAGTGCTTTGAGACATCTAGAAGATGTGAAAAGCACTATATCAAATGCAAGGATTATTATTATAAAAACATTCAAATGACATCTGTTTCTCAACTGTTCTGACACAGTTTCTAACACTGCTGTGGTTATTTTCTAAAATACAAATTTCTGGAGTCATATTTTTAGCAGATACTTTCCATTATTGCAATGATTAGGATCTCTGCCATTGAAAACTATTGTGTGTGCATTGTTTCAGAGCAACCTCTGTCAGCTCTGTCATTGTGTTTATTGAAATAAAAAAAGTCTTCACCAGATGAAACCAGCAATAAGAGGAAAAATAACTTACGAAGATATATAGATAAATTGTCATTGTGTTGTTGATAGCCCTGTGTTTTCAGTTAAACTGAACATCTTCCCATCTTACTCAGTTTATTTAGTATTTGTCAAACCTATTTTGTTCGTCTCCAAATGCACAATGTCATGGCATAAGCTGAATTGAAATGTATCACTGTCTTTTGAACTTGATATCAGTGTAATAAATTACTTTTCTACCTCTTTTTCATATGGTAGAAAAAGGCCCGTCAAAGGATTGTTGATGAAAACAGAGCCTCTTTAAAAAAAAGGCATGGGAATAAAATGCAATC